GCTTTTTTGTCAGAAAAAAATATGCATCATATGAAATATTTTCATATAATTACTTTTGTAACACGAATTGCTGTTAGATATAAAAAACTTAATTTAATTACTCTTTAAAACAATTAAACTTACATTGGACTTTTGTATGTGGACTCATGTATTCATTTTTAATAGGTCCAAAAATAACTAGTATTAAAATGAAAAAACATATCAGTAAAAATTTTGTCATTGCGTAATAATGTACGGTTGAAATGGTTTCGAAAGTGGGTGTTGTATTTCGTTCGGCCTTAAATCGCTTTAAGTCGAACCGCTAAGACCTGACCCTTACATATGTATAAGGATTCCGTGCGGATTGTTTTACATCATGTAATTGAAAACAGAATAACATATAAATGAATAATATATAATGGTTATTTCGTAACTGGGATTCGAACCAGTGACTTTGGACATTCAGCGAATTCCGTGTTACAGTCGTTTTAACAATTGAGATATCGTGTCAATGAACATATTTCGTATTTGATAGCTTTCTTCAGCGACTTTGTTCGGAATTTGAAAATATTTTTCGACCTCCAAATATATAAAATCGTAGTTTGAACAACCTCACGATATTATCAGTATGAATATTCTTCTTCTTCTTTTTCTCAGTATCAATATGAATATTATATAAAATTATGTTTCCAGTGATTTATATAATAATAATAATCATTAATTATAGTAAGTTCTTAAAAGTACTTTATATTTGGTAATTTGTGAAATTGTACAGTTTTGCCATATTTAGCTGACATCCAGGAATAACACATAGGCTACTTTACATTCTGGAAATCTCGGAGATCCGCGGGTAACACTGCGGGGCGCAGCTAGTTTATATTTAGTTCTCAAAAGTACTTTGTATTTGGTAATTTATAATGATGTACAGTTTTGTCATATTTTTTCAGCAGTCGTCATAAGACTCTTCAGCTTTATATTATAACATAGTACAGATACACGATCATGATACATATTATGTACATGCATTTTTTTCTCAACCAACCTAATTCATGTGAAGTACAATATAAAAAACCCTTAGGATTTTCAAACAAATGTACTCTATTCGAAATGTTACGCGATACAAAATGAAATTTGCCTCCACTATCGGAATCTCCTGAGATATTACTCGCAGAGAAATGCAGTACAATGCAAAATACGTGTGTTATGTATGCTGGTTGAGTTTTAGAAATTTCTGCTCTCCCGTTGAGATTTCAGACAAAGTTCTTTCTATATTTTCACATAGCAATGAAATTATGTACATGGAATATATAAAGATTTTACCCTCAAATATACATATAGCTATTATAAATTTAATTTTTCGTTCGACATTACATATTTTTGTGTTGACGTTCGGTAGCCAGAGCGCAAAGCGAAATAACCACAAACGAACAATTAGTAGGTTTTGTGAGAGAAGGCACTAGGGCTACAAAATCAAACGTCAAGCCTTATTCCATCCTTAAAGCCTCGGATTGGACTATCATGATGGACGCGTATGAAAAACAATATAAAATCCCCGAGTATATTTGTGCGTCGGCCTCCAGACCAGATATATTTTTAAAGCGCGTAGTGATTATAGAGCTTAAAGTTCCTTGGATAACCAAACATCCCCAAAGACCATACCACCAAGGTCAACAAATATTACAAGCTCACTAAGGAACTCATTCGAAATAGGTTCATCGTGGATTTGTACGCGGTAGAAGTGGGAGCGAGAGGTATAACAGCGAAATCTCTCTACAGCCTACTAAAAGTCTTGGGCTTGTCACATTAATACGTTAATACATTCTTGGAACGTACATCGCAGGCAGCCCTAGTAGGTTCTTTTCAAATTTTGTTAGGTAAGGATAATAAATAAAGGGATTAAACCTACACCTGGGTCGCAAGTCCCAGTCACTGTTGAAGCTCCTCTCACTGCGATGGACCCGGCACCCGCACGGTGAATACATGGAATGCTGAGAAGTTTCATCTCTTTTATATTTATTATATAAAAATTATTAAATAAAAAACAATAGGTATGGATGAAAGATAAACAACTGGTGTATTTTAAATTTAATAATCATTTACATATTTAAGACTTATTTAATTCAATAATATAACACGTTGATACTTGATGAAGACATACAAATACCTCGTCTTGAATCTTTATTATTGTAGTCACTTTATACGCCTACTCTAATAAAAAATATGCGTCGCCTGTAATCTAAATCGCTTCCATACATTATAAATAGATGTTTTATTATATGAGATCATACTTTTAACACACATATAAATATATACATATGTATGTATATATATGTATGTCTGTGTATATGTATAGACCGAAATTCTGTATTTGCTAAAGGAGATTTTTGTCTAAGAATTTTTTACAAAAAAATTATTGTTATTTTTTTTTCTGTTTTTAATTTAGGTACTGATGGAGAATAAATTAATATCTTATTTTTATAGGTAGATATGTTAAACCTCAAACTTATTTGCAAAAAAAAACCACAATGACTTAAATAGAAAGAAACTTGTCTTAGATAACTTATATTTGTAGGTCAATTTAAAGATTGACGGTAATTTTCAATTCATATGTTTCTGTGAATAGTTTGCTAAAATGTACAAAAGAACTTTAATCAAAATGTTGGCAAGATGCGTTCTATTTATAGTTAGTCTAGACATACTAATCATATTATAAAATCGTGTATTTGTATGTACGAATATATGTATCTGTTACTATTTAACTCAAAAACTAATGACCGGACTCATATAGAAACTATTAATAATGTGGCTGAAACATCATAGTAATATATAGGATATAATATATGAAGAAATACAGTACAGTTCTCCAACACGCTGTTTAAGTTGTATATATGTCACGTGACACTATAGATGTCGCTACCAGTAGTTTGTTCTATAAAACCTTTAAGTTAAGATAAATTCCAAGTGATAATTTCCAGGTGTAATGTACGAGGGTAAGGAACGTCTGATGGCTGATGCGGAAATGGTCTTACGTTCCGTAGAAGATAGAGTGGCTAACGTGAATAACTCGTCGGCCAAAACGTTTATAACGTACAGACGGGCGCATCCGAACGCGCCGTGTAACGCACTCGTCGTAGTCGACGTTTGTGTCATAGTGGAGAGTAGGGGAGAAACGCCGCCGCACGCCTTCTGTATGATACCTAAGAATTTGAATAAAGGTAAATGATACCTTATTCTTTATGATGAGTGGCATCTATGCCAGTCATCAATGTAGAATATAGTGTTAGTGATTTTTTTCACATTTTTTTTATTATTTTAGTTTTAATTTATAAGAATAGAAAACGATATTTCTCATATAGATAACCTTACAATAACTTTCCATCGTCACTACATACGATGCATTTTCAGTTTTTCATTCATAAAAATGAAAAACGCTCGGTGTATAGTTTAAAAATGTACACATCAACAATGAAATAATAGTAATGAGTGTACAAACAAGCTTATGACACCATAATTACAGGTCTAATGGGGAGTAACGTTTTCCTCTGTTACAAGAAGTCAATGAACCGCCCGCCGCTAATTGCTTATAAGCCAGAAGTATTGTTTAGGTGAGTTAACATATAATATATATTTACGAAACTATTTTTAGAATTTATAATACTTTCTTTTATGGTCAGTTTATTTCCTACAAATATTATTTATATACATGATTGATAGTAATTAAATTACTTTCGAATGCTTTTTTTTATAAAATTTTATAATATGTATGATATATTATAATATGTATGTATATATTACTAACGGTTATATCTTATGGAAAATAATAAGCCTTAGATGTCTCTATAGTATTTCCCTCTAATTACTTATACTAATTGGAATTACAACATGAAATTCCACTCGAATTTTGTGACCGGGGGAAAATATTTTTCCTCAACTCAGTTTTTGTTAAACCAAAAAATATATAGCAAATTTATTAAGGAATTCAAACAAAAGTAAGTCACGAAATATCTAACTAGGTCAATTAATGAAGAATTCTTAAGAAAAATAATAGTTTTACTATTATAATATAACTCCATTGGCCTGTATGTAAAGTAGACGAAATAGCATATATATTTTTTATCAGCGTAAATGAAAATGCAGGTTTTAAAATTGGATCAAAACGTATATAACTTTGACGGAGAGTCACTAATTATAGCCGGCGGCTCTAAAAGGTTCTATAATGAAGCACAGTCAGCGAACAGAACTTTAACTGCATTATATAGCCACTGTTAACTAGAGAATTTTACTGAACATTTCTCTATGAACTCGTTTTTAGCTATATATGTTTGTATGAATGGATTTTGTTATATAAATGACTTATACTTTGCTTTTTCATTAAGAATCGTCTGTGTTGATTATAAAGTTAATAATAATATAAAACCTTTCTTGAAACTTAAATGTTTATAACTTTTTTTTCGTTTGGGCTTTATATTATGTAACAGTTCTCGTTGGCTTACAAAAATTTATTCAGTATTTTAAAGTTTAATAATAATGTTTTCTGGAATCATGTGAGACAAAAAACATATATATGTTTTATACTAAATGATTAATTAATTATCTATTAGTTATACAACCGACATCTTTCATGCACTCTTGTATTTATGTGCTGCATTTTGTTTGTTATTTAAGAAATATAATAATATTTTTAAAATTATAAAACTACAGTCTTTGTTCTGTTGAATTCGCTTATCTTAGGAAAAATCTGAGAGAAAAATATTTTTCTATCAAATAATCCATTTTGTGAAATAAAAAATTTCAAAAAGCATAAAAAAGATCCAAATAAAAGCTATTGAACAAAATAGCTAACTGCTTATCTATTTTACAACCATATACAATTTTTAGGCAAGAGAAGTTGTGGTAGCAAAAATAAATTTTTCATAATTTTAGATACGCAACCAGGTGTCAAACTTCCAACTATTTTATAACTACATTATAACTACTGAACCATAGTGACATATTAAAACATTAACATAATTCCTCTATAGATATCCTCAAGTCGACCGTCGTAGTCTAGCGTTTCCTACATCAGTACCATTGTTCTGCCTTCCTATGGGAGCTACCTTGGAAGTGTGGCCCAACAACGCTTCATCACCGAAGCCGGTCTTCTCAACCTTCGTACTGACGGTCGCTGACGCTACCGACAAGGTAAATCTATTGCTTAAATATTTCAACTTGATTAATTCATAAATCGACTGCTTAAACTTAAGGCACTGTCAATTTTTTATTTTATTTTAAACTTTATTAGAACTTTAGTAATTGGCTTATTTCTATATTTTTGCGTTTCCCCTCGGTTTGAAGTCGATCATTCGAACTTTCTACAAACATACTCACTAATTTATTGATTAACTTATAGTATATGCTCATATATTACGTTTAAAATCATTCGACAGTCTGAATTGAGAATTATATATCAAAGATCAAAATTCGGACCAATTTATAATAACCATATTCGATTTTCAAATACTTACGTGATAAGCAAATACGATTTCAAATTCTAATATTATAAGCTTGTTCGATTTTCAAATCACAAAGTGACACGGAAATTTGATTTGCAATGCTTAGTTGTTGCATGTTCGATTTTCAAATCTTAAAGTGTCACAAACGTTCTATTTTCAAATCTTCAAGTGTCCCAAACGTTCCATTTTCAAATCTGCAGGTGTACGGTTCCGCGGTGACGTTCTACGAGCGTTACACCAGCCCGCTGTCAGAGAGTCAGATGGACCAGCTAGGTTGGAGGGCCGGCGTCACTCACACAACACACTCGCTACACGCCAACAAGTCAATATGTTTACTATCAAGATGGCCCTTCAGTGATACGTTCGAGAGGTGGCTGTTGTATATACTTGTGGGTATTTTTTTTTGTAGACTGAAAACTATTTTGATTATTTTTCTTTTTAATAATATTATGAAGAAATGCAATAGTTTTATCTTATAAATTAACTAAATATTCATTCAGATAGAAATAAATTTTACATTATATCATGTAAAATATTTTTTTAATAATAAATTATTTTCGACTAGTATTTTTGTTATGGCCTTCACAAGCGTTATAATTTTTATCTGTGTAATATATAACTAAAAATTTTGTTATTTTCTTTTATAGGAAATGTCTTGGAGCAAGGAACCACTGAACATACCGATTGAAAGATACATAACACATTTATTGGAAGAAGTACCGTTCCCTGAGCCGAGGATATTATTACAGGTTTTTTAAAATATATTATTAAGACTAACCTTATCTTTAATTTCAATTTCATTATAACGATAACAAATTTCATATGAAAATAATAATCATTCGGGTTCAATGACTGCCAGCCGTTAACGAAAAGTAAAAAAATATAAACAATCGAATTTCAAATTCAGATTAATAATGATTGTCCCTTAATTTAATCCTTAATCACATCGTACATTACGGAAATAATATAAATATTAATAATATTTTTCAGTTGTCACCAACTAATCCTCACGACCGTGTGATAGTGACCCGGCGGGATGATCAACCTTTGGTGCGGAGCGGAGCCGGCTTCAGACAACTTCTGCTTAACTTAGGACCGGACAACTGTTTGTTACTCCTGGCGTTAGCTATCACAGAACAAAAAATACTTATACACTCTCTTAGGTAACTAACATTATATATATTCTTTTAGATATTAAAGTATTTTAAACAATTATATATAACAAAGGTCAAAAAATCACATAGGGTGGCAACCGGAGGTTTCAGGAAAACTATGAAATATACTTATATTTATTTTATAACCAGAATTACATACTAAAACTTATAACCTATATCTAAGACTACATGATTGCCCCAATATTAGAATAGCAATGACATTCTATAGCTTGTGTGGTATCAGGAATCTTCTAGTTCACACGGCTTGGTGTTCTTTCCGTGGAATCAGCGGCGTCACTTGCTATATGATATTTTACCCATACAAAGATGTCGCCCCGGCGATGTTAATTTATTTCTTAATATGTAGCGCGTACGTAATAAACATATTTATATTTTTTTTCTATTTTCAGACCAGACACATTGACAGCAGTCTCCGAGGCGGTGTCTAGTTTCCTTTTCCCCTTCAAATGGCAATGTCCCTACATACCTCTATGTCCTTTGGGTAAGGATCACGTAATCAGTATTTTCTATTTAATATTCAAAGAGGTTGTATAACAAATATAGTTAGAAATTTCTTAATGTTACTGATTGGAGTTTATAAATTAATAATGACATAGTATTTAATTTATTCGCCTAATATTAAATTTGCAAATAAATTCAATACAATATATGACAATATTTAAAAGGACTATATTTGACTTGAGGACATTTTTAGTCAATATAGCGTCTTTTATAATTTCTTTTAACATTTTCATAATGAATATTAATTATATTTCCAGGTCTAGCAGAAGTGTTGCACGCTCCTCTGCCGTACTTGATAGGTGTTGACTCAAGGTTCTTCGATCTCTATGAACCACCGCCTGACGTGACATGTGTTGATCTCGATACTAATAATATTACGGTATATATACTCTTTATATGTATACTTAAGCACGCCTTCTATATATGCTTTGACTGTGTTAAAATATACATACAAAACTTTTTTCTTCACGTGTTCATATTATAAAATTCTCAGACGAAATAGAAACTAATATTTGGCGGATATACTAACTGAGATGACATCTCGTCTGCTTGTGATCACGGTTGCTGTAAAAAAACCGAAACGTCGGGAGTATGTAGTTTTTTATCAAAAATAAAGTCGCGTAGTGTATCCGCAAAATATTAGTTTCATTTAAATGATTCGCGAAAATCTTACATCTCACTCAGATGAAATTGTTGCTAATAATTAATTAGAGGTTATACAAATGTACATTTCTTTGATCTGAATAAATAATAATATATTTAAATATTTCAGATATGCGAATCACAGCGTCATATATCATTAAAACTGCTACCTAAAAGACAAGCGAGGGTTCTACGACAAACATTGGATCAGTTATTATCAAACATACGACCCGGCATGTTAGGTTAGTGACTTCATATTTGTTCTTACTATAGTATTTATTTATAGGAAAACATATAGCTTATATTACAAGAAATTATTGAAAAATTAGGGTAAAGATTATTAACCAAAACAGTTCCCACAGTTATTTTGACATTGTATCATTAGAAATACCTTACATTAGAAAAAACAATATAGCAAGAACATTTAACAACAATCTATAACTCTGAAACTAATTATTTAAATGATTTAATATTACTGTACTTAATTACAGCGTCCCCGGTACATTCATCTGGTGATAAACACAACGGCGAACCAACTACCAGTTTAGATAGAGACTTCCAGAAGAGAAAGAAAGAAGTAAGTGATGTGTACAATGAAATATGATTCTTATATATATGTATTTAAGATTCAAACTGTTAAATACATAAAGTAGATGAAAAATTAACACTAGTAGGATTTGAATTTGGAACGGAATATATAATAGTTCAGTTTCTTATGTGTCTTGTTAGCTAAATATATGTAGATTCATTTATATTCAAAGTCAGATGGATTTTCGTTAAAGTTTCATATTAATATTAATTCGTGTTCTATATTAATGGTTAATTATATATTATGATAATTTTCAGCAAGCACTGGAGCTTAAAATCCAGGAAGCCTTTCTAAGGTTCATGGCGGTGACATTTCAAGGCTATCGTTCATTTCTAATACCAATCACTAAAGCGCCGACCGTGGGTACAACAGACCCGCACGCTCTGTTCCATATGGACTCATTTTTAAGGTCAAGAGACAAGGTTCGTTTATTTAGATACCTATAACATATTCTATTATTATAAGTAATTCCCAGAGAGGTTTGATGTCGGGCAGGCGGCCGGTTGTAAAAACAATTAGCCAAAACTGTTCACAACATGTAAAGCAGACCCTGGCTATAGCTGGGAAATTGCCAGGTAGAAGAAGAAGATATTCTAATATAAGTGAAAGTATATATGTGTAGATGTCTGTTATCCATTCACGCAAATATACTAAACTGATTTTTATCTAATTTAAGTGATGTAATTCAAACATCTTAATAACATTTATGATTAAGGTTATATGTATATCTTCAAACATATCGTTTAGTTTACTAAGGCAATGACATGTAAATTGTATTTTGTATAAAGTGACGAGTCACATACTAGATGGCGCTGTAATTTGGTTACTACTATATCATATCCTTTATAAATGTTTTTAAACCTTAATCGGAAATTCATGCTTCCATTTATGACTAGTCTAACAATGCTTAAATGACTTTTTGTAAGTAATAAAACTATAAATAATTTCATAACAATCAAATAGAATAACTTAAAAATAATCAAAGCTTAATACAACAAAACAAATATGTTATCTCTAATATACGTACTCAATATATATAATAACTAACTTTCCGCCGCAGCTTCGCCCGCGTGGAGTTCGGTTATATCGCGTTTCCAAGAGAATCTTTCAAAAGTCTGGGATAAAAAGTATCCTATGTTCTTTCTCAAGGTCAACTCTGTCTCTGTACCGAATTTCATTAAAATCAGTTTTTTTTTATGGGAAAAGGGGGCAACTGAGCAGACGGCCTACTTGATGGTAGGTAGTTACCGTCGCCCATGGACATCCGCAACGTAGATTTGCGGATGTGTTGCCGCCCTTGATTGGGGAAAAGGAGGAGGAAAAGGTGGGAAAGGGAGGGAAAGGAAAGGTTGGGAAAAGGGAAAGGGCAACCGGCTCTCTCACTCACCGGACGAAACGCAGCCTTGAAAGACTACTTTACGCCGATTTTCTGTGAGAGGGTGGTACTTCCCCGTCGAGCCAGCCCATGTTCGAGCTGTAGTAAATTGACTACAGCTAGGCTCTACCACCTCAAGCTCAAGTTCAATGGTTTAGGCGTGAAAGCGTAACAGACAGACAGAGTTACTTTGCCATTTATAATATTAGTAGGGATCTATTTTAAATCAGATACTTTTATAACATAGAAATGTTATTACTGAAAGTTAATAATTATATCAATAATTCCAGACCCACCAGCGTTTCTTCGCCCTCACGATGCGTACACAGATGTTCACTCGTTTCATAGAGGAGCGTTCGTTTGTATGTGACGCTGATCAAGCGTTGTCATTCTTCGACGAATGTATAGAGAGAGTTGCGAGCGATGAACCGCTACTAGGACTCGACGATAGTAATACGTCTGAGAGGACCGTATTCGTACTACCGCCGGATCCGCCGGATACAGGTAATATATATAGCACACTAGCTGCGTCCCGCGTCGTTACTCGCGGATTTCCGGAATGTAAAGTAGCCTATGTGTTATTCCTGGACGTCAGCTTCCCTTATACAAAATTTTATCAAAATCGGTTCAGCCGTTTGAGCGTGAAGAAGTAACAAACATACACACATTCACAAACTTTCGCAATTATAATATTAGTAGGATAAGATAGCATATCCCACTCTTAGTGACGTCATATGTATTGAGTCATGAAATAGGTCTTTTCATGTACATAGTATACTTAACATCGTTTGTTGGTACAAAAGCTATGAATATTTATTTCTAAAATCCAATCTATAGTATTTGTTTTTTCGCTTATACAAATCGTGTATAAATTATTTGTATTATATGTAAGTGCTGTTATTTAACAAAAAAGAATTATGCCTTAATAAGAGCACTCGATATTATATGAACTTTAAATAAATATAGAATATTTAAAAATTATTAGTACAAAATTTATACAGGGTGACTGGTGACTTATTATCAATATTTAAGGAGAATACTCGGTACATGATTCTCATTCGAATTATGTAAAAAAAATAGGTACTTAATTTTTGACAAAATTTCCTTATAAATAAATAAAGTGTTGACACGTTCCAAGTGTTCCAAGTGTGAACGCGTGCGGCGGCGTGCTGATACAACAAGACGCCGCCGCGCGCGAGTGTGTGTGTGTGTGTATACCTAATCTGTAGGGTGTTCACACGATGCGTAATTAATTACACAACTTTTGGTTAACTTTACTTAGAAGTTTATTGATATTTATGTTATATTAATTTTTATTTTGTCATATATGATCGTCAAATATCACGTCCTCAAGTATCGATAATAATTCACCAGTCACCCTGTATAACAGAAACATAAATTACGCTAGTTTTCATATTTCTCCTACATATATATTGTTTAGTGAGTATATATGTATGTATATATATTAACTTGTCCTATAGAACAGCAGTACACGTACGATAAGTTTATATTGGACGAGCAGCTGGTGTCTGTGTGTCGCAGTACCCGTGGGTCATTGACCTGCGCGCCCGCAGCCGCACTCGCATCTGTGGAGTCATTAGCTGATGCTTCACCCATGGCCAGACGGACCAAACAGGAGATAGCGGCCGCGCAACGGTGGGTCATATATATAAAACTAGCTGCGCCCCGCGGTGTTACCCGCAGATTTCCGGGATTTTTGGGATTTCCGGGATGTAAAGTACAGCCTATACATTATTCCTGGACGTGAGCTTCCTGTATACAAAATTTTATCGAAATCGGTTCAGCCGTTTGAGCGTGAAGAAGTAACAAACATACACACACACTCACAAACTTTCGCAATTATAATATTAGTAGGATGTAGTAAGATTTTTATTTTTGATAGAGCCCTGACTTAACACTTCATTAAAAATTCAAATAAAGAACACGGAATGAATTATTTATTATTACAATAGATTTGAACCCGCAAACAAAGTTGGTTTTACCAATTATGCTAGAGCGCTGTTAAAGTTTTTTTCATATCTTAACCACTAAATAAAGTATATTGATCAATATATTGATATTGTGACGAAGCATAAATGTAATATGAGTGATTTAATTTTTTTGTCTAGATCGTATCTGACTGAATTATAAACTACCTACATGTTAATAAAATGTGTATACAGGTTAAAGATTTAATCAATTCTTGTAATTAACTATCAATAATTACTTAAATAAAAATATTTATTTCTAGATTGGCTCGCAAAGCAAATTTATCCCCCGAGGCGTGGGCCAAGTGTCTGCTAGGAGCATGCTATTCGCTATACTTCTTAGCTCTCCCCGGACGAATGCTTATATCACGTGGCAAAGAACATGCTACTCTACGTTTTGCGTTCGAGCTACTGGAACGTGCTACTAAGTTGAGAGTACCCTGCGATGAGGTACGAACTATTAATTTATACTTTTATTATATTAATAAAGAATAAATTTCTTTTATAAGTCTCTTGGCAAACAAAAATTAAACAAATAACTAATTAGAGAAAAAGATGTCAAAAGAAATCAACCTGAACTATTATAGGTGCTCCAATCATGATGATTCTGTTGAATATAACAAATGCAATAATTATTATAGATTCATCAATTCAAGAAATTCATACTCGATAGTCTGCGATAGATTTAAAACGTCTTAAATTAATAATTATGATAATGCCTTATTAATGCTGAATATTATGTCATCTAATACTACTAAAGAAAATTTTGATTAGGTAAAACCATTTAACTAGTAGTGCTGTCTATATTTTTTTTGAATTATTTTCATTAAAAAACAAAATGGTGTGAGGTATCTCTCGGTATAAATTATAGAAAAATTCTGAAATCAAAAAAGTTCTTTGCTTTATAAGATGACTAACTAGATTTTTATGATACTTAAAAGTGTTATAGTTTATATAATAGAATAATAATATTGCCAAGTAGACTTCATATATATTTTCATCCAATCATGTAATTTTCAGTTATTCATTTGCATATTTTCAACCAATCATATTAATTCAAGTAAACATTTCAACCAATCACATTCTTCCAGGTGTGTTACCGTGTCATGATGCAGTTGTGTGGTATTCACTCGCTGCCTGTACTGGCTGTGCAGCTATTATTCCTGATGAAGCGCGCTGGTCTTCAACCTAATGCCCTTACATATGGTTACTACAATAGATGTGTCCTTGAAGCCGCCTGGCACAAGGATATGCCCAGGTAATAACACAATAGTCTCACACTTAAAAATTATGTTGAAGTTTGAATTTATAGAAGTTTGCCGCTCTGACGACAAAATACTGAAAGGATTTTGATGAAAACTTTAAGAATATCATAAACTATATATGTAATATGTATCACTGTATAATGTATCACAGTTTTCACTGTAGTTACCGAGGTAATGCAGAAAACAGTTAAATTTTGTTTAAAGTAATGTGAGATGCGATAGATAGCGATGGCCCTGAGTTTGTATAAGCACACATTTTGATTTTATCTCATGCCAATTCTTAATCAAAAACTTATAAACAAAAAAACTTATAAAACTATATCTTATAAATTCCTTGCTTGGTTTTCAAAATACTTAGTATACGAAAATAAATTGGTAATTTAAAGTGCTTTGTTTATAGAACAAGCTAAAAATCGGTAATTTTTATTATCAATATTAAAAGTAATATTAATGTTTATACGTCGCAGCGGATCTCAACTCATGTGGAACAAAGTTCGTATAGCGATAATGGGAGTGACTTTGTTCCGTAAGGCGGGGGCTTTGAGAGCCAGTCGAGCGGCAGGAGCTGCGGGCAGTGAGTAGTGTTATAAAATATTACATAAAGACATAATTAATAACTTTATAACCATTATTTTATCGTAGAAAATAATTGATAAGTCTAAAATAATATATAGTTAGTTTTGTTGTGCAAATTTATAACGTTTGTCGTTGAAATTAAGCTCATTTTAGAGTGATAGTGTTTAGCCTGGAGTCTCTTTCGTAAATGAAGTGAATAAGTGAAGTTAACAAATTGGACCAACAGTTTCTGGGATGAAGGCTCTCAGCAAAACAAAGAAATTAAGTCTTTATATTCATAATATTAAGATAGATTATAAAAAAATATTACAATTTAATATAATATATAGGTACGGGTACGTTGCCTCGTGTACGTACGGTGGGCGGCGAGGGTGCGGATCTGACTTCACTAGCTCTCGCTGAACCGACGCGCAGCAGATGTAGCTTGGATTCAGGTGAGAATATTATTAAAATACATTATATTGATACTAAAGTAATTTAAATTAAAGATAAGGATCATATATGTATATGGATACAATTATTTTATACAAGTGAATCTAATATTTTCGAATGATTATGATTTTTAAAAATTCTCATCTCATCAGCCCGTGATCACGGTTGCTGCAAAATAAGCGAAACGTCATAAGTGCGTACTTTTAAAAATAATAAAAAATGCGTATTAGCCAGAAAATATTAGGTTCATTTAAATGAATATTCTCGAAAGTCTTAGACCTCATTATTACATCATCCTAAAGCTTATTTTTTTTACATGTTCCTAAACTATTATTCACAGCTTGCGATTTGAACGCCTCAGCCAGTACTAATACAGCGTCAACGACGGCCTTCGAAGCCCTATACTGTAGAGGTAACATAGTCCGCGCCCCCGCCAGTCACCCGCGGGCTCATCAAATATCTTCTACCGCCGGGATACTCATTTCTGGTAAGTTATAAACAATTTTCTTTAGCAATATAATATACTAGCTTTCCGCCCGCAGCTTCGACCGCGTGGAGTTGGGTTATATCGCGTTATCGAGTTACTTTCGCATTTATAATATTAGTAGGGATTTCAATCTAATAACACTTTATACCAATTGGACTATTTCTGATATATCATACCTCTAATGTGAAGTAATATTTAGTATTATTGATAAATATTTTAAATATAATATATATATATCGGATTTATTACACATTCGTTGTTTTAATAAAGAGAGACGCCAGCCTCGCCGACGTTACAAATGTCACTTCCTTCAGCACGTTCCATATTAATTTAAAACTAAACTTCAATTTTTTAAATGTCCTTATATTTCTTGAAGGTTCTAAATTCTTCAATGGTCCGCCGTCACTGAACTCTGAATTCTCAATTCTGAATTCTGCCGTCGTGCGTCCAGACGTCACTTTTATACCAAGATTTAAACATAGTTCTATTCTCCTTTTAAGCAACCTTTGATTTCATTTTACTTTTAACAATAGTCATAAATACTAATGAGGTTTAATAAGAATTGATGACAGCCTCAAATTATTTTCAAGTCGCATCCGTTATTAAAGCTGGTAGCGCCGATATATATAAATGATGTTTTCTGATGTTTAATTATTCTTCACAGGCCTTCCGTCAGATCCAGATCTTAGTTCTACAACCAGACCTAGAAGTAATTCGTTAGGCAGCGAAGAAGTTGAATCATCTGTGTCTATAACGGAGAAGAGACAGGTGGAGTGTCTTAATTAGTATAGATTTTGCTAATATGGAAGTAGAAACGAATACATAACAGACTACTAAAATAGTTTTCTACCTGAGAACTTTTTTGCGTAACTTAGGACTATAATTTGTTCCTGTCTGTGTTTTTAGTAACTACAGTACATTAGTAAAATATACGTCGTATTTTCTTTTTGACAGATTATGACATAGACTACAGTATTTTTGTCCCTATAATATATTTGTTTACTTCTTCCAGACTATCCACGTGAGTCCCGATAGTCCATCCGACCTAAGAATACTGACACGATCAGAGAGCTTCGCCGGGGACGCGCAGATAGTACAGAACCTACAAAGGCTATCGTTTTCTAGTAGTAAGTACTCGTATATATTCATTCTAGACTATATGCCTTAAATTTAGCTGAATGAAGCATTTTATAGTTTTACTGTAAATAGTATGGAGGTTTCTATGGAGGAATACCCTAAAATCTCAAAGAATATTATATATTTATTTACTTCTTTTGTTGAAAGATTTTAAAATTATATTTTGGGTGTTACAAAGAATATATTAAGTTTTGGTTCAATGTAGTTTAATTATATGGATACAATGATTTATGTGTACATTAACTATGTTGTTAAATAATTAACCTTTTTTGTACACAGGCACATCAAACACGAAGTCTCGATGTTCGAGGACGCTCAGTTTCCCCGAAGAACCTGAAAAAGAAACAGCGGCCGTCGATAAAACGGAGAAAACTATCTCATCACCTCTCAAGTATGACTTATACAGAATCCACTATCTATATTCCTACTTATATTATAAATGCGAAAGTAACTCTGTCTGTCTGTCTATTACGTTTTCACGCCTAAACCACTGAACTGATTTTAATGAAATTTTGGAACAGAGATAGAGTTGACCTTGAGAAAGAATATAGGACAGTTTTTATCCCAGACTTTTGAAAGGTTCTCTTAGAAACGCGATATAACCGAACTCCACGCGGGCGAAGCTGCGGGCGAAAAGCTAGTATAATATATACCCACATATATATATTTTTAACGTTTAAGGCTAAAAGATGTATTTTTAATTTGAAGTCGATGTCTGTGTATATGTTTTTAGATTGTAGCTCTCAAACCAATCTACCTATTTCTTTGCCTATTTTCCAATGTAAACGAAAGTTTCCCTTCATAGTCCTTGGCTATGTTTAATTACTAACTGTCCAATAGTGAAAATTTATCAGCTCTTGTTTTAGAAGTCGTTTTTGTCCTAAGACGACATAAATATTTGCCTAACGCTTGCCAATTGAATCGTTAAATCATGCATTCATTGGGGTTTTCAATAGTTTTAAAGTACATAAAATAAATATCAAACGGCCATCTATCAGTATGAGAACGACTAAATCTTTCATACTATACTATTCGTTAGTTACACTCAAGAGGGATTGTTCTTCTAACATTGGAATAAAAATAAACCTGGCTATAACCGCTGTAAATTAATTTTAACCTACATATCGTACTTACAGAAAACTTAATCATACATATATATACGATGATAATTTTCTAATCATTGTTTGTAGGGTGTCCCCCCGTACCCCGGTGTTAGCGGACGACCCGCTGGGCGCTCTGTCCTTAGAGCCGAGTAGCCCCGACCCCGCGCCCCCTACCACGGAATTGCCGCTACCACGACACGAACTAAGTCTCAGCCCGCGACTGTTCCAGAGAAGCAACTCCTTCACTGAGGAACCGGAAACAGTCGGGTATATAGATTCCTGTATTATAATACACCTATACATGTATAATTCATATAAAATATACTTAAATTTAATCTATATCCAAGAACTTCGCGTAGAATAGTGATGGAATTTTCGTTTTAAAATTAATTGAATAAATTTATTAAGATAATATTTATTACATTAAGTTGAAACTTGCTTTAATCTCAATATCATTATTTTTTAGTTCGCTGATTTCCATATTATATAGAATGTTTATTTTTTTGTTATATTTAGAAAATAAACCCTTAAATTTATATTCCTAATATCACTACCCATAATAGTTTTCATAATCCCCTATAAGAGTACTTTCGCACTTGCTAACATTGATCCCGCTAACAGTAATCTAGATTATCAGCCGTGTGTACTAATGTACCTTAGTACGTACCAAATGTACCTTAGTAATCGTATATCGTACGAATGGTACTGTACCACGGCGTGAGTACGGAATTCGATGAGCTGGATAGTTTCCTGTTGACAGGAAACTTCACAGAAGCGAGACGGCGCCGGCAACAGTGTCATCAAGCCTTGCCTCTATAGGAAACACACTGAAAATCAGTTTTGGGTAAGCATTTAACATATATACTACATATATATTATATTAGAGTATTGTCATTATATTTTGAATCATCATCGTAGCATGATCGCTTGCTATGTAGTATATATCAATTCGCATGTTTATTTTCTTGCACAGTATATTTTGTTCGTATTAATTTCAATTCTACAAAGTTTGAATTTTTTTGCCAAGCTTCGTTATAAAAGCATGTTTTTTTTTAATAAGACATGTTTGTCATATTTTGGTAATATTTTTTATACAAATAATTATTAAAAAACTGTCATTATAAAAAATGATGTGACAAATATGTTTTAATTGATTTATTTTTGGGACTTTTCTGTTTGGCACCGTATGCAATCGCTAGTTTTTTTTTGTCATAGACGTTATTCACCAGCAAGACTGTCGTTGAGGAAGGATAATATGAACATCGGAAAGGCTATGATCGAGAATTATTTCAGGTAAGACATATTGAGGGTCAATGTATTGATTTAAATACTACTAATTAAATAACCCTACATGCCACATCAATAAATACATTAAGGGCTGTACTAATAATTCATACATTCTACAACTAGTTTATTCGTGTATGAAATAAATTTCTAAGCTGTATTTTTTCCATCAGTCCAACTAGCATAGCTGGGAAGAAATCAAACGAGCTATTACAGAGCGGTCTAAGCAGCTTGAAATCAGCTGCAACGAGTATGGCAAAGAAATTTGATGAGATGAAAGAAGTCATATCGGCTAATTCAACACCGGTGAAGGGCGCTATAGGTAACGCCACCAGCGCCCTCACTAACTTCAGAGGCGACGATGACTCGGGAGACGGATCGTCAGAGGTCAATCAGAATGGTTAGTATATACAGCATGTTCAATTTATATGACATTTTATTAACTAAGTGTAAGTGATATATCTTTAGGAATAGCGCAAATCCGTATGTTATTCATGCATTTCATTTATTTAACATTTTGATAAAAATTGCTCAAGTCATTTAATTTCGGTTTTTTTTTAAATTTTACCTTGATGTTTGAAGTTGCTTCTATCGCAGATACAATATTATCCAATATAAGTTATCCCTACTAATATTATAAATGCAAAAGTAACTCTGTCTGTCTGTTACGCTTTCACAACTAAACCACTGAACTGAATTTTATGAAATTTGGTACAGAGATACAGTTGACTTTGAGAAAGAACATAGAATAGTTTTCATCCCAGACTTTTGAAAAATTCTCTTGGAAACGCGATATAACCGAACTGCGGGCGAAGCTGCGGGTAGAAAGCTAGTAATACATAAATACACAACATATTTTCATCGACATATTGTTTTACTATATATTTCATCCTCAAGTATGAAAATAAGATGATTATATTTATTTCTTTATGTTTCATTATTATTTCAGAGTGGTCTGGCGGTATGGGTTTCCGACGCGCGTCTAGTGACGCTGAGCTAGCGTGTTCTATGGAGAGAGGATCTCTGGCTACATTATTATCACATCTACCCGACAATTTATATCCCACGCAGTATGTAAGTACAAGTATATGATTTGATATTAAAATGCGGAAATGGATCTTATGTATGTGATACCTTACTGTGAGATAAAATACGTAATTGTGACTTAAAATATATAGTAACTAGCTTTCCGCCCGCAGCTTCGCCGCGTGGAGTTCGGTTATATCGCGTTTCCAAGAGAACCTTTCAAAAGTCTGGGATAAAAACTATCCTATGTTCTTTCTCAAGGTCAACTCTATCTCTGTACCGAATTTCATTAAAATCAGTTCAGTGGTTTAGGCGTGAAAGCGTAGCAGACAGACAAACAGACAGACAGACAGAGTTACTTTCGCATTTATAATATTAGTAGGGATTAGGATCGGATGAGAAAAGAAATATAGACAATATATTTTTGGATGCTAAGAAATTGACCAGTGTTATGTTGAGATGGAAATGTCAAACGTTTTCATCTCGTTTGTCCGTGATCGCGGTTGCTGCAAAGTAATCGAAACGTTGAAAATATGCAGTTTAAACTAAATATTTTCATGAATACTAGCAAAAGTCTTAGATTTTATTAAGTGTTATATTTAGGTAATAAGCTAGATAATATGGCGACCAGCTACTAATTTTATTAGTGTGGACAGAATATTACTTGAAACGTTTAGTATTTCCTCATGAGTATTCCGAATAACGTCAATCGTCATAGTATAATTGCAATATACAAAAAAAATTAGGAACCCAATAATATAAGCCCATATACATAATAATGTAAACTAAACATAAAAAAATAATATTCTATAATTTTATCAACCTCATCAATAAACAGGCGCTGATAATTATATTTCTATCATAATTAGACAACCTTCTTGCCTTTAACATACACTACAATAGATTATAGTTATACAGATGTATATATACAGATGTCACATTAACATATACATTTCACTTCCAGGACAACTCAAGGTCAGAGAACCCGTCGCTGGAGGTCCGCATGACGTCATGTTCCCAGTGTCACCAGTGCCTGGCCTTGTTGTACGACGAGGACATCATGGCGGGCTGGGCGGCCGACGACTCCAACCTCAACACGCGCTGCACGGCCTGCGGGCGACACACGGTGCCGCTGCTGTCTGTACAGGTGAGGTACACGGACCTGGTACGGCTGTGTGGGGGGGTGTACTCGTTACGTAATGAGTGTGTGTGTGTGTTGACTAGAGCAGCTGTGTGGGTGAATGTACCCGTCACTATATGAGTGTGTGTGTGTGTGTGTGTTTTAATTAGTGTAGCTGTGTAGATGAATGTACTAATTAATTAATGAGCCTGTAGGTGTGTGTTAACAAGAGCAGCTGTGTGCGTATATAAAATTTTATACTTGTGCGTTAGCTATCACAGAATTTATTTTAATAATGTTTATTTAACAAGAATATCACGAAATCGTTCCGTAATTACGGGTACTATATCAACAAACTTTCAATTCTCATTCGGCATTTAATTGAATTACTTAAATTCCATGAATATCCTAATAATTGTTGTCTTGTTTTTACCTTAAAGATACTTCTCCTTTTACTCTATATATTTCCACGTATGAATTTATTTGCTTTTATTTACAGATCGTAAGAATGGATCAAACACAGGCGGAAACATTGACAGTACCTTATTTAAATCCTTTAGTACTGAGAAAGGAGTTTGAATCTATATTAGGTATTTATTCTCAGCTTTTATTCTATATATTTCTATATAATATTTTCTAAAACAATATTCTATTATAGGTAGAGAAGGCGACGCTTGTTTGGCAGAACCTGAATTTGTGGAATCGCATCCAATAGTATATTGGAATTTAGTGTGGTTCTTGGAGCGAGCAAATATTGATAATCATTTCCCTGACTTATTATGTCCGAACTTTTCGGTAAAATACCAGAGTTCGGATCCTTTGCCGGACGCGGACAAAATGACAGGTCAGAATATAATGGTTATAAACATTAAGTTACCAACATAATATAGTAGCTTCTCTTAATTATATACAAACTTGATCTATAAGAAAACCTCTTATAATTTGAACTATTACTTGAGATACATAATATATATGTATATATACCCCTATGAATTCTTTCTTTTATATAAACTTTACCTGTGTTAAAATCTATATATTCATATTATAATAAAATTCTCTTACAAAGTTGTTGCTAATAATTATAGTTAATACATATGTACACTCCTTACAAATAAATAAATAATGTAATATATCAAAATATATATATGTTCCAGTGGGTTGTCGCGTTATTTGCTCGTGGGAGGGCGCTCGTGCGGCGGACTGTGAAGCCCCGTCCTTACACCGTGCGTGGCGCGCCCGGAGGACCCAGCCTCGCTCCAGGCAGCTTAGAGCTCTGCTACTGTCACACCACGACAGACCTACAGACTCGTATGTATATATTATAAGTAGAAAACTGGCTTGTGACTTCTTATTAGATGTATGTTGAAGTTTTATGTCATATGTTGTGACATACACACTGTGGTGTTGTCACATGTAAAAATTATAAACTGATTTATCAAAATTATGGACTTATACAGGGTGACTGGTGAATTACTATCGATACTTAAGGACGTGATATTTGACGATCATATATGACAAAATAAAAATTAATATAACATAAATATTAATAAACTTCTAAGTAAAGTTAACCAAAAGTTTTGTAATTAATTACGCATCGTGTGAACACCCTACAGATTTGGTATACACACACACTCACACATACGCGTGCGGCGGCGTGGTGTTGTATCAGCACGCCGTCGCACGCGTCCACACTTGGAACACTTGGAACGTGTCAACACTTTATTTATTTATACGGAAATTTTGTCAAAAATTAAGTGCCTATTTTTTACATAATTCGAATAAGAATCATGTACCGAGTATTCTCCTTAAATATTGATAGTAATTCACCAGTCACCCTGTATATTGTAATTTTAATATACTACTTTGATATTGGCAAAATATTCTATGAATTTTAAATATAAACGGATTTTAACAAATATTTGGTATGTTATATATAGTATTAGTTTTATAGAAAATTAGTATGAAGATATAATTAACAAAGAAATTCAATAATAGTAAATTTAGCACACATCAGACGAATAGCAAATTAGCATAGCAAATTCAATAATGTTAATTTTGAAAGAATGTCTCCTTAGTCCATTATAGGATGTTATTCACCTTCTATACAAATAGATACTCACATATGTTTAAAATGAAAATCTTTGTGTTAGTTAACTTCTGTTATAAAGTAGTTTTTTTTATTTAATCTTATATTTCCAACCAGTCTCCCTATTAGTTTCTACTAACCTAACTATAAGTTTACCTTGACATCCACATACAGTGTAGTTCAAGTTAATTTTTAAATCTATATTGACAATATCACATGTGTAGATTTCTTTCTATAAAATTGAAATTGCTACGTATATTTTTTCATACTGCCACTTCGTATTAAGGATAAAATGTAGGAAAACTATACTTAAATGTGTATTTTATATTATTATAATTATTTTATTTCAGTATCGTAGCGACTATATTGGACGGTCTCATGAGTAACGATCTATCAGACGCTGTGAGAAAGTTGGCCGCGTGGAGGGAGTCCACGTGCGCTAACAAAAGATATCATTCATATTACAGGTACATAGTTAATATTTATATATAAAAGAAAGTCGTGTTAGTTATATCTATAATTCAATAAGCCCTGTACGAGTTTGGGAAAAAAATTGATAGAGAGATAGCTTAGAACATGGAAAAGGACAAATGATACTCTTCAAACGATTAAAAAAGACAAAAAAATATGTTGATCAAATGCAAAATCTTCTTATCTACTGTCTGTAAGGAAAAATAGAGTTCCCGGACAGTTTATCATTTCTAATTCTGAAACTAAAGCAGACGTAATTGTGGGCAAAACTCTTAATAACATAAACTTAAAGTTCAGTTCAAATTATAATTACTTACTTGAGATGGCTTTTTTTATTTGACTCTATTTAAGACTTATGATTCCTCTTAGTAGGTTTTCGTTATGACAGAATAGTAAATAAAAGGGTATTGATAGTCCTAAAAATTAGAAGTAACAGATTCTTTTGTTGATTTATAGTCTATTCTTGTATCTTTGAAATAAATTATTTAGATATAAAGCTCAATTTATTTTGATTTCATTTCGCTTTACAAAACATTTTTTATATCTGTATTTCATTATTTCAATAATCATCTTAAGTTATAAAAACTTACTAGCTTATTGGTGTAAAAATTTTGCTATTGTGAGTATCATTAATAAATCACATTATAATAGATATCTAACAATAATTTATCACACAGAGACATTCTATTCCTCGCGATGGCAGCACTCGGAGAACAGAAGATCAACGTGACCGTGTTCCAGAGAGAATACACGCGAGCCATAGAACAGTTGGGGACAGAGGCGCGCCCCCAGGATCTGCCTCCCTCACCTACAGCCGTCTGCTGTAGACATTACTTTAAGAGACTTACACTCGACGTTGATGAATAGAACAATATATAACCCCTACCACGAGTTCTCACTTTTAAACTACATACGAAACGTTTTCACTTTATCATTAACTAGCTGCGCCCCACGGTGTTTCCATATTTCCGGGATGTAAAGTAGCCTATGTGTTATACCTGAACGTCAGCTTCATGTATACAAAATTTTATCAAAATCAGGTCAGCCGTTTGAGCGTGAAGAAGTAACAAACATACACACACACTCAAAAACTTTCGCAATTGTAATATTAGTAGGATAATACCAAAGTGGGGTCAAATGAGAGTGAAAACGATCTGTATGTAGTAATAACTCAGACTCGTAGTAAGGTTTATGGGAATCTTGAACGTATAACGAATATATAGTTATTATTAAAATTCGTTTGAATATTATATTGTTATATAACTAGTTTGGTTTGTCACAAATAAATTATTTGAGCGACAATAAGTTACTTGTATGAGGTTTTAGCTTAACGACGTAACATATATTTGTTATAAGTACCCTTAACTATACGTATCGTCAAACTTCATACGGACGCTTCACAGTTTTTAATTCTTTAAATTTCGCATTAAATAAGACGAAATCTCTTAGTATACAATATATTTAACGTGCGGGTGCCGGGTCCATCGTTGCAGTGAGAGGAGCTTCAACAGTGCCTGGGACTTGCGACCCAGGTGTAGGTTTAAAGGGTCCCTATCTAACGCGCGTTTAACGCTCACCTCCACTGTCCAAGCTCCTCTCTCTACTTAGCCAAATATAAAAAGAACCTACTAGGGCTGCCTTCGAAGTGTGTTCCAAGAATTAAATATCATATACGCTTATTAATGAAAAACTAGAGACTCTGTGTATATAGTTTGACGATACAAACTTGTGTTAAGGGTAAGTCTCGTCGTGACGACTTGTGATAGTTATTTGTTTGAAATAATTTTTAATTCTAATACATTAACAGTTTGTGCTTATGAGAAGTCATTGTATCACTAACAGATTTGATTTTCAAGACTCATATTAACAGGAAATTTCACGTTATCAACGAGGCTTATTTCTTTTGTTGCTCAAAACACTTATTGGTAAATGCAATATTAATTATGATTTAATGTGATCGAGAATACGATAACTTATAATTAACAAGTTTGGTTTGTATATGAAAGAATTGTTACATGTTAAGGGCGAGTGCATCAGCCGTCCAATGTGTTATTATAAAAATAACTATTAATGATTTATTCCCGTCCTTTAGACATCGGGATAGACTTTATAAGCTTTTACAAGGCTCTCATACAATTGTATCTAAACTAAGCTATTGCCCAATACGTTAATATGAAATCTAAACCACCCTATAACATATTTCAAACACTCTGTACTATATAACCCCTCAGATCTTCATACTATATCTAATTTCGGCCTCTAGTTAGAATTAGTTCTTAAATTGCATTGAATTGTTTTCATTTGTTCTCATTAATATGGCTTTAATATTTTATTTTGATAACACATGTCTGTTTGATAAGAGCTTTTTTGATGAACATAATTTTATCTGCTTTATATGTTAAAGTTGTAAATTATTATAAAAAAAATATCAATTTTTTTTATGTTTATGTTTATGACATACGATATAAAAAAGGTCTGGTTGAAAAATGTTTAAATGAGCACGCAATTATAATTTGAGTTTTAAATTGCTTTTATAGTACCAGTAAAGAGGGTTCAGATTATGATGGTTTTAGCTCATACAAGAAAATCAATTTTATAATACTACAGAATATATATATACATATAATTTGGTTTGGTTAAAAGCATATTTGCCTTTAAGCCGGCTGGTGCTAATGAGGAATGATTTGGAATCGTCATTTGATTTTTTGTATATAATTAAGTTTTATATTATATAGTATTTTATAGTTTATTCTGCAAGATCTTAGTTGAAACCTACTTTCATTATATAGGCATTCCAATGACACTTCAATGTATTTTTACTTTATAGTAAATGTGGAGTATAAACACCATAAGTTGTCACATGACTGCCAAAATTGAAAGTATTTAATATCATTGTATAAGAAGTATCATAAAAAAATTCTTTTTGGAAATGTGATAGTTTAGTCTAAAAAATTTTGAGCTTTCTCATAATTACTGGACATTTTATTGCGGCCTAAATATCCTATAGATAAATATTTTTGTCTACACGAATACTCAATCAATACAAAGATTTTGAAAGCGTTCAATGGAATATATTTATTTAACTAACTATAGTTTAAGGTACATTTATCTATTCATTTTAAAGTTTAAATTAGAATCCTTTTATAGTGAATTATGTTACATGAATGGTACATTGTATACAATCTATATTGTAATCGAGTGGCTTCATATTTTTTTGCCGCTAGTGATGTTACAGCCATATTTTATTTTGTACAATGGTGATAGTCACTCAGATGTATTTTTGTAATGAAAGAATAAAAATAAAATAATTTTTAATGTATTATTAGATATCTGAACACGGTAATCAAAAAGACATGCAATAAGTATTGTGTAATGTTGTTACTTTGGATCGATTACAATTATAATACAATTGACGAGTATGAGATGGATATAATTTTTATAAAAAAAATATATAATGCTTCATTTAACCAATGTTTTATTTCTTTTATCTTTTCAGTTTTTTCTTCCTTTTCTTTATCTACTAATTTACATTGTAATAACTCAGCTACTCATTCCAATTACTCTATACAGAAACCGGCCATCATCGTCATAAAAACAATCATTAACTTTATATGTAGCACCTTTTTTGTAAGCCTTTTTTGGTATTCTTATTCTTTCTGGATAGTTGTCAATTAAAACCTCTTCATTATTTTCATTAAAATTAGTAAGAGATGTTTCTTTATTTTCATCAATTAATTCTATTTCTGTACTGTTTGTTTCTCTAGTCACACTTTCTGTTTTTAAAGTATTTATAGATTCAACAATGATGTGGTCATTTAAGTTGACATTGTCTCCTTGTTCTAATCTATCTTTAATTTTTCTTGTTAATTCATCTAATGTTATCATTTTATTGTCTTTCTTTGACACTGTCTTATTTTCTTTGATTGTTTGATCCTCAGTCTCGGTTTCCCTATATTTTTCTTTGTGTTCTTCTTTCATGGCACATTTTTGAATAATTTGCTCAAATTCCCCCATTTTTTTACTTGACAATTCAACTTTAAGGGATTTTTTATTAAGAGGTGGTATTGTACGCTCAGAGAATTTAAGAAAGTGTTGTCTTAGATCTTCTGGTATGTCGAGAGTTCCTTCTTTTAGTTCCCTCCAGTTTCTCATAGCTGAAGTATCATGACGAGCTATTCTTTGTTCAGTGGCAGGTTTCCATGGGTATTTTAGTAGCTTCTGAAACATTTTAAGGAAGTTTAAATACTATATTTGTGCTACAGAAGAGGGCTATTCGCGCAATCTATAACCTAGGAGCTAAAGAATCGTTAACGAATAAATTTAAAGAAATGAAGATATTGACTGTTGCTTCTCAATATATATTCTGCAATGTTATGTACATACGAAAAAATATTAATGATTTCATGAGAAAATGTGATACTCATAGCATTTGTACAAGGAACAAGCACAAACTTGTTACTCTTGTTACTCAACTACATAGAGTCAATAACTCCTTTGTGGGGCAATGTATACGGTTTTACAACAGGATCTCAGAAAGCGTTCAAAATGCCTCTGTTGCTAAATTTAAAAAAATTATTAAGGAATGCTTGTGTGCAAAAGGTTACTATACAATTTATGACTTTATGATCGATAGCACACCTTGGGAATGAAACAATCGCCTCCTGGCTATTTCTTCTCATAATAATTTTTTTATATAATATATGAGACAAATGTAAAAAAAACCCGCTGAGTTTCTTTCGCCGGTTCTTCTCAGGTCAGGGTATTTTCTTTTCCGAACCGGTGGTAGTGTCTCAACTGACCATCAATAAGAAAGTATAATGCTTCTATATTGAATAAAGTTATTTGAGTTTGAGTGAGTTTTGAGTTTAAATGTTATTCTAAATTTTTGCATACTTTTTATTTAAGTAATATTTCTTGTCAATGTATATTTGAGTTTCAGAGTTAAAAACTAACCTTTGCAACTGCTTCAGTGACGGGAAAGCTTTCCGCTATTCTTTTCGGTGTCCATTCATCTGGTTGTGTTGAAGCAAGATGACGAATTTGTTCCTTTTCACTCCAGGTCAATAGATTTGGCATATTTTCTTTAAAATATTTTTCTTTTACTATTTGATGGCGTAATTCATGTTTTCCGATAAGGGTTTCATTCAAGTGTTGGTTATACGCTTGACCGACCTTAAATTGGCGTTTTAATAGGATTAAGAAAATATGAGAATGGTAATACCACCAGAATTTGTTTTTAAACTTACATCGTAAAAGTTGCTATCCGACTGTTCGATAAACTCTTCTGCATCTTCGTTATTAATTCCAATACCTTCTTTTCTAAAAACTCGTAACCTATTTTCTAAGCCAGGATTTGGATTATGATCACTTCTCTTGGTCCTGCTTCTTAAAGTTCGAATAGGAATTTTATTACAAACAAAGTAAAGGCCTCTTAAGTTTATATTAAACATACTGAACTAACAACAATCAAAAATCGAATAACTTTAAGGTTATTCTAATATAATAACATATACATAATCGGAGTGTCAGATGAGAAACGTTCAGTATTAATTTTGACAACAAATCGCTGACAAACGACGTTCAAAAACAAGGATACTAATAATAATCAGATTTATAAATTAGAAATTCTGCAAAAAATATATATATAAATTTGGATAAATACAAACAAATCAAAAGGATTCTCATACTCTAACTCGTATCTCCCAGATCGAATGCTCCAGTCACTCATGGAAGGGTCCTTAATTTAATCTCTGTAATATTAGGGACTAAACCTTTTACATGTTACGAACTCCCTTTATGAAAACCAGATCAACACACTAATCATACTAACTATAATTCAATTTTAACCACCAGAATAATCTGCAAAATTATGAAATTTGTATTCAACAGACATTTCACGGAATTCTCAGAAAGTTTCGTTTTCGTTCTAAAGGACGAAAAATACAAATTTCGCCGAAATCAGTGGACTGAGGATATTCTGGTGGATTTCACACATTTATAAGGGAAAGCTTTAGCTTTAGTTTCCAAGAGAGCGATGGTAAAGCGCTGCATATATCAAATCCAACACTCAAGCGTTTTCTTTAGCCGTAAGAGCAATCTATTCACGTTTACTCTAAAGCTTCACAACGTACCTTTGAAAAACAATGACCTTCTTCAGTTATTGGATATTGTGGTTTCCTCTAGGTTAGAGGTTACCCTTAAGTTAAGGTTATTTTAGAATAATAGAAACTTGGAGGACTTGCAAAAGTTGCGGTATTGACTTACTTTGGAGCAGTTTTTTTGTCTGACATAGCTTTGGGAGAGTCTTGTGTACTATAGTAAAAGATGATCGAATCTAACAATAGCCAGATTTGATCATCTTTTCATTGTAAGTAAGTATACATCTTGAAGAATTGTGGTTAAAGTGAATTGATTGAAGTTTATAGGTGGTAGAGCGTAGCTGTGGTCACATTACTACAGTTCAAACATGGGCTGGCTCGACCGAGGAAGTATCACCCTCTCACAGAACATCGGCGTGAAGTAGTCATTCATGACTGCATTTCGTCCGATGATTGAGAGAGCCGGTTGCCCTTTCCCTGTTCCCACCTTTCCTGCCATGTCCTCATTACCACCCCTCCCTATTCCTCAAAAACTTAGGTTGGCAACGCATCCGCAACAAAGATGTTGCGGATTTCAATGGTTGACGCTGACTGCTGCCCATCAAGAAGGCCGTCTGCTCGTTTGCCACCTTTCACATAAAAAAAAAACACAAAAAAACATGGACTCTTGTCATTAAAGGGACAACTATAAGGCGTAATGATTCGTATACGGTATATATTTATATAGCGAAAATTTATTTTTAATTTGTATTTATTTCTATATATTGGAACATTTAAAATAAAATATGAGAATTTACCCACTCATTGTGAAAGGTTGCAACTCAGTTTTCCAGAGTTTTATAAATCCTCAATTACCTCGTGTCCTATATCAATATAAGTAGTGTCTTCCCAATTCACGAAGTTTATCATAGGGCGATAAGTAATCTCTGATTACCATAAGTGCAAGAACAAGAACAAAAATATACCTTAAACACAAAAATTGTTCAGTTGGGAGAATGAGGGAGAAAAGCATTATGGTCACGCGTCTTGGAGTAAAATATGTCACAATCAGACATTTAAAACTATGTAAAGGTCATTTATTTATTATAAATATTTAAAGTTTCTAACAGAAGTTATGATATATTCAAATGTGTCTGACACTTATGATCCTTTTTGAATAATGTTCTACAAAATAAACCTATGTATAAAATCAGCCAGCACATTTATGTTAAGTAATTCTTATTTTGACTGACTTTCGCAAATGGTATTTGTTCAGTAATTTCTAGCCGAATCGGCGAATTCCTCAAGCAGTCTTTAGAATGCCCACAAAATTTTCTGTCTCCGACACTACTTTACTTGAAAACAATATTGCCTATAAGTTTTCTTGCTTGTGTTTCCTCATAAATAATATGTTCAAAAATAGGCAATCACAAAATTTATCAGCTACGTAGTGATATGAAGTATTTTTAAAATCAAAATTTATTTTATCTGATTACTACACTATTTGGAAGTTATCAACAATTGGTGAAATCGGCCCTTCTTGTATTATTATGCACTATACATTTTTCTTCAGTTTGTTTTGAGCAGTCGGTCGGCTCGCACGTAACAATCCGTGTAACCGTTAATTCTATGAGTTTTCGTAAACAGACATTAAAATTCTAACAAGGAATAATTAAGTAAGTTGTGAAGTTTATATTACTATTTATTATATTCAGTTAATGTTTACAAATAATTGAGTTTAATAGTAATTTAAAGATATACAAACATATAAACAAAAACAAGAATGTATTGTATGACTCAATCGGAATGAAAATCGTAACGATTTAAAGATTATGAATTTTTATGCAATTGTTTGTTAGGAATATATGAAACAATTAAGTTTTCATAACAGTTACTTATCTTATATTTTCAATATATGTAACTCAAAAATTTGAACATTGTGCTATTTTATATAGAATTTTTTTGATTTCAAATATTTCTCAATAAAGTCTGGAATTAAATTATCATCAGTATCTGTAATAAATTAGTTGGCGGATATAAAAACTTCTTCATATACAAATAAATAAAACAAATATTTTGTTAACCTTTGTATAAAACTGTAAGTTTTTTAGATATCAAAGTCTAAATCGATGACATAAAAAAACAAATCGAAAGATTTTTGTTATTTAACAAAATGGCTAAAAATACAGGAAAAATTATACAAAATTGTATAAATTGATATTATACTTATAAAATACATCCTCTCAAAACAATGTTTAATTTTGAATTTAACTACAATAGTTTATTAATTCTATTTTATTATTGCTACAGTGAGCTGTAACATGAAAGGGTTTATACTTATAAATATTTAAAGTTTTAACCTCATAATATAGTGTAATTTATATGTACTCTAACGATCCCTAGATAAAATTTTGTCTTATGTAATATAAATTATATGACAACTAAATCATACGCGACATTTAAAATATTACTTAAGCCTGTTTACACAATTACTCTGAAGATCAGTCATTACAACATTCATGCATACATCAGGTTAAAATGGACACAAGGGCTCTAGTCACAGGAGCCTCAAATTGCTTGAATGTTGCCCAAAACATCTTTGTAACTCCTAAATTTTCTGGAAAAAACAAATCGTTATACCAATTTGTGGAAAAAAAATAAAAATGTAGATAAATCGTATTGAAGCTCGAAATTCACTCTCTTAAGGATGTATTTTATAGCGACTACGGGAGCTCTAAGTAGTTTGTATACAAATTAGATTAATTTTAATAAGATATGTAATTTAAATTCTTCGACTTCACTAGTTCAAGGGCCCACTTCAAATCGTTATAAGTAAGGTCCCCTAACAAAATTTTCACGTGAGGCTCATAGAGGGCAAGCTAAAGCCTGGATATTGTTACATAAATGTACGTGTTTTCGTCATAAATAATGATATGTTATTAGACACTATTACTCAGAGTGCGACCTTAAACGTGATTAGAATCATAATCACAAGAATAAAGACACGGCAGGTAAATATGACGGTTTTTTATAAATTTCCTAGTCGACAAAAATATTACAAATATATATTTTTTACACAACCTCCAAAGGAAACAATAAATTAATTAAACAATAGATGATAATTTAAATATGTTTCCTTAAAGTACATCGAATTCGTAAAGTTATTTTTGTATTACGACATTTATGTATCCATGGTAATACTAAACGTATTTTTTGTTGTTATCTTTGCGCCTACCACAAGTTTGAAACATTACATTTCGTACGAAGCGTTTCGCGTTTCACATTCAATATCCTACATTAAAACTGTAAAGTGAGATGACGTATGAATAAGAAAGTACAACGTTCCATATTTAGTATGATTTAAACTTGTGGTAAATACACTGATCTCTGAGATACCCTCGACAGTTAGGATAGCGACAGATAAGTATTAAAATAGGTATAATAATACTATTTTATTTAAAAGATAAAGTATAATATACAACTGTATGTATAATAAACAGTAAATAGGATAAAGTAAATAAATCTTAATAAAGTGATTTAAATGAAACTAATCTTTTCGGATACAACGCGTTTTTTTATTATTTTATAACTACATAATCTCTTCCTTTCTGTTCCTTTACATCAACCGTGGTCACGAGCAGACGAAATGAAAGTGTAGTTATAAAATAATAAAACACGCGTATCCAAAACCTTAGTTTCTTTTAAATGAGTACACGGCAAAATCTTAGACATGATAATTTCCTATTAATAATATAATATTTTCCTGATAAATCATAGCATCATACTATGCATATTTAATAAACGACTGGTACAGAAATCATCTTTAAAGATGGACATTCAATATTTTTGTACTCATGTTTTTTATAATTTTAATATCTTCTTCCTGTTTTAATCTGTGACGAGGACAAATTTTTTATCATAATGCGGATACACAAAAGATTTGCGTAACAAAACATGTAATGAAACATATTTAAAAACCAGTTTTTAAAATTAAGCAGTTACCTGCTAAATCGCATACATATATTTTCTATATATGTATGTACATTAATTGCATAGATAAATTAGATAAGCTGCTAATTTTGACATTGGCATTGTAAGGTGACATTGTATAATGAAACAGAAAAAATTGATATGACCAAACGTCTTGATTATAAACTTCGCAAATAGATTATACTTTTAAATCCGACGCGACGTTAAATATCCTTTGTTTGTCAATAATAAAAGAAATGAATTATAACATTGTTGAATTTATCTCGCAATTGTTTAGTTCTTTATTATGTTATTCTAAATAATTATTTTTTGTCATTTACGAATTGCACGTGTTAATAACTTGTTAAGTATTTATTTTGTTTGTGATAACTTTCTAAATATAAAATTTCCTAAAAAATAGATATATTCTATTGACAGTACAATATTTTTGACGTTTATGGCCATTTTTTTAATGAATGTTCAACTATATGATTTTTATCATAGAATATAAAATATAGTTTCATTTTGGAAGTTCTTTATGCAAAATAAAAGAATGAAATCTTTGAAAAATATGGTTTTAAAATAAAAAAAAATTAATTATTAAGAATTAAAAAGATTTATTGTTAATATTTTTTAATACGTATAATTGGTTGGTTGTTTTAAATATGGCCTTCATCAGTGCAACATGCATTGTTAAACACAAATACTAGATCTCTAGTAACTTAATATCGGAGAAAGACAACATAAAATGTCTATTTCTATAAGAAGTCTGTTAGAAATTAGTACACTACTCGATAACTAACCAATGTGGACCAATGTGGTTGATAAAAGTAAATATTAATCTCCTAAGGAGAATTTCTAGTATTTATTGCACTATATCCTTTGATTGCACATATTAAATGGGTACTGTAGTTGTGAAATCATGTTGCCGGTTTGAAATGAACTATTAAGTACTTTCTTATTTGAAACAGACGGTTAAGATTTAAGTTGCTTTCTCAATTAATCCTGAAAATAAAAATAGATTTTAGAGTAATATTTTATTTGGATTTATAATAATTTATGATATTCAATTGTATTTCATGACATTTTAATAAAATCAAATTGACGATTTCATAAAATAGAATCAATAGATTAAATAAATCAGAGATAATATGTTTTTTTGGATATTTAAATTTAAAAGAATAAAAAAAAAACTGTCATAGATAATTACTGGTATTTTTCCTTAGAAAAAATATTTTGATTTTTTCTCATATATTTATTGAATTAAAAGAACTCAGCTAAGTAATTTAATAGTAAGGTTAGCAAGATAAAAAACAAAAAATACTAAATCTGGACAATCATAAGAATTAAGGCAAAATTGTGTACAAAATAAATAAAACCGTTTCCTAGAACTAATGCAATCGCTAACAATGGTATTGACTTTGGAAGGAAGTTGATTTACAAATAAGTCTATTATGAGGAAGTGAGATAGGAGGATTTTGTAACAGATAATAGAAAATATTAAATCATTAAAGTCAATCCATTAAGCATTACCAATTTATATAGACAACGTCAGTTTAAAATTTCGCCTCTCTAATATTCTTACGTCATGTCGTTGCACGCTATGGTGGGTGCAATTATTACAATTAACTACGTTCTACATACAAACATAAGACAGTTTACAATATCTTTAAGTTATAATATATAAAGAATTTTTATATTTATCTAGCAGTTAGTGGTATTAGAAACACTCTGAACGTGTTTGAATATACTTTCACATTTGACCATCTCTAACTTTTCAACCTCAACCTTAAATAGGCACAGATATTGAATTTATTAAAAAAATCGCGGAGAAAAACATGGAATAGTTTAATATTATTTTTATTTCCAACAATTAAATAAAATATTTTACTCAAATATATTTAGTGCAGGTACTAAAATTGTAGGTAAATATAATAATTGTCTCTTATCCTCAATCAGATTTTGTACCATACATTCGTAACGAAGACAATTTATGATTATACTATTAACTTTGCGTGTAAAGTTTAAGACGAACTCTTACTAAGAACTAAACGCAGCTAGCAACAGTTATAAATAAATAAGTAATCAAATAGAAGCAGTGATTGTAGCACTAAGTAACAACAATATCGAATCAATAAATTATTAATTACATTGTTTACGTATTAACACTTACAATGTATTTATCTCTCGATGTATATTTTTATTTCGACGACCCGAATTACAGGTTGAACTATCACGATAAGAAAGTTGTAATCTTTTAAAATACACAATCAATTGGTGAATATTATTTTAATTTTGTTGTATTTTTTTTTTCAGTCATGCCGGACCAGGAACAGGAATGGAACACAGCCCTCGTTCCGATAAAGGACTGGTTGGTGAAACAACCTCACCTACCCAACGATATAGGTGACCTTTTTATACTAAATTCATTTTATAAATGTACAAATTGAAGTGGAAAATCTATAAATATACTAGCTTTCCGCCCGCAGCTTCGCCGCGTGGAGTTCGGTTATATCGCGTTTCCAAGAGAACCTTTCAAAAGTCTGGGATAAAAACTATCCTATGTTCTTTCTCAAGGTCAACTCTATCTCTGTACCGAATTTCATTAAAATCAGTTCAGTGGTTTAGGCGTGAAAGCGTAGCAGACAGACAGACAGACAGACAGACAGACAGACAGACAGAGTTACTTTCGCATTTATAATATTAGTAGGGATTAAAGAAAGTCGTGCTAGTTACAATATTTATAACTCAAGAACGACTGCGCGGATTTGGCAGATTTGGATTTATTTTTTCACCGAATTGGACAAACATTTTGGTATTCGTACATATTATTTAAATAAATTAATGGTTGCTTTTAATTCTATGCATCTCTTATGCATATCTTTGTTTACATAAAGTTATCCTTAATGTATTATTATCTGAGGAAATTTAAATATATTTATTTAATATATCCGATAAATTTTAGGACTATTTGAAAGAAATCATTATAAACTATAAGCAGATCGAATTGTTTCAACTTTAAGATACGTCTTTCGACATATCGTTTGCGACCCACTAAAGTGAAAGTTTTTTGGTCAATGTACGGTTATGTTTAGCTTTGGGATAAACAACTTATGATATAAAAGTAGTCACAACGTTATCTAAAAATAGTTTTAGTGTTAATCCAAATATAATTTATGTGGAAAATATTGTAACAGAATTTTGTAGTCGTACGTCTTGATGGATATTATATGTAATTTGTTGAATTTTCCTAATAAGTAACGCTGTAGTTCGTAAATGAGGTTTAAATAATGATAAAAATTTTAACGCATATTTTCAAATTTAAGATACAAATATGCAAAATTGAACTTAATATATCCATGTATCCTTTTATATGAATATAATGAAAACTTAACTCAAACATTTGTCAAAATCAAATCAAATTATTGAACAGAGTTAAATAATCATAGGCGAAGTACTTAATAAGTAGCAATTTTTCTAAGAAACTTGGTGTTATAAATCTTGATTTTATTGTAAAACGCAGTTTCAAATATGTTTAGTAAAATATTTAGTAGAGACGAAACTTCTTAGCATCCAATGGATTCACCGTGCGGGTGCCGGGTCCATTGCGTTGCAGGGAGAGGAGCTTCAACAGTGCCTGGTATAGGTTTAACTATCTAACGCTCGTTAAACGCTCACCTTCACCATCCAGGCTCCCCTCTCTACCTGACCAAATTTGAAAAGAACCTACTAGAGATGCCTTTGAAATACGTTCCTGTTACGTATATTTCTTCGTAAAATTTGAAAAATATAAGGCAAAGGATTAAGTGCTAACTGTTTCTAAACGATTATTTTGATTGATAACGATTATTCGAATACATTGTTGCATTTTTATCAACCGATGACGGTGATGAGTTACACTTAAAATAGAAATTATAAAAGCGATAATTCTGATAAAATGGTACAGGTAACTACAACATACAATGTTACATTCATGACCTTCCACATGATTAATCTGTGAATTTGGATTCACTTAATAATTATCGGAATTGTTTTCGTTTATTAATTTATTATTGCTTAACAAATTATAATTGTTTATAAATTTTGATTACAACTTTAATTATTATTTAACACGCTTTGTTTAATTTTAATAAAAAGATTGTGTTATAAATTTTTATCATTAAATTTTATGTATATGCACAATTTTTTTGTTTTAAATCTAAATATTACATAGGTTTTGCACAGATATTATAATAATTTACGTAATATTATATTCGTACATTAAAAGTTAGGAACACTTTAAATTAATTAAACTTGAATTAATACGGTTTAAAAATGTGATTCTCACTATCAATATTTACGTATATGGCAAAATTATTTTCGGGATGACTAATCTTCACAGTCTTAGGATCTTGTTGCTTGATCACCACATGTGATTAAAAAAACAAAACAATAGTAAACTAAATTAGTATTATTTACTGATTTTATACATTATTACCTTAGTGTGTGACATTTAATATATCTAAATGTACCTAAATTATTACGTACACATGTACGCGTTTGCCAGTGCACAGTCGTTAATATATTTATAATGAGATAAATGCATTGCTTCGTTGTGTAATTAAGATTATGATATTTAATAAATGATAAGTATAATATATTATCCATTTAATGTGTAATTTACTAAACAATCAATGTGTGTGTGTATATATATATATATATATAATATATGTAAACAGTTTTTCATTTATAAATGTTCTACTTCAGACAATACTTCAAGAGAAACGGGAAACGTAACGTATGCTGTTAGGACTATCCATTCAAACTTGGACTAAGCAATCTGAGATCTATACTATACACTCGTCACTGATTTTAATATATTTTGGTTTGTTAAATTATTTCTCCGTTCCACATAATTTAACAAATGAACGATTGTATTTGTTCAATCCCATAGAACTTGTATTTTTCGTCATAATAGTTCTCCTAAATGCCAAATAAATGTTGTAAGTACAATGAGATTTAAATCATATATTCTATTAATACTGTTATTAATGTAAATTCATTCATGAATTCATCGTGGATAAATCTCTTTGCATTGTATATTGGTGACATTCAAATTGGTTTTTATTCCTACATAGTATTTGTTATGATTTTGAATAGCGTGGGAAAGAATCTTAATCAATATGCAAAGCAATATGCACATTTTTAAAAACACATCCAAATGTATTTCAAATCTATTTCAACGAAAAATTGAATTACGATACATATACTTATATTTATTAGTTATATAAAATTAATAATATATATTATAGAATACGTCACTCATGTTAAACTCGCCATTTCTAAACATAAGTCACACGTTTAAAATTCAACGGTCATTCTCTAAATCCTTTTAAACTAACGTTCTACATAATAAGTTGTGTGTTACCCAAGTCGTGTCTAATCTGCATTGGTAAAAAGCGACCACGCAACCCATACGAGAAATGTGCCCATTGTTTTATAAAACCGTTAAAATTTAAAAGCCTTACGCAATAAGCAATAAAACACATAATTGTTTAACCCGTTTATGTATTGCATAGATTGCGCGGCCGTAGAAATGTAATGCTTTTTCCGCACAGTTAATTAATACGAGAAAATATACTTGTATATTGAGAACCTGAATCATTGTGATAGCTGATAGCGTATACTTACATTTCTATCAACACATAACATAACATAAAAACACGAGGAAATATTGTATTGTGCTAAATTATCAATAATTTTTTTATACTCATTGAATTTGGATCAAGAAATTGCAACTAGAAGTGAAACCTATATGAAATGTTAGATTGCTTTATGTGTTTTTTCAAGTCACAAGAAATGCCTCACATTTTTTTACTACTGTTGATTTATTAGAAGATATTAATTAAGAACTGTTTATACTTACTAACAATATGACTGACAAAAATGTTACCATTAAGTGTAGCTTTGGAAAATTATGTTAACCGACCTAAAATCTTGTATATTTTTGGCAATACTATGAACATTTAAATCTTTATCAGGTGATGTGCTCCTTCGTCGGTTTTACGTGAGCTGTGATCGTTCTATGGAGCGAGTTAAGAGGACCATTGATCTGTTCTTCACAATCCGATCGACAGCACCAGAATTGTTCCTCAAAAGGGACCCCTGGTCTCCCGAAATACAAAGAGTCTTTGAAATAACGTAAGTTCTTTAAACTATATAAAAAGACGGTTCATTTGACTCTAATTTTTATTGAGTTTCCTATCAATTTTATAGCAAGGAACGCAAGGAAGATTGATAATATTAAAAAATAATATTTCTCATTTATGTTTATCATGGCTATGTTTAAGATTTTGCAGGTTGAAGGCTAAGTTTAATGCAATTTTATCGTTTACCTTTAATTATAGTTTCTTTTTATGTTTTCAATTAAACAGATATAAAAGTCATTCCTTTAACATTTATGTGAAGTCATTCGTATATCTAATAATTGCTATTTAGAACCAGTATAATAATTGAGCAACAAAAAACATTGACGCAATAACTTGTCATAACCACTGTTTGTTTTTTTTTAATGAATAAAATACAAATTGCTTAAACCATACATTTAGCGAATATCCTTATAGCATGCAATAATATGTTATTTTATCAAACAGTTTTTGTCATAATATATTTCCTTGTCAAAAAAAAGACACCAATTCACGATTCTTATACTTGATTTTTAAAATATCCATACTAAATATATAAATAATTATAAATTCTGCATGTTATTTTGAACCTGGTATGTTTTTTTGAATTTCTGTAATAAATATCGTAAAAAATTAAATTTTCATATAACACTTTTGTTGCGTTATTTACAGAGACATGTTGCCATTACCAAATAAGACGAAAGAAAACTACAAAGTGTTTCTGTATCGTCTGAACAATCCAGACTACGATCTATTCAACTTTATAGATGCTATCAAAGTGTTCTTCATGTTGGCTGATACTCGTCTCACAGAAGAAGACGATATACCATCAGGAGAAATACCTATATTCGATGCTACTAACGTCACACTCAAGTTCATGGGAAAAATCAATCTGACAGTACTCAGGAAATACATGCTTTACACACAGGTATGTGTCAACATATATAAATACTAGCTGACCCGGCAAACGTTGTTTTGCCATATAAAAAATAGGGATTGGTGATAAAAAAGTAAACATTTTGCGTGAACAATCCTTATGACTTAGGGGTATGAAAAATAGATGTTAGCCGATTCTCAGACCTACTCGATATGCTCACAAAATTTCATCAAAATCGGTCCAACCGTTTCGAAGGAATTCTCTGTATAACACCGCGACACGAGAATTTTATATATAAGATATAATACATATAGATTATTATATTTGAATGTAAGCGTAGGTATATAAAATAATCTTCATAGAGCTATCCTTGGTAAGGTATTAGTACTATATTATAGTTAATTTATCAGATAATAAATTAGTTTCGTAGTGATATTAGTTGATTAATTTTTAGTTTTAAACATAATGAGTCGGTTACATAGACGACATGAAATTTAAAAATGTTATAAGTAATGAGAAATATTTTATTTATGAAGAGATCCGAAAAGTTGATAACAGACGGAAGGAAATATTTTATTTATTAAGTTGCTAGCTATTAAAAAATAATTTACCTAAAATTATAATGTACTTGGATTATAATGTTAATAGCTCGGAAGCATATAGTCTCGAAAATTAATAACCACGGAAACTAGATGGAATAATGTACTAGAACGAATAAAAATTGTATGGACTTACGAATCATAATTAGATTGTATATGTAAAGGTTTGTGACACCAAAACAAAACATTATGGAAAGTGTTACCATGTCAACTTTCATATCAAAATTTTAAGAAATAACTATAATAAAATTGTACAGTAATTTACTCTTTTATTAGAAAGACGTGTTTTATACAACATTTTTACATTCGTAACCATTTTGAAGTAATCATATATGGGGGTCAGTTAATTATTTTAAAATGCCACTTGTTGCGCTTCCAAAAATCAAGTAACGTAATCAAAGGTGAGGGGTCAATGAAAGTGGACATCGCAATGCGATTCTCTTTTTTTCTTTTAGTGTTTCACACTGGGGTCGTTGAATGATCGTTTTTTTTGTATATATATTTCAATAAAAGAAATGAAATGATATTTTTATTTCAATAAAACAAATGAAATAGTAAAATGGACGAAAAATAAGTGAAAGAACTTAGATGGCTTTAGCTGACAAAAAATAAAATACGAAGAAGACAGACATGTTATGGTGGCAGATTATAATGAATAAATAGTCTCATAGATAAATATCATAAAATAATCAGATATGAAGTTATACTAGATATTTTATAAACAGGAAAATTTTCTTTGAATTCAGGTGTAAAGTTTCGTAATAATTTAAATGAAAAGTAGTATACTTAATGATTATAGTTAAAAATAAATATTGTTTAAAAAATATCTTACATTAGAAAAACAATATATTATATATGATATGAATAAACACGTAATTTGGTGTACATTCCGCGGGAACATGATTCTTTGTAGTACTAAAAATAAGCGATAGATGGCGTTGACCGCTTGTTAGAATATTTTTAAGCACATGTAATTCCTTTCTCTTTCCAACAAAGGTACTCTATATAATACATGCTTGTGTTTAATAAGATTAATTCATTTACAATGATGTAATCAAGTGAATATTTATTTAGAGGAATAGAATTGTTTTATGGGTGTGGAAAAAGCATAGGAGAAACTATGTAATTTTGTATTAATCAACATGAAGTTGTAATATGAAATGTTTAATTCTAGGAAGCTCTGCCAATAAGACTAAAGCAGGTTCATATAATCAACGCTCCGCCGTACATCGGGAAATTATACGCGATTTGCAAACCGTTCATCAACACAGAGGTCGCTAAACTGGTGGGTATAAAATACTTTCATTACATTTGTTACTTCGAAAGTCTTTCAATGACACAAACATGCAAGGGATACATTCAAATGTATTAAGTTTGGGAATAAAAAGCTTTAAATAGACGAAGCAATCTCCGTTACTTCTATATATTTGTTTTGGTATAGAAACCATTTAGTTTAAGGATGTTTTATCATTTTATGTGTCAATTTTTAAATTTGTAATTAGGACGAAATTATAAGAAGTAAGTTGACCTATCTACTACGAGAAATCTACTACATTATTGATAATGTTATTATGTATATTTCTCAGATAAAATTCCACGAGCCTAATTCAACCACGTTGTATGAAGACGTACCAATGGAGATTTTGCCGGATGAGCTAGGAGGTTCGGCTGGCACTATCGAACAGATCAAGAAATACTGGATTAAGAGAATCGAAGCGAAGAGGTATACACATATACTTAATACTGATTGATGTTGTGATGACGTCATGGAAATTATACACTATGGCTTACATTTTACAATTTTACACTGTGGAACCAGGACAGAGAGAAAGGGCTTGAAATAATTTTATCATCATAATAATTGTATTATCATAATTACCTTTCAATAAGACGAATTATCTCTGAAAATCATTGAAACTAAAGTTTCACTAAAACATGAAATCTAAACTTTTTATATTATTATTATTATGTTAATTCCATTAAAGTAATTTGAATTAAAATTAAATAGAATCCTATCATAAAAATTCATCGTTTCAAGTTGCTTCTACTGTGACTTCTATGGCGTCTCAATCGCTTAGCGAACTAAATCGTGTTCTAATTCGAGTAGGTAAATAAATAAATATATAAAATACTTCATAATAACAAACATTTCTCCCAACAGGGACTGGTTCCTATCAAATGACAAGGAGTGGTGTGTAGATGAAGGGCTTCGTCCACGAGAGACCGCGAGAGATGAAAGAACTACTGACCTTCCTGGATCATTTAGATCACTAGCCTTCGATTAAGAACCACAACAGATAATAAAGCGATTTAAGCAATATAGCTCCTAGACTAAAGCGACTACGTAAGCGATGCAGAACTATGAATGACGTAATTATTTAACTTGTAAACATTTTTCATATCAACGAAAGCTTCTAGACTAAAGCGATACGTACAGCGTACCATGTTTGACATAATTTATATAATTGTTATACATTTTCCATAAAAAGTAAACCTTATGTGACGATAATCTAACTTGCATGTTTGTTTTCGAGTATAGAGTACTGATTATAGAAAGATTGAAATTTGAAGAGAAATCGGTAATTTCATAATGTGAATTTTTTTTTTTAAATAGCGTTAGTATACAATTGTATGACTGTTTTAGATTCCAATCGTAAATTGAATAAAATATTCGGTTTCATTTACTTATAACAAATTTAACTGTCGCTGAACCAGTGACAATTATTGTTTACTTTCTACATATTATATAATATTACGCTATTATAATGAGAACTCAAGTTATTGTTTATACAATCTAATTTAATCAAATAATTTATATTATATCAATTACATGGTTTTAATGATATATTTTTGTTATTTTATAATCACGTTACCATTGTCCTATGTTTAAAAATATCAAATATAAGAATAAAATATTTTATTAAAACTGCATTTTCAATTAATACCAAAAATAATTTACTAGATTGGCAACTCACATACTAATTTCAAGTTAAGAATATTATTAAAAAACGTCAACATAATATTATATATAAATAAATAAAAATTTCCTGGTCACGCTATAACTTAAAATCGGCTTTATCGGCCAATTATTTTCTAATACGTCGTACGTTGATAATGATCAAGAAAATGACGCAACAGGTTAGAAAAGTAAGGACAGAAAATTTATAAAAGTGATAGCTTAGCTTTATATACTCTTTGCTAAGTATAGTCTTATCCATCAGAATTAAACTACAGATTTAACGAACATTTGTAACATTTATAGTACGTTTGGTTTAAGCTGAGCTTTGTATTTGTGCGAGTGCACACGGATAGTGTAGGTATCGTGTAACAATTTTTGAATGATACATTCTTTTCTAGTTTTAAACCGGTTTATTCTGCTTTTACTCCGCCCCGCACCTTCCTCACTTCACCCTTTGTAATGGTCAAGTGAAGAAACATTTGTATTGTTTTTTCAAAATTTTTATTACTTAATAATTTTTTTTTTCTAAAATTTCGATTTGACCTTTTACAATTTTTGCTTGTTTTACTTTTATCTAGAATAGATCTAGCACTTATGTTATGTATCTATTTAACATATAATAAAATATAATTTTAAAAGTTTTTTGTCTAACGCTACTTTTACTTTAACTCACACTAATGCAAAGCTTGGCTTAAGGCAAACGGACTATACCAACCTTACTGTTCAACGGTACCTTTGACAAGACGGCATCTGTCAGATCTGTTAGTAAGCAATAAATTAAAATTCCATATCATTAATAAAAATACTATAAATAAGTCTAATTTTGACAGGTCAATTTTGTCATTTTTACATATGACAACACTTAGACATATGATTTAAAACTTAATATTTAAATTTTTATCTCCTTAGAAGTTGTCACAACCCAGTTTTCTACTTATAATATGTACGATTCCTTTTAATTGAATAAATTTCAAATATGATATTAAAAATACATATTAAATTTCTCTAATAGATATACACATTTATAGCCTAGTGCTATTTACCTAAATATACATTTACTTCATCCGTTCGAAACTTGCGCAGCGTATCTGCCAATACAACCAACTATACATATATAAACAATTATTTTTTAAATTAATTTATTACATAGAAACATTAATTGTCTTCATTAATTTCAAATTTTCTAATCTATTTGAAGGGTCCTAAACGAGCCATTCATCGTGTTATCCTGAGCGCTGCTTTTCATTTTCTTTTTCAAATCCGCTTTCCACAGGTTATCATTCAAGTACATTTTCCTGCAATAAATTTAAAAATAAGCATTGATAGACAAATTAAGCTTTTGTTACAGAAACTAAACAAAGCTGAAACTATATATTCTATAAAATCAAATAGAATATGTATTAAATTTAAATTTTTCATAATTAAGTTTTGATTTTGTGATGTTTATATATTTATTTTAGTTTTCTCGTCTCTTAAAAACTTAATGGCAACAGAAAATGGGAAAAAATATGTAAATAACTTTAACATTTTTTAAAACTCGTCATAAATATCTGTAATTAAAACAAAGTATAAATACTGTATGTCTATATGTATACGGCCTCAATACGTTCCAATAATAATTGACAATCACTAATATTAATTTATATTCATATGTAAATACCTTTCTTTCTCTATATTCTGTATCCATTCTTTATTCTGGTCATAAATACTTTGCCCCTCACCTCCATATTCAATCGGCAAACATTTCTTATCTACAATTTTATGCAGACTTTCATAATCTGTGTAGAAATGTATCTGAAAAATATGTAACGCATAACTTATTAGTTGCAGGTACCAAATAGCGTGAAATTATTTTAATTATATTTACTTACAGTTGAAAGAGTTTATTATAAATTAATCGATTAATCAAATAACTATATATTTTTAACAAGTAAGAATACTATAATATTTCAATGCAGGTTTCTCAATAAGGAATAGAAGACTTTACAAGCGTCAATTTGTATGTAGCAAAAAAAAAAATACAATAACGTCTAAAAAATTAAAGCTATTTGAATCATCAAAAACATGTTTAAATTACTTCGACACCAAGATTATTTTTTGTATGGATTTCGTAATTCGTTTTATTAATCACATTCATAGAAAACATAATACTTACAATATCACAAACTTCTGCTGGCAACACTGGTTTTATGAAGGCGAAAATTTTATCGTAAAAAGATGGAGCATTAACAGCAACTATTCTTTTAACACGTACTGGTAAACCTTGCTATAAACATAAAAAGATAGTTGACAATTATGAATTTATGATATTTTAAAATAATACCAAATAAATATGAGGCGTTAAATTTATATAATATTCAGAGTACGTTAAATCGTAAACGTATAAATAAGATAATAAAACATTAAACGAATTCACAACATTAATCCGAGAAAAAAGATCAAAGTTATGGTATATTTACCAGAAGAAATACTATGAAATCTCTTAAATACATGATATTTAATTTGGGTATGATTTTCATAGTGATGTTCGTCATATCAACAACCAGTAAGTGTTCGTCGAGGAGGTGCGGTGAATATTGGATCCAGTAATCCATCGTCATACAAAGAGCTTTCAGCATGTCGTAGAATGCGAATCTTTCTAATGTTGGGTCGTCGAATTTGTTTATTATAACTTCGTTATTGCCACACACGTAAGATCCACCGATCCTAGGTATATTATAGAGATTCGTTAACACAAAATCATTTAAAAGAAGATAATATGAAGATTATAGGCGAGGCTTATATATTTAGTTATTTATTAATGTACCAAAAAATTTAGGATAACCTATCTCTTAATAGAGATTTGTCGGAATCCTTTTGATAAATAAAAAGAGGACAGAAATTGTGGTGTAGGTAGAGATAAACAATAGAATAAAAAGCTATTTCTACATAAATAGGGTTACAAAAGAGTATAGAAATATCAAATAGATAACTAACATAAGTTAAGTTGTAAACTAATATTTTCAGAATAACTGCGACTTTTTTACTATTTTAAGCTATATAATCCCGAAGTTTTTTTTACAACAAAGTAAATAAATACTCGCTAAAGCCTTAGATCTGAGTTGTAAATAATCTAAAGCAAAGCTATTACTTACATGAGTGATAAAGCTGAGTGTACATTAGGAGACTGAGGATCTCGCGAAGTATATATCTCTGATAACCTAGATCTAGTAGAACAGAAGTTGTCTATACACTTCTTAGTTTTCTCCAAGCTTCCATAGCAACTGTGAAGAAACTTAGTGATGACGAAATCATCTGGAAATATAAAGTATAAGTTAAATCGTGTAATAATTACAACTATTATTTCCACTTACGCTGTAATTAAACTAGTGACGCCGTAATATAGATGTACTGTTTTCATTACGTAACAAAAATAAGGACTAAGGTTATATAGTCTAGGACATAATTGGTAATTTCAAGGCCATAAATAAATGAATTGAACTATAGCTGTTCATCATAGGCATAACTTATCACTTCTAATATAAAACATTTTTATAATAACGCAAGAAGTTGAAGGTGAGTTGCTTTATATAAAAACTTGTTTTTACTGCTTTAACATATTGATAATAGTATCAAATCGTCAAAAAACAATTTAAATGTCATTATTATTATTTTTTCAACACAGTCGGTTAACCGTTAAATTGTCATTATTTGACATCACACTTAGAACTTTTGAATATCCAGTGAGAATATTGAGCTGAAATTGTCAAAGTAAGCATAATTTTATGGAAAAAATAAACTGTCTGTCAATTAATATTGATTACTATAACTGATTATCAATATCAGTATTGTATCGGAACATGGAATAACCAAATTACTACTCCAATTTTGTGTAAAATAATAATGGTCCTTTTATATATCTCTAAATCATAATAAGTAGAATTATATCAGAACTATGCTTAGTTAGACATTTTTCCCTAAGTACTGTAATGGTCGCTAGTTTTTGTTTTTCATTATAAAACCTTTATTATATTAATATAATAATAGAGCTTGATGATACTTAAATTTTAAAAGTATAACATACTCATATACCTACAATTAATGTTTTAACATAAGCTTTTATCATTTTATCTATCGAAATAATCATATAATTTTAATTGTGATTTAAATTAGTTCAACTCACCAAGATCCGAAGGTAGATGAGGTTCTTTAGTCATCCACTCTTTTATATATAATACATTTTGAACGTCCGCCATCTGGGATACATTAAAAATAAATAAGAAATAGTTCGTTGAAAAAAACTTATCATTTACTAATGATATAATAATTATATTCAATTAAAATTTTACTTCTACATTATTATAAATAAGAACGAACTTTATAATCACTGAATTATAAGACATTATTTATTTCTAAACATAAAAATAAACTGCTTGTGTATCATATTGGAAATATTTATGAACTACGTAAAATAAACGAGTAGGTATTATTGATATATAAGTTTAAAACTCACAATGTCTTTGATACTGTCTTTACAACTTAAATTGAAACGATAAACGTTTAAGTTGTAATATATGGATAACTTTAAGACACCTTAAACAAACAAGTTAGTCGAGTAAACCACCATATTCGAATAACTAACAGAGAATGGAATTAAATCACGCGTGGTTATGATCGTGTTTCAAGGGCATAGTCTCAATTTTGTATCCATTTAATTTTTTATAAATTTCCTGTTTAATGAGATGGCTACAACCAAAACAACTAATTTACATAATATTGAAGCCGCTGATATAATATGCTTTAACTAGAAGTGTTAAGCTTAATATACTCAGATTAAAATTACAAATAGTACATAATGAAATATTCATAGAACTATTTATAAACTGTATGTATAATTCAGTTGCTTTACCGATGAAGAGATTTTCTCTCTCAATTACACCAAATGAAATATAACAATGTATATATGTACTTCTAATACTACTGAAAAAGTAGAGACATATTCTAGGATCTAGGATTCTAGTATCTATATTGTAGGAATATGAAAGGGTAGGAGAGGGGAGAACCACATATATGTAAGTAGTTGTCTAAAGATCAAGCCTCCTTTTTCGTTACTAACGGGCTTTGGTGTGATAGATTAGTCGATCATAGATTTTCGGAGTGTGTTTTAAATCTTTCGTTTGTGTTATATTCAGATTTCGTTTCACGATAAGTTTAAATCTAGATTTTTGAAAGTTATTAATTTAAAGCTTTATGTAATATTAATTTTGTTAATAGTGAAATTTTATCGAATATTATTTTTTAAAAAGTCAATTCTGATCTTTTTTTTAAGAATCTATCCATCTAGATTCAACTGTACCTCAACACAAGCTTACCTCTTCAAATTTAACATTGACCGTTTGGTTTTTTATTGTTATGTGTATGTTCTTGACAACTTAAACGTAACTATTTCAATGAAAAACTGAAAAATATCCGTGTTTATTTTACACGAACTTGTACTAAAGGTACATAGGTAAAGATCGTTTGTTGTTCACAATGGCTTCGATTGTGTTTTATTTTAGTTTTGCTTCAATAAATTCTACAGTATGGGTCCCTGGAGTTTGAAACGAATGTAAGAGCTTAATGTATGAGATTAAAAAATATTCACGAACTAAAAACGGAACGACTTTTTGTATGAAAACGAATACAAAATTCATCATTCGAAATTACTTAAGAAGTTTTAAGACTTAGTTAATTATTTGATATGATATATCCTTAATTTTTTTCTAATCTATGCAAGAGTTCTTATTCAATTAGTCGCCAGTTAATTAAACCCTCATACAAGTTACTATAAAAAACCAAATAATAAAAAGGAAGCAAGGAATAAAAAATTTAAAAATCAACCACTTTATTCAATTCTTAAATTATATATTACAGACCTGAGACCAATTTCCATTAAACACAAACAACAACAACTGTTGTTAAAAAGGGTAAAAAAATCAGTATATATTTTAAAATGTATTATAAATACATTATTATTATGTTTACCACAAATGCATCGTACTTCATACGAAGCGTTTCCCGTTTTTCATGACATAATCTACGTTATTATTGTGGGAGAAGGTTTTAATGGAAAACTGTTAACTTTCCGTATGTAGTTTAATATTACACACTTATGGTAAGCATTAAGATCTTTTTATAGTGTCATATTAAGTAGTTATCTTCGAAATAGCTAATTTATTTGTATAAATATATATATTTATCATATATGATATGTCATAGAAATTACCCTGTTTTTAGAAGACAGCTATATCTATGAAAATGAAATAGTGTATTAGTGTATGTAAAAGATATGTACATACATACATTGTATTTTTGTGCGTATTTTAATAAAATATTTGAATACACAAAGTCTGTATCTGAGTTTAAAGATCACATAAATTATATAATTTCTCCAATAGAATGAGATTGTATGACAAAAATTTTATATATGTACAGGGTGGATAGAATGTTATCATTGAAATACTTCAAATTGACATATTTTTCGTTATACAACATAGTGAAGATATATACATTAATTAAATAATTAAATAATAATTAGGGACTTTTATTCAGTGTACACAAGCCCTATCCTTTTAATTCACATTACTACAACTAATACATAGATATAAAAATATACAATTTCTTTGCACTTTACACATTCTGTCATTATAAAGATTATTCAAACTCTATGTTTAAACAATCTATATTAGTTATTATATAAAAAATTCAAGTCAAAATTTCAATACCAATTATATACATATATGGTAAGTATTAAAAATATTTAATATATAAAGTTATATGTTTATAATTTATTTGTTATTAATCTATAGCTAGTTTCCTAAAAGAGCCTACTTCTGTGGACGGCTCATTCTTTTTCAGTCTCCATAGATTTTCATCCAATAATTGTTCCCTGTACAGAAATTATATAAATTAAATAATATATAAAAATAATTACATGATTAACACGAGTTCGCTGTACGAATTAATTAAGTTTTATAGTTTTTGTATAACATGTCTTTGCATTTATTTGATAGTATCATTGTAATTTGTAAGCATATGACTGGAAGAATCAAAATTTTTAGTGTTTTGGTTAAACGCAAAACTTGTGGTAATTATATAAAAAAGGAGAAAAAAAAAAAATATTATATTATTCAGATTTTTTTTGACAAAAACTGTTGAAATGACCTATTTTAACAACAATAATGATATCTATCTATCACTTTCGCGTGTATTCATTTAATTAAAACTAATATTTTCAGATGTACTCCGCGTTTTTTTGTTATTTTAACCACATACTCCCTACGTTTCAGTTACTTTGAATCAAAAGTGATCACGGCAGACGAGATGAAAAAAATCTTAAAGTAGTTTAAAATAATAACAAACATGTAATATATAAAATATTAGTTTTATTTAAATTAACAACCATTTTTGATTGACCTATAACTATGGGTTCGGTTAAAATTATCTCATAAAGAACTTAGTAGTTAACATACATGGTATTGTAAAATAACTAAAACATAATATTAAAATAAAGAATACTTCCATATCAATAACGGGTTAATTTACTTAAAGAAACCTATTTTATAATTGCAATAGAAATATGAGTTTTTCATTTCATAGAAAGTGAACACGGAATGAGTGTTAAAACTCAAAGGCTCTATGTTATTAAATATATAAAACACGCACAATCACAATTATAATTTGACCTCTTTTAGATTCATGTTTTCATAACCCGAGATATAAAAAATTATAATAGTACTAGAAACCTTAAAAAATGCTATTGGTTTGTCTCCTTTCTTTTCAAATATCCAAAAATTAATAATGCTACCTTATAATAGACATTTCATTTATGAGTATAAGTATTCATAAATGAAATATGTTTCTTTATATATTACTACCGTAAAAACAACTATTTTTTTCCTCCCTAGATTTTTATATACATATCTTGGCTCATTCTTTTTGTAACTTATGACTTTTTGTAACTTATAAAAAGTTAAAATTAAATATGTTTTTTGTTATATAAAAAATAAAAATATACATATATAAACATTTCCGTTATGCTTAAAATTGTAGTAAATAAATTATTTTTAAGATCATCTTTATAACATCTATAAATTACATACACCTACCTACAGGGCCGTTTTATCCATTAGGCATTATAGGCAACTGCCTAGGGGCCCTGCCACGTTCAGGGGCCCCTGTGCTACAGGGAAAAGAATGGGCAATGTTTCTTAAACAGTAAAAAATTTATTTGAAAATTTGCTCTGTACATTACATCGACGCTATTTTAGTACATTTCGGAACGCATTCCTTATTAGATATTATTATTATGATTATTATTATAGTTTAAAAGTTTATATCGCAGTAATGTAATTGCAAGCAATTTTATCGCGGTAATTTAATTAAAAACGCTCAAAACTCTTTGTTGTGCACACTTACTATACTGGTACCTACCAAGTATGTATATTCTATGGCCAAGCTACTTTCATAAGGTTAAATTCATTGGCTATAATGGCAATTGAAAATGACGTGTTGGAGAAGATTACCTTTCAGGATATCTTGAACGATTTTGTATCGAAAAAAGTTAGAAGAGTTAATATTTAAGCTATGTATGTTTTTTTTTAAATGCATAAATAAACATTCTGTTCATTTGATTCAACATTTTTATTGAATAATATGATGATATACCCAGGTTAAAAAAACGGTGTAATTTTGAATTTTGTTGTGTTAACGAAAAAATTAGAAGGGGGTAGGGGGCCCTGGATGAGCATTGCCTAGGGGCCCCGACAGGCATAACCCGGCCCTGCCTACCTACATATACCGCACACAAAAACATAGAACAGCTCAGCGTACATTATTATTTCTCGCTAACTTACATTAACACATTATTTAATATGTACAAATATTCAAAGATTTAAATTTTGTTAAAAACGCTATCTATCGAAAGTTAACGGAAACATTACTACTACTAGCGCCGCTTCTCAGACAGTATGGCTAATACCAGAACTAATGATTGCTTATTCTCCATACAATGACATCATATAAAACCTCGTGATGTATAGAGAATATAATATATGTATGTGTGTGTGAAAACTTATGCATGTGTTATAAAGCGCTGCTTATAAATATTTTAGAACTCGTTTAAGCTCATTGTTTGTAAAGCGATAGTTAATTTTAAACATTTATTTGCTATTAATTTTGATTTCTTTTCTGTGTACAAGTGAATAAATTAAATGCTTTCATACATTCCGTCTAATTCCATTTCCTATACAATATTCTCATCATTATATATTCAGTACAGATCTTATAGATAAAAGATTTTTATACCTTCTTATGGACATATAAACATATTATATTTCATATGATTTATATATAATTACCTGTTATTCATAATTAATTCCAGACTATTCTCCGTTAACTCCGCCATTGAAGGCTTCGAACCACCATAATCTTCTGGCAAGTCTTCTTTCTTTATATATTTGTATAATGTTTCAGATTTGGGCGAGTGGAAATGTATCTATAAAGAAAATCAAATACAATGAGTTTTATTGATGATAAATTTAAGATTTATTTCTTAAAAAAGGTTTAATTACAAATTATATATATAAGCTGATGGATTATAAAAAATTTAATGCCTCATTTTGATTAGTAAATACAACAACTTAAAGATTGTTACAAATAATACAAGTAATTAGTCAGTACAAGTACACAACAATCTTTATATATACAAGAAAAACATGTTAATAACTATTTATAACTCAAGAACGGCTGACGGGTTTGGCTAAAAATTTGTGGGGGAATCATCTTCTTAAAAGTGAAGGTTGGACTTTAGTCCAGCGACGTAAGACACAAAATCGATTGACTGGCAAAACTGGAAAGGCAGTTTCATCGCCCTCGGGAAAATTTAAAGCGGCGGAGACAAAAATTCCCTTACTTATATCAAATGTTAGTAAACAGACGACTGAACAGGATATATTTGAATATATTGAGAGTAAAACCCAGGAGCATGTAAACTTAGAAAAAATCAGTATGAAACGCGATAAGCCTTATAATGCGTTTAAGTTATTTGTAACTAAAAGTAAGTTGCACATATATCTTAATGACAATCTATGGCCAGAAGGTATAACGTTTCGACGTTTTGTTTTCTTTAAAAAACACTTGGATATAGACAACTCTGCGATTATTGAAGATACATTACAATCATAATGGATAAAGTGGACAAAAAGAAAATTATTATTTCATCTTTTAATTGTAAATCGATTGTAAGATCGACGGAGTGTGTACGGCGATTTTGAATAAATGGGTACAACTACATACTAGGCCTAATAGTGCCTAGTATGTTAGTTTTAATTTTAATTTTATAGTACTAACATTAGATTTTAAGATTTTGTTACTAACACTTAGCTTTAAATGAATTTTAATATGGATATAATTTGTCTGAAAATAAAAATATATTATTATTATTATTATTATATTAAATATCAATACAATTCTATTCGATCGAAACAGAAAAAAATTGAATATTTGGTTATTTATGGCTTCTCAGACGGAATAGAGTATGCCAAGTCAGCTATATATAAATTACTAATTCCGAAATTAACGTGGACTAAGTTGCGGAGAAAAACTAGTTTATAATATATAAATACTAGCTTTCCGCCCGCAGCTTCGCCGCGTGGAGTTCGGTTATATCGCGTTTCCAAGAGAACCTTTCAAAAGTCTGGGATAAAAACTATCCTATGTTCTTTCTCAAGGTCAACTCTATCTCTGTACCGAATTTCATTAAAATCAGTTCAGTGGTTTAGGCGTGAAAGCGTAGCAGACAGACAGACAGACAGAGTTACTTTCGCATTCAGTGGCGGCTGTACCTTAAGTGCGCCTGTGCGCTGAACCACCAATTCAAAATATTTAAAAATTACAAAATATTATGTCATCTTAATTTTTAAATTACCATTTTAATATTTATTTTTTAAACATACAAAAAGGTATAAAAAATTTAATTTCCAATTATGGTCAAAAAGTTTGAGCGCTTTACTAAACTCATATCGTGCGCTCCGGCGAGTGCACGAGGACTGCTAATACATTTTGTATGAGACACGCATCAATACGCCTGGCGCGTGAGACAAAAGATAGTTCATAGAAATGTACCGAGTAACGAGTCGGTTCTCGCGCGCCGCACGAAGCGGCCGAAGGTTACCGAGAGCACCCGATGTATGACGTATTGAGCCGGCCGGCAAGGGGCCGGCCGAAAGGATGGGTGCTATGATTGACATTTCGTTAATCGTTATTGGTATTGTTTCAACTTTCACTGTATGCGTGACGCGTTAATTCGTTATTGTTTATAATTATTTCCGTAATTCATTTTAGTTTTTATTTCGTTTCTATAATAGAACTTTTATTATGTACTGTGTTTTTTATTAGTTGAAAATGAGTATAAATATTGATTATATTAAAGAACATAAAATTGGCCGGGCCGCCACGGCCCTTTTTAAATTTAAAACAAGAGTGTAAATCGAAAAATAAAGCATTTATACGAAGTTTTAAAAGTGAAATGTACATATAATAGAAAGAAATGGTTGTGTGGATGTGAGCGTCTTAATACATTCTTTTGTTTTCCTTGCATTATTTTTGGCGGAGAATCGATTTGGACAGAAACTGGAATCAGATTTTAATAAAAAGGTGATAGAACATTTCGCTACAGAAAAATGTCGTCGCATTGATTTAATGTACAAAAAATAAACATATTTTATGTCAATTGTTGTTTTTGTCAATATTTTAGTAAAGTGAACCACCAGTTTGATAACCCACCAGCCGCCACTGTTCGCATTTATAATATTAGTAGGGATATTTACCATTATTAATTGTTCAATAAATTAGCAGACGAAATAAAACTGTGTGATAATCAGTGGCGGCTGTACCTTAAGTGCACTCGTGCGCTGAACCACCAATTCAAAAGTTTTAAAAAATTAAAAAATATTACTTCATCTTTATTTTTAAATTGCCATTTTAATATTTATTTTTTAAACATAAAAACGTATAAAAAATTAAGTTTTCTAATTACAGTCAAAAAGTTAGTGCACTTTACTAAACTAATATCGTGCGCTTCGGCGAGTGCACGAGGACTGCTAATACATCTTGTATGAGATACGCATTAATACGCCTGGCGCGTGAAACAAAAGATAGTTCATAGAAATGTACCGAGTAATAAGTCGGTTCTCGAGCGCCGCACGAGCGACCGAAGATTACCGAGAGCACCCGATGTATGACGAATAGAGCCATGATTGACATCTCGTTATGTTTTGTTGCATTTTCTAATTTAAATATTTTAGTAAAGTGCACCACCAGTTTTATAACCCACCAGCCGCCACTGGTGATAGTATAGGGATGTATAAGGTTAAATTAAAAAAATATTTAATATCCTCGCTGTAGTAGTTAATGTAGCAAGTCTGTCATGTCCAACGGCCCGTTTGTTAAAATTGTTATCTTGCAAATATTCCTTGTATTTCATTTTAAGTGAATGTAAAATTCTTGTGAGAAATAAAGTTTTTTATACATTACCATTTCCGTGTTTTCTTTTTTCATAAAAGGCTTTAGGACTCCATATATCTTATCTATAACCGATGGAGCGTTTATCACATGCACCTGTTTCAGTCTTATTGGGATCGCGTCCTGTAATAAAAAAATATATATGTTAGCCCCCAACCCTTATTTTAACCCCTAAACCCCTTATATTAACCCCTAAAAATAACCTTATGTACAGAATCCTAGGTTCTAAGACATTATAACAAAATGAAAACAATTTATGTAAGCGTGGTATTTATATGGGATAATTAAGTATTTAACATTGTACTTTATACTCATAGGTTTCATAGAACAGATTTATTTATAGTTGAATATTTCCAACAACTTAATTATTGTTTGTATTTTCATTATATCTTTTCCAAGATTTTTGCCGATTACATTATGTATGCTATAATTATCTTTTTTTAAAAGTCCTTGAATTAGTATTCAAATGGATAATACATAATGTATTCATAAACACGAGTCTCTAAGGCACGATTATTCATTTGGCAAAAGTAATCGGAACGCAAAAGTCAACGAGTCGCAGGTTCGAACCCAGGACTATCATTTATATCATTTAAATTTTTTTTAATAGTTTTTTTAATTCATTTAAATGAAACAAGTATTTTTGGGATACACTATGCGACTTTATTTTTGATTATAAACTACATACTCCCGACGTTTCCGCTACTTTTCAGCAACCGTGATCACTGTCAAACGAGATGTAACAAATAAAGTCGCGTAGAGTATCCGAAAAACATTAGTTTCATTTAAATGAATGAAACTCGCGAAAATATTATATCTCGTTACTTTAAATTGCACCTTTTTAATAATAATGATAATTTAATTGTTTGGTTTATGAGAATTGCATGTTTAATTGTAATTTATGTCATCTATGTATACAACGGTATAATTACCTCCTGATATTTCGCCAGTTTTCTAGCTACTGATAAATTCATTTTCGTTACGAACTTCAACGATATATCCTTGACATCCATCAATACGACGTCCGATTCATACAAATGTCTGTCGCTCAAGAAGAACGCGTCGGTTGATAGGAAGAATAACTTGGCATCTAATGTATAGTCGTAGGATTCGAGACCGGGGTCATTGATCTGCCACAGCCATAGACATCTGTTATCTGATAATACGTATTGTCCTAGATTACTGAAAAATAGAATTATTTGATTAATATGACGAAATCATTGCTTATAAGGTTAATATTAAGGGTCATACAATAATCGTTTTGGATTAGGTTAATGTGTTTGTATAATTATAATTATAATAGAATGTATAGAATGAAGATTGATCAAAAGGAGAGGTATTTGAATCTAAGATTTCTAGAATGGCGAGTTCTCATTTCTTTGCGAGTTAGGCTACCGTGGATCAGTTTGTGAAATAATCTCATAAAAATAATATAAAATTCAAACTATTTTTGAAATGTCTCAACTTTGGTTGTAATAGTTGTATCTGATTAAAATAAAAAAAGGATTTTGCCTTAAGTTTCTAAATTTTGGATCTTGCAAAAGAGTGTACATAATAATTATGGTACAATTTTAGTTCATAAAAGAAATCTTATAATTGTTTTGCCGATCTTATTTGGTCTATAGACTTGAAAAAGTTTTGCAAACTATAACCTCTATGGTTGTTTACCTATTTAGTTTCAATTTCGCCGAGTTTTGGTCTCGATACAACCATTTTTAGCTAAGCTATCGAACGTTTATAAAAATGCATAATTTTTCATAACAAGCCATAAAGGCATTTGGAATGCAATGACCCAGAGGTTGCATGTTCGAATGCCACTCCACCAAAGAATTATTCATTCTATATTTTCCATTTTAATTTCAAGTGAATATACTTGTACTACTCATTACGTCATTAGGTTAATGTATTACAAGAAACAAAAAGTTTTGACACAAGGTGGGCGTTGGTGACGTAATTTTGGTGCCTATGTGTTAAATAATGTATAAATATTGAATAAAACTTACATAACTTTCAATATCTTCTGCATGTGATGCGAGTTTGGATCTCTGTTTGTTAATAGATCTGAACACGTATTTCTCATTGTGAAAAATGTTTCCACTGTTGTCTTGGCTTTGTCCATGTCGTAGTAACAGCTGTGAGCGAAACGTAGTAGGAGATGCTCGTCTGAATTGTATAGAAATAAATTATTTATAGCATATATATAACAAACATATTGTTGGCAAAATTCGTAGAAATTTTATAAAACTTCTACTATATAAATTACGTAAAAAACGCTTTTTTACTTGTATTTCGCCTTTGTTAAATTTATAAATAGATCTGAAATTTTAAATACATAATTTTTATTTAAATATCATGTATGCATATTTTTGAATAAAACTTTATAATAATTATTGGGCATTATTTATTTTATATAATTCTTATTTCCATAGGTATCAGCTTTTTTTTTGTTGTTTTAGTTAAATTAAAAAATTATCCTCAGAATTGTGATTTTATTATTGTGCTGTAATATCTTAACATTTGTTGATATAAAATCTTCAATTAGCATTTAATTTCAGCTCGTGGCTCAAACCAGCCAAGTTTATCAAGCGGTATACCTATATTCGAACATCGATGTATATTTATGAATGAAAAGACAAAGGATTATTCAAGAATCAAGAATTCACTGAAAACCAGTGGATTCTTCTAAACAAAACAAAGTTGCAGTGACAATGGCATCATAATTGTAAATCTATGACGTCATCCAGTCGTTAAACAAAACTGTAACACAACTATGAAGTTGTACGCGATGCGATAACAGACTTCCGTTAGAAATGCTTTCTATACTACAAGTTGTCTTGGTGTCTGAGTGAACATTGAACAGTATATTGTACAATGAAACTGGTTTGTTGGATATAATGTTACTTTTACGACGCCATTTTGTTTCGTAATGTCATATTAGCTGTTAATTTTAAGTAATTAAGAAGTAACAGAATATAAACTTTTAAAGAAATATCTAGTTGTTTAAGCGTTAATTTAATAATAATAAGGTTTTGTTAATGACACTAAGGAAAAGACAATCTACCTTATTATTTATTGATGAGTTACTGGTAACTTTATTTTAGTTTTGTAATGTTTTTTTCAAAATATCCAAACATAATGTACACTGAATTTGATTATCACGCCTAAATTTAATTTTCAAATATTTTGAAAGTGGAACTAAAATAATTTAAGTACAAAGACCTTGTAAAGTTATTTACTAAAACCAGTATTTTTTACATCTACATAAAGCCTAAGTAATTATATGTATAAATGTACATAGTTCATTTATCTCTACTTTGCTTGACATATACATTTTATTATCACAATGTTTTTAACCTAATTAAAAATACATGGATCCAGAAAGTTTTTTTATATAACGTAGGTATATAAATATTTTCAACATAATTCTGAGTATATGTGATATAAAATTTATGATTAGTTAAAATTTTTACGAATATCTTCAGATTTATTATTGTAACTCTATCATTGAGTGCATATTTCATTACAATACTTTTAAACATTCAGATAAAGATTGACCAGAATTACCAAGTTCTATACATATACGAACATTTTAATATATATTAAATCAAAATACTATGTCAAGCAAACTGGTAAATTTGTTAGTAAGATAAAAGTTAATAAATTAGATAAAAGGTGCTCGCATTTATGGTTAAATTTGTAATATGGGTTTTACTTCCATCATTATTTACATATACATAGTATTAAATAATTTAAATTACGTCGCAGAGTTCATGATATTTACTTATAGCTAATTATATTTAAACCTCTTTATTTACTACATTAGAAATGGCAAATGATATTTTATGGTATTAATATTTTTTTATCACGAATAAAATGTGGATGATATAGAGCTATCACCATAATACTGGCACTTCTAGGAAAAGTCGCTGAACAAATCAGACTAGGTAGAGCCGACAGTTGTTCATCGATAGCAAACAATTTTCAGTACGTGCAAGTATTTGTATATACTTGTATGATAATCACGTTTCGATTTAGAGTTTTTCACATATATATGTATATATATGTTGACAAGACAAATACGTAGTAATGATTTTACAGGCACGACAACAAGTAGATTGTTATATTAATCATCAAATATAATAGGCTCTATATATTATATATTTACATTCATAAAGCAAAAATCCAATAACATATTAAAAAAATATCATTATTATCATGATTTTAGGTTCAAATAATGATATCTTTTATCATCGTTAATCTAATGTATAACTTTGATATATAAAACAGATATATCTACGTAAATCTCTAGAACAAGTGTAGAAGTACTTAGTACTCTAGTTGAACTGTACTTATAATTTCGTTTTAGTATAAATAACCTTGAGTATGTTTACACACAATGCGACTCATGATATATTTCTTTTTGATAAAATGGTGACGCTATTAGATAAGACAAAATTAGCGGTCATTATATTATAACAAATAGTATATTAAATATAACTACTAATACAATACTGTAATACATACTACTACTGAAACTTCTATTCTTCAGTGTTAAAAGTTATAAGCGTGACTTAAAGTCATTCATCATCAGCCTATTGGTCCTCACAACTGAGCAATAAATAAATAACTAAAATAGAGAAGGTTACAGCATTAATCGCCAAGCTTGCTCGATGCGGATTGGCGATATCAAACTTATAATTTGAAATTATAAGTCCAGGTTTTCCCCGCAATGTTTTCATTCACCATCTGTCCGTGGTGTCCAAATACTCTTACTCATACTTATAACTTTTCTCATTTTAACATGATTATAAATTTTCATATTCAAACAATAGGTTAAGGCGATAAGTGCAATGACCGTATCTAATGACTTTAAATACAAAGAAACCTTCCTTTTTTATCGCTTTTTATATTAATGTATTGAATCGATTTTAAGCAATACGTAATTCTCACCTAAATTCTGTGGCAGGTGTGGCTGTCCCTTTAACCATTCTTTCAGTTGTACCAAGGAATTAGCTTGTTCCTCTGATATGTTCGACATTTTTTCTGAAAAAATCAATAATTATTTCTTAAGTATATGTATAAATGAAGCTTGCAACATGGAAATAACTTGCAGATGACATCAATTACTATAAAAACTTATTGGTATTCATAATTATTGTGTCAGTAAAACGAAATATAAGACTTTCATAGGAGCTAAGAGAGAATATGTTAGAATTTTGGTAAATACGACGTTTGGACAACAGGCCAGTTCAGTGAGTGTGGGTAGTTAAATAATATAGAACCTTCAAGAAATAAGGATATTCAGAAGAATTGAAGTTTAGTTTTAAAATAACATGGAATGTGCTGAAAGAAGTGGCATTAGTGACGTCAGTGAGACTATCGTGTTTCTTTGAAAAAACAACGAAATTGTTTTAAATCCGATATTGAATGCAGTCCATTTTTAGAATTTTTCTCGATTATATATATTTATAGACGATGAGATGAAGATTGTTGCCTTATTACTACGTTATCCTTGAAATAGTTTGAACAGTCATAAAAAGCAATTTTTATTATAAACATCAGCTACACTTCATTACTAAATTCTTCACTGTAAACATAATTTCACTAAATTATTATATTTCCTTAGTTATTTTGGGAAATTTTCATCATATTTAAGAGAAAATTGACATAATACTCATAAGGCCGATTAATATATGTATATAGACAGATAATAAATATAGAATAGTATACACAGCCAACGAAACAAGATAAATAATAAAAACAAACTTATTAAAGCAAGGTCACTTCAAATTTTTAGTGACAACTATGTATGAGACAGTGATATTAAAAGTATGTATTTTGTATAACGGCCTTACCATCTTGTTATTATCAGTTATTATTTAAACGATTTCAATTGAAAATACTATATGTCCACTTTAAGAAGACCTCTTCAATACAGTGCAATTACTATGATAAAAAAGCGTTATATTGCATATAATTTTATTACTCACTAAGAAGGACTATATAAATAGGTGGATCTGAATTTGATTGAAACTATTTCTTTATAATGATAGAAAATCTTGTTGATTATTTGAGTGTAATTTTATACAACAGTTTTTGGTAATTTGGTCATAAAGTTAAAGATTCTTAAAGTTTTAATTAACATGTTTCATATTTTCCTGTACGGCTTTAGTTCAAGGTCATCTCACAAATTTATTTTTTTTAATTTTTACACAATAGTAAATTGAATACAAGGTTTAATGTCATTATTGTTATATCAGCAGCATCAAAACTACTGCAGTACAGTTTTATTCACACAGTTAATTATTGAGGTTGAAATATAATTAAGTAACTATGAAAAATTTGTTTGTCGTAATCCAAGTCATGGTTCAGAATGCTTTCCTGAGACTATTTAACGAACATGTGACCTATTACGCTTAGCAGAAGTTTGAATTGTCACACGACATTCGAAGCATTTTCTCGTTCTTATTTTATTTATGTAGTAAACGAAGATTCGTAAATGAAAAACTACAGACGTTTCATAGATAGTAACACGATGCAAACTTAGAGTAAGCGTGTTATAAGTTACTTATAATAATGCATGTTGCTTTTGAGATCAGATATTCATATTTTCATACAAAAATGTATGATATTGGGTGATTAACTAAAGTCTCTGGAACTTATAATAATAAACTATTAAGATCGCATACTACTGGTGAGTCTAATGACGCTTATTAGAAATTAATTATTTCTACGATTAAATATTTAGGATTAAATAACTTTTAATACTTTTCAACGTATGATAAATAAAACTTTATATAACTCCAATACAAATTAATATGCAAAATTAAGACAAGAACAGATCGTTACGTTAGTTTAAATATCAATATGGACTTAATTAAAAATCTATGCAGACTTGCTAAAGACAAGATAGTTTATTCTCAAGGTCATTGTAATGGTATTTAATCAATATCGAAAGTTACTTAGTTGCGAACAGTTTATAACTGCCTTAATAACACTATTTTTATTATAATTTTATATTACTACACCATAAAGTCGTCAACATTTCAAGTATTATAAGAGCGAGTCGCCTTTAATGTTTCTTGTACTTTAAACTGTGTTGTTACATAAAAAAACAATAAATCTCTCAATAGGTAGGGATATCCAATATAATTTATTTGAATAGTTTATTTTTAAAGTATTTAAAATGGAAAAAATATAGTTAAAATGTAGAGCTTCACACAAAATAGTTATCAGACACTTGAAATAACATTAAAAACAGGTTTTATATACAATTTATGAATTATTTTTTTAATGTTCTCAATGAGATCATTTAAAAATTTAAATATAAAGTACAGAATAAATTCTTTTCAAATGTCATTTGTATCTAAAATTATTCATATAAATCTTTATTCATTTTCAATCCTAAGAGATACCAATTTAGTATGAGAAGAATATTACAAACGATTTCATTATGCTTTTAAAATCATATTTCAGAACGATACAACCTCAATAAAGTGACAGTATGCAGAATAAATATGGCGAATGATGGAAACACATGAGAATGGTAGTTGGTGGTAAATTAAAATATAAGTCACATACCCAAGTCTTCGATAGATGCAAGAACGAAAATACAAAATGTTTTATCAAAACACGTCAGCAAGCTGACGCGACTCCGCGATCACTAGACCTTGGAAAGTCAACGCGCAATCAACAGCCGTCGCAAGAGTCGCGTTTTGTTTGTCAAATCTTCCTCCACCTTTTTATTCGTCATTTAATAGCTTATTGTGATAATTAGATGTGCAATATATATATGACCATTCAATTAGTCAATTATCCTTATTAGAATGACTACTATAACGAATTGTCATTTGTCGCTACCTTTTTGTTGTTTGTAAGGATACTTATTTTCTTTCTTTATAAATATCACGCAAATGCTCTATTATTGTCCCAAAACCACTTACACAAATAGACAAAGCTTAATACTGTCCTATTCAATATTTTGTATAAATCACTTCATAAGTCAAAATGAAACTTAAAATGTCGCCATGTTTCTTTTTTAAATTTAAATGAATAAATAAATATCTAAATAATTTTTATTACTATTTATCAGCTATCAATAAATAACTATTGTTTTGCAAGGAATAAAGACCGGACTATGTAGAATATTTGAAGTAAAGCAGACAGTTCTAATTCTAAAATGTTTCAATTACATTTATAAACCGAATATGTTTTTAAATAAACGAAATTCTAAATCAACATTGTTCAAGTGGTTGCACTACACAGATATACTACCTACCTCTAAAAGAAAATTTAAAGTGACTCTTCCACACAGTTTAAAACCTGCTAATTGAGTAAGTTAACAATCATGCCTCAATAAGAACAATACCTAGTTAATAGTTCTCCATACAGAGAATAAGTTTTAACTAAATACAAATACTTGAACAATATAAACTTACCTAAGTCTGGGGAAAGAGTTACCAAAGCTTTGCTATGTATTTTATGAATTAAGCACTACTACCTCGTCAAATACATTTTAGATATACGTTATAACGTTTAAATAAGTCTATGAATAAATTTAAAGCTACAACAATTAAAATTAGCGCCATCAACAAATATTTTTAACTAGCAACCCATATCTTAGCGTAAATATAATCTTTTCTATGTAATTAATTTACTGGCACAGTTATCATAAAATGTAAATGTACATTATAGTTTTATTTATAGAAATATTTTACTCACAGTCTTCAAAATTTCAATGTTTTTGTTTTTTGAAGTAAGCTAAATGTCACTTCCTGAGAAAGAAAGAAAAACTGCATAACAGTATACGATCAAATTATTTTATGTTTTTGTTCTAACACTATAAATATATTTAGTAATATAAATAAAACCTAGTTTTAAATATGTATTGTGTAAAAAAATAATTAAATTATAATTGCTTTATTTCGAACGTAGGGATTTGTTGGGTTGCCAACTTACTATAAACCTTAAAAGGAATGAGTAGAAAATAAACTATTGAAATTAAATAAATTTAAATATTAAGAACCGTTTTTGAGATATTTACTGTAAAATTTTTTGAGAGGTGTAGTTAAAATTCAATATTTCTTTTTAGCTATTATAACTTCTACAGATCCTAATAAATTCAATAAAATTTCAAGGATGTGTCTCACCCTGGCAACACCAAGTGCTACAAGTTTGCGCATGCGCCGAATGGCGATATTTCAGTGATTAATCTTTGAAATAATATTTTTTAACTATGAAATTTTGTTGTTAGAGGATATATATTTAGGTAAACTTTTAGGTATTTAAAATCTATGATTTGGTGTTTTTAAATTCAATATTTATAAATTACAGTTATAAAAGTGACTAAAGTGTACTACTGGTGGCCATTACAAAACCTAAACTTTTTATCGGGACAAATGTCCATTTGATGTTTCGGCGACGTTGTGAAACTAATCGTAAATTGCTTACTGTGTTTTTATCTGTTAACATATTGAATTGTAACATAGTTATGTGAATTAACTGATATGGGATCTCTCTAAAATATTTGTTGTAAAACGATTTGTGCCGACAGATAATTTTATTTGGGTTGACTTCACACATCGAAGAGGAACTGTCACTTGCTAGGTTTTTCCGATTGTTATTTCACTTTTAAAACCGACATCCATTATTAATGACGAAATTTAACACGCCCTTTGGACAAATTTGGTCGTTGTGTTAGTAAATGGTACACCACCTATAAAGCTTGTTGTTACTCTTCAGTGAACATAACATTGGCACGACGACCTATAATCTTTCTCATTTCTTTCCGGATGAATTGTAACAAATGTGTGTTTCAACATAATAATTTGTAAAATATTTTTATCAAATCAAACATTCCTTTTGTAGCTAAGGTCGCGAGTCGCCGAAACATCTACATTGTGGTTGCAGTGACGAAAATGATTTTGAGATAAATTTTATAACAGTGTAGTGTTTACTGGCAAGAGAAGAAGAAAAAAAAATTGCAATATTTAAAAAGGGTGTCGGGTGTGCTATGTCGATATTGCAGTGGTGTTTTTGGATGCTGTGATGGACTGCGGCGTGTTACGACCACTGGCGGTCGGCTCTTGGTGTGTCAAGTGCTGGTCATAACCTGCACAGCATACAAGTATTATGAATAAACGTGAGGGTACCAAGGACAAGGAACGTCAGAGCGACGACAAAAGAACTTCCACGTAAGGATCCATTTTATTTATAATTTTTGATACAAACAAATAGATTGCTATTTTCAATATTAAAATATCAATTTTATTGCTCTTTAACTATATTAATTGTTGAGATGTTGTATAATCTCACATTTTAATCTATTTATAAATTAACTCAGATTTTATCTTCTATGTGTTGTCTTAGAACAAAATTTGTGTTTTATTACGATTCAATAATTTTCAAATAACAATATACATAATGTAATTTACTTTAGTCATGTTTTGTATTGAATAAATTTGTCATAAATTTTGTTATTCCTAATCATGTAGACCTTGTTGAATTTCATTGGATATCTATCAATCAGATAACGCTATCTAAAACTATATTTGTAAGATTATAACTATTGTTGAAAACATTTTAAAAAAGAATATTTCTAACTTAATTTATTCAAACTCCCTATTGTCAGTTCATAATGAAGCTATTTTTAATAATTAAATTTAATTAATCAGAATATTTTTCAAGTAAAAAATTTGTTTCATTTGTTTTTATATTCATATAAATTTTGTTTACTTTCAATCTCATGTATTTTTAATACATCAAAGTTATATGTGCAGGGTAATGAATTGTTAAACTTGTAGTTCATGTAAATACTATGAATCATGAATAGAGTCATTGATCTGCCTCCCGTATAATATAATATCTTTCTTTGATTTTATGTAAACATGTTTTCTTTTATTACTCAATACATTGATGTAATATGAAGTATGATAGAAATTATTATAGTAAAAACCTCTGATTTGATATTAAAATTAGATTAAATGTAACATAATTACATATACATAATTTCTAAACAAATTTATAAAGGCTTTTATGATGAAACAGTTGTATTTTTAGTAAAGGTACAGATTGAATAACATTAAGTTTTTCATTTTTTTTCTTGTAAATTTTACTTCCTATATGCTTTAATGTATAAAAATAAATATATATTTTGAAACTCTGATATGCATGGTATAATTAAGTATGTCTAAGATTATATTTAATATGGCTTTGAATTTAACTTTTTTCTAATATTTTGTCTAATATCTCATGTGTTTTACATTCCTTTGCTAATATTAAAGTTCTACATTAATTAATTAATAAATTTGTTTATAGTTAATTTTAATTTCTATTAATAGTTTTCTTAGTACCTAATATGAGAAATATCATAAGATGTTTTCCAAGAATCTCAATATTTTACCAACCATAGAAATATGAACAAAATAAGTGTAAGATTAAAAAATTATATCAAAGAAGATGTTATTTCTTAATGTTCTACATATTTAAACATCCAGGTCAGTCTTGGAAAGATGTTTCACATTATCTTAAATATGATCAATAATTATATGAATATAACACATACTAAAATATATATACCAAGGACTAAATTTTTTGTATATATTTTTAGATAAACTGGTCATAAATGTTAATATTGAATTGTATCACCACATGTAAACATCTTGTCACACTACACTCTTGATAAATCTTCATTAAGACACAATTTTATCACAACTGTATATAATTGTTACAATTATTAGCATCATATATTTAATACATGTATAATTGTATGCGGTTCACATTTTAAAGTATTGTAACTTAATATTATCAAGTGAGCTATGATGTATGTCATTCAGTCACATGTCAGGAATGAAGATGGGATGGTTAAAGTGTTTATATCAAGCTCATATGGAATTTAAAATACATTTTGATGCATAGAAAATTGTAAGTATTGTTATTACAATAAAATAATCAAGTGTTCAAGTCTTGTAACAATTTTAATTCCTCATACTTTTAAAGTTGTATATTTATTGTGACAATCTTGTTAATAAGGAAAAATACATAATTTATATATAATAATTGTTACATTATGTATGTGTGTGCATGTGAATGTTTAAAAAGTTATAATTGTTTTGAAGTCAGCATTAAATGGAAGTGCATCAAGTAACTTTCACTTTTAGACTCAATGCCAATAACTTGGTATGATTCATTGCAGTACATTGCCTGCTTATGGTGTTGCATGATTTATTTTTAAAGATTTATATTTAAATATAGAATGTTACCGTTTCTATTTATTGCTTGATACTTTTATTTTATTTATGTTATAATTCTCTTCAGTCAACAACTATCAAGGAAACGTTATTTAAATAAATATTTTTGAAAAATAATCAATATATTGGTCATACATTGAAATAGTACTGGTAATATTGTATATAATTAATGTTTCATGAATAATTTTTCTTTATTATTATAAGAGATATATTTGTTTTATAAATCTTAAAACCATATATGTATGTTTATTTAGTAGCCTTTTGTGTTAAAATTAAATAGGAGTATAGAGAATAGTTTTAATTTATTATTTAGAATTCAACATCATTTGGAAGAATATTTCTATAAGAAGAGATATTTGTACAAAATAGGAGTGTTTCCAATAATCAGTTGTGAAGAGAGACCAAGTAATTTAATTAGAACATAGGGATTTTGTATGTTATTAAATAAAATGAATTGAATATACATAAAACACAGTATTTAGGAATTATAATAGAATCATAGGTATTTTTATGTATATTGTAATTTATATCTTTCTTTCTTTTGTCTTTCTTTTGTCTATCTTTTATCTTTATTTTGTAATTTCTCTATAGTTGTAATACTGAATTTGTAATTACTATTATAGATATTTAGTATGTTCTATAGTATTTTAGGATAATATAGCAAATGCACCTTTAGCTATTTAATATTACATTTTTGTAAGAAAGTTCACATATATTTGAAATTAATTACTTTCTTTTGTAACTTTGAATAAATAACTTCATGGAAGTAAAAAACAACAACAAAATAATAGTAAAATGTATAATATACATACAATGAAGTGATTCTTATGAAGTAACATTGGCATTCTAATCATATCATCAAAATGTAAATGTTGTACTATGAATTATTTTATAAAGTGAGTGTAACAAATTCAGGATATACCAGGTCCAACCTTGAATTCTCTATGTGTCAATGAACTCTGTAATCATATATTAATATATATATATATATATATATATTATTCATAGAATTGTATACATAATATTATGAAAACATAAACATAGTACATAATTGAGATTCATATTATATGTATTTGTGAATATTTTGAATGAATTCTATGAAATGTTTTGTCTTATATGTTCAGTGTTGTTGTGAGCTAGTTTTATATGCCAATGTTTTCATCCTAGATATGATAGTTCCTCATTCATTATGAATTATGATGCTATAGTAGTGGTTCAGATTATAATTAGATCTGGTTAGTAAATATTTTTAACACTCTTGAACCTTAATGCCAATGGAATAAAGAGGAAAATGTTGATAAATTATATGCATAATGAAAACTTTTTGGCGATCATTCTAATGTTGTATGCTCTCTCAATTCAATATGTGTAATGATCATATGAATTTATTCATTCAGAATTTAAATTACTCGATGGTGGGCTGTGGAAGACTTATGGCCTATGGGTATGAAAATTTTGTTTTTATTTTCTTTCACAAATGTCAAAGAAAATTATAAATGCAATATATCAGCCTTTTTGACAATGTTTCCTCTATACATGAACCGGGCCAGGCTTTGTGATCAAGGTTTGGTGTAATGAGCGGTTACATTACATTATCAAAGAGGACCTTGTAATATAGACGCATAACAAATAAAGACAAAATTTTGTAGTGCGCCTCTTTAACCATAACATTCGCGATAATTTCTTGAATGGGACCTTTTTTAATTTTATTAGTTGTTTAGATATAAAGCTTCCCGTACACTGTTGCAGCGCGACCGGTGCGGTGGGCGGGCGCGGCGTTGGTGGAGGCAGCACCATGCACACGTCGCGACACTCCGTTACCTCGTCCTCGGGCGTCCTTATGGTCGGGCCAAACTTCCGAGTCGGGAAGAAGATCGGCTGCGGGAACTTTGGCGAGCTTAGGCTCGGTGAGTTATTTACTTAAGACCGCTCAACAAAACTCTTATAAAGATAGCTTAGTAATCAGAAAAATTATAAGCGTCCTTGATATTGTGTTAGAGAATATTTCGAAAGTACTTTCAATATGTATGAGATGAATTCTATCGACATTAGAGTACACAACACTAGCTTTCACCGTATATTTAACATGTTAACATATAAAAGATTAAATACATTTAAGAGTAAGCTATATGAATTAATGTATTAAAAAATGTCCATAGAACGAGAGCACGGTACCCGTTAGAACACATAACGTAATATTCGCTCAGTAATAACCTTAACCGACTTCTAAGTTGAATCGATTCTGCAATTTGTTTTTGCATCCTTACCCTACTGACTGAGGTTAAACAAAGGCTGTTTGTTTCTCGCTTCTATTATGACGTTGGAGTGTTTGAACCTAAAAAAAAAAATCACTTTGGAAAATTCAAAGGAAACACTTGAAATATAACAAAGGACCTATGTATAAACAAAAGTGTCGCGGGTTTGTGGAGTTTATATAAAGTCATCGATTCAGCTTTACAGTTGGCGTTCGTTACTTTCTCTGAACGTTTTTAACGAATGTAAATCATGTTCGGACATGCTCTTCCAAATTGATGCGTCATCAAAATTTTTCAAATTGAACTCGCTGTAAAAATAAACGGTCGGCTTTTGTTGTTTTTTTCTTATTAAAACAAAAGAGATGAATTTATCGGTATTAGTATGAGTCATTGGGTCGCCGATGCATTTCTTTGAAATTCGTATCTTTGACGGGGCGCTTCCGTAATGAGGTTAAAAGAGGCTTTTGAATCTGTCGGGAAATCATTTATTCAGGCTACTTTCTTTGTTTGTTTGAATAAGTAATTAGGTTATATCCTTATTACTTCTATACTGTAAATATCCTTTATTGGTAAATAAAAAATGTTTTACGTCATATAACACACGTTTCTAAATTAATTGGTTACGCACTAGTCATTTAACTTTGACCTTAACCAAGGCTTGTCTTGTCTTCAAAGCGGTATGGTTTCGTATCGCTAATTCTACCTGTGACTTATAAGGCTGCTTTTGTACTGGAATTGGATTTTAAACGCGTCATATGAAATGACATTAGAGCTATGGTACACATGCGGACGTTTTGACGCAATTAAATTTTAGTAATATAATTTTACCGTCACGTTTTGATGATGGATATTAAATATATGATAAAATTTTACTGTTATTAGTTCAAAATCATGATGACTCATAGCGATAGGTATATAAATCATTGAATTATTAATATAAACGAACCTAGATACAAAATGAGCGTATTCCAAGGTAATTTTCTAGTTCACTGAACTATTTTAGTTTGAAAATGTAAGGACATTTTGAGTTAATTTTGCCTGCATAATATAGAAATCATGTCAAATGAGCCGTCTTAATATGTGCGACCCAGTTTTGTTTTAACGAAGTCGATCCAACCAGGCGGAATCTAAAATCACAGTACACTTACTATATGTTCGCATCGTACTACATACCTATAGTTTACAGTTTTAGGTAAATATTATCACGTTAATTAATATGAGTTATGTAAATAAACGCGTAACGGTCAGTACGTAGTGTGATATGCAAACTTGTAGTAGTCAACCAATTTCTTGTCTACACGTTTCATTACTAGTTTCATTTGTAAGAGTTGGATCGTTATTCACAGAGCGGTAATTAAAATAACCGTTCAGTTGATATCAAAAATAGATTATTCAATAGACACGTTATAATCTAAAGCTTATATAAAGTTTCAGAACAAATTAATTATTATTAGAAATCTATATATAATGAGAAAGTTAATTCAATAAATGCTAATAATATTGTTAAGTAACGTGATGTTTCACAGGTATATTTAATATAATACATGCGATAAGATAAGGAATTGAATACATGTATGACAGAGGCGATTCTCAGCATTGCTACCACTGATAATTGAATCGTCATTGTGACGTCATCAGACGTTTATCGTCATATTCTTGTAGTATACAATATACATCTCTATGATATCGATAAATTACAAATAGAACAAGTATATATAATGATTCAATTGTTAACTTTAATGTTGAAATATCCCCACTAATATTGTAAATCCGAAAGTAACTCTGTGTGTCTGTCTGTTACGCTTTCACGCCTAAATCACTGAACGGATTTTAATGAAATTTGGTACAGAGATAGAGTTGACCTCGAGAAAGAACATAGAATAGTTTTTATCCCAGATTTTTGAAAGGTTCTCTTGGAAACGCGATATAACCAAACTCCACGCGGGCGAAGCTGCGGGCGGAAAGCTAGTTGTAAATATTGTAGATAACAATGAAAGAAATTTTTAGTAATAATAAAATTAATGTTCGCAGGTAAAAATCTATACAACAATGAACACGTAGCTATTAAGATGGAACCTATGAAGTCGAAGGCTCCACAACTACATCTAGAGTACAGATTTTACAAGTTATTAGGAACCCACGGTGAGCCTAATAAAACTACTGCTATATTATACACACGCACACACACACACACACATATGTGAAACACTCATACACACGCACACACACATACACATATATGTATGTATAATGTTCTTTCAATTATGTTTATAAAAATTGTATCAGGGAAAACTTTTCTCCCACTATTATATTATGTATGCAAAAAAAGTCATTCAAATAACATTATAATAGTTGATCATATATTTCACACGTCCCAAGTATGCTTTTAGTATTTTAAGCGCTGTAATTTAAGCGCTATTTGAGTTTCACGTAAAAATGTATAGTAAAGATTTGATACATATACATTTTAAGAGTAAGTGGGAGAACCGTCCAAGGTGTATTTCGGTTGAGACAATTGTTTATTCTATCGCTCGTACATGTTTATAAAGTGACTGTAAACAAAGATTTCATAAGAGCATATCATACACAAACCAAACAGCTGTATATATAGGAATGTTAGAGAATGTTCCGTACATACGTATCGTATATAAGTAACATAGCGATGTTGATCAGAGGGAATACCAAAAGTATACTACTTGGGAACATGCGGTGGTCGCTACAACGCCATGGTCATGGAGTTGCTAGGACCCTCATTAGAGGATCTCTTCGTACACTGCGGTAGGAGATTCAGATTGAAGACTGTACTCCTGATCGCTATACAGCTTGTAAGTTGGTTCAAAGAAAAGTAGTACATTTTTTTTACCTAAACACGCAACTACCCTGGTCATGACGTTGTATAACGAACTACAATAATCTACTATGTGTTATGTAAGTATGTATTGTATGGTTCTATCATGTATACCTCGCATCGGACTCCACAGCGCCTTCAACGGCCGAAGGGATTCCGGAGGTGTATTATTTCGGGCCGTGCGGTAAATACAATGCATTGGTTATGGAACTACTCGGACCCTCGCTAGAAGACCTGTTCGATCTATGCGGCAGACGGTTCTCTTTAAAGACAGTCTTGATGATAGCCATGCAACTCGTGAGTATTAAAGATCAGACGGAACATATATATACATAGTCATTATATATAACGTAGCTGTATAAGTATATAAAGAATATTTAAAATCTGTTGATGAAGCTAGAAGAGATTTTATTATTTGCTGATTATAATATGCTATAAAATGTATACTAAAAGTAAACTCTTAGACTACATCATAGTAAAAATCTTATCAGGTACAATAATTATTTACACAGTCTATATAAATACAAGTTTTTAATATAACTTCATGATATCAATATCAGTGTATTATTTCAAACATTATTTTTTTTAACGCTTTTTATATTTATATGAATAATAATGTTTTTATGTAAATATTTTCAGTTGCACCGCATCGAATACGTTCACACTAGACATCTTATATACAGGGATGTGAAGCCGGAGAATTTTTTAATAGGTAGAACTACGAGTAAAAGAGAAAAAATCATACACATCATTGGTAAGACATCTCTATCTCACACACACACACACATATATATATTATATTAAATGTAGTTCTATGAAAAGCTTTTTTATACCAATTCTGTTGTGACGTTTGTATATTTTTTTTTGTTGCTAGATCAATATAGCCTTGGAGTCGGAATTCTTTTTACCGAAATTCTATGCGATCAGAAATAAATAACTTTCATATATGTATAATGAAATGTGATGTTAGGGAAAAAGTGTATTAAAAAGAAGCATGGCTCTAACAGTGTCCATATATGTATATGTAAATATATTTCAATACTATCAATAATATAAACTATTATAAATAGAAAAAAAAAACTTTATATTCATTGATTTTAATGGAATGATTGTACTGGTAAACTTGGTATAGTTTATCGAGTAATCATTGGTCATAAATGTCTTAAATTATTTTGGTAAACACCTAATACTCTTTCACTACTAGGTGTATCTTAAACAAACATACCTAAGAATCAGCGCAAGGCAATTATAACACACCTCTTTTTACGTTGCTGGTTAAAAAACACGCATTTCAACTAATCACATACCTTCTTTTATATAAGAAGGATAGTTATTCAGTATTCAACAAAAAAAAAAGATATTTATATAATAATTGTTATGTAAATACTATTCCTAGTATGTTACAAGAGTTACGATATATAAATATCCACAATCACAAATGAGATAAATTTTTATTATATTCATACAAAGAATTTTATTATGCATAAAAAATTACATTGAAATAAAAAAAATGTTTCAGAATTTCGTTACAGTCAAATTATATTCATACTTTATGTAGGACATTTAAAAATGTATAAATATATACAATAATGTCATTATTTTAACACGCCGTATATTTAATAATCGTTTTTCTAAAATAATATGCTTGTACATTGTCTTGTGTCAAGTGAGGCCAGTTTTCGCGAATCAATAGCCGTTCGACCTTCCTAATCCCATTATGCACTGCAGACATACTACGTCAGCTGACTTTGCTTTTGTTTTGTCTTCCTTTAGTTTCCGACTTCGTATGCTATGTTAAAAACACGATAGTACTATTTTATTTAGATTCAAAATAGACTACAACTTTGCTATTACGATATTTGAATAAATATACAATTTTATTATAAAAAATGTATCAGTATGTTAAAATGATTGTTTTAGTTAGAAAAACTGTAACATTATACTTGACCGGAATTGCGGTTGAAATGTATTACTTTAATATCAAAACTATACCATTACCACAAGTATGCATTCACACCTACAAACGGAAAGTTTCTAGTTATTATTAATATGTGTTAATATAATGTGTTTAACTAATTGTTTACAGATTTCGGTTTGGCCAAAGAATATATAGATTTAGAGACAAACAAACATATCCCATATCGGGAACACAAGTCACTGACGGGGACCGCGAGATATATGTCGATAAATACACATTTAGGAAAAGGTAACCTTGTATATTAAATATCAATATTAGATATTAAATATTAAAACTAGATATCAAATATCAAAACTATATGTCAGGCTGTTGAAACGAATCGAACCAGATACAACAAGTCACATGTGGCCTATAATTATAATAAAGTCACAAATCAATTAATTAAGATGTATTAAACGGTCAAAAATTTAATTGCTCATAATAATATTCAATTTTAATTAATGACTCACATTAATATTATTTACTGAAAATAATAATTGATACTATTATTTCTATTTTCAGAACAATCTAGACGCGACGACCTCGAAGCATTGGGACATATGTTTATGTATTTTTTACGTGGCTCGTTACCGTGGCAGGGTTTAAAAGCTGATACACTCAAAGAAAGATACCAAAAAATCGGTGACACAAAAAGAGCGACGCCCATAGAGGTTTGTGTTACCAGAGAATTATTATAATTATTGTTATGACTCACATCCGGTGAGCGGAAACGGATATCGTTGTGTTTATAGAAAGATTCATAGGTAAAGTATTGAAAAACGTTAAAAAGTTTTTATTTTAATTTATCGTTCATATGTCTATAACGGTCGTTTATAATTACGTGTTATTTAGTTAGCCCGCATTGCAATAAATTGTGCCCTATAATGTTAAAAACTAGTAGACAGTAAAAGTTATTATTAAGTTAATAAGTAAAATAAAATAATTATTCATGAGATATTTTTAAATTGTATTGAAATTTAAACCGTCGAAATAATGTTATTCTGCATAAAATCATCTGAATCTATGGAATCTGTATCTTTATGGAATACTAGCTGTCCCCCGCGGATTTAAAGTAGCCTATATGTTATTCCTGGACGTCAGCTTCCTGTATACAAAATTTTATCAAAATCGGTTCAGGCGTTTGAGCGTGAAAAAGTAACAATCATACACTCACACTCACAAACTTTCGCAATTATAATATTAGTAGGATTCTAAGATCATATAGATTTAAGATAATACTTAAAATTTCTTGAAACCAAAACGTCTTGAAGACGGTTACGATATCCTTATCAATATCCTTAATACGAGTTTGCATTCACGAAGCGTTTGTACGAAGCGTTTTCAGTTTTCCATTCGTAAACCTATATAAATACTATCATATCACTCGAAAATTTTACGTATATTAATCAATGATGAACTCATAGTAAGGGTATATATATAGATTATAGTCATTTATTAGAACTATATATATTATATATGTATGTTGATATGTATCAGGTGTTGTGCGAGGGTCACCCAGAGGAGCTAGCGACCTATTTACGTTACGTACGTAGATTGGATTTCTTCGAAACGCCAGATTACGATCAACTAAGACGTATGTTCAGAGATCTGTTCGAGAGACGGGGTTATGTGGATGATGGGGAATTTGACTGGACCGGCAAAACTATGGTGAGTCATACATATATACATTTATATAGCTATATTATATATATATATACGTATATATTATATAATATGCATGCTTTGTTACTGTCCTACTAATATATATGTCATTCAGATACATCTATATGTGAGTTCATTTAATTTTTATTCAAATCTTTTTCTTAAATATATCTCACGCATATGATTTTGCTAGCACAATTAAATTGTCTTTGAATTTGTATGATAATTATGTAATATTTGTGTTGATGAAGTACAGTTTTCTTTTATGACAAAGATGAAATGTGATTTTTATCAATATTTTTTTTTTACAAATCATGTGACTTTCATTGAGATAATATTTGTTTCAAATTGTGATAGGCATCGATATTTGACTTATAATGAAAAAATCTTTGAATTTATATATACACATAGTATGGTAGAGTTTGTAAATGTATTATTCGTCTTAAAGGTTGAACCAGCATAATGAAAAAACTAGAATTGTCACAAAAAATGTTGGAAATGTGAAAGTGGAGTTCGTGAACAATTAAAATATTCATATGTAAAATATATTTATTTGATAATTATCCAGAGACTTTTCTAAATGTTATACAATGATTTGTATACTTTATGATCAATACATTTTGGATAAATGAATGTACTGGAATATTTATTAAAAAAAAATCTATACTAATGTATATATTTTGTTACTAACTAATACCAAAAATCTGTTTCATTGGTTGTTATTTATTTAAAATTAGCTAGAACCTAACAGTAGTACTTTAGCTTACTGGATTAGGAAACCTTTTCTAATACAAAATCTGATTAAACAAGCGTGTTTTCTTTAGTTAAGCTATTAATTTAATTGTCTCAAACAAATTTCACCACATGACATTACATAAAACTAGTATATATTGACCTATGACAATTTTATTTATTTTTTTAATACCAAAAATGTTAATGTATTAAAGCCAATAACTATATATATGCTTTGGTTTATAAAATTTCTATTCCAATAATTGGAGTGTCATATTGATCCCTACAATATATATGTATATGTTACATATATATGTCACACAGTATTTTTTAATGATTTTTGTACCTTTTTGTATTAATATGGTCGAGATGACATTTTGATTGTTTTTGTTTCAATTAATTTATATTTTTATAAAGCATTAATAATTTAATCTGTTAATACTGAACACCTCTCACTGTGTTTTGCTATTAGGTAGATAGCTAATTAGATGAAATTAATAAATAATATATTGTTATGTGTGTTTCTGTTAATTGTACTTTTGATACATTTTTTTTCTAAACAAAATTTCAATCAAAATCGGTATATTTCTATTTGAATGCCTAATTAACTGCACAGTCAACATCAGATTTTAGATTATTAATTTTTATATTTGTTGTTTATTGTCTGGGTGTATTTTCTATTGGTTTCCTTTATTTGCTTTGGTGTATGTCAAATTGTATAGTTTAAAGAAAAAAAAGTACAGTAAATGTGATACCTTAAAACATTTTTTATAAACCTGTATGCTTTTGTGTCGTACTAGATTATAATTTGCATGTTATTTTATAATAATTTGCATGCATGCACGCTATCAGCCCGCGAACATGCACGTTATGCGCATATTGCGTAACGCGCCCCCCTCCAATATCGTTAGAAATAAATCCGACAAGGTCAGTAATGTGTTATGAAAAATTTAATATAAAATTTAATGAATTCATTCATTAACTTTCATCACGCATTTAAATTTACTATCAAATATATGATTCATTAACTTGTTGGAAATACATGATTTTTTTTCTATATTATCTCATTGTAGATTATCCGTTTACACTATGATCATGTAAATATACATATTAATATCAATCAGTCATATTAGTATTATATAATATAGTATATTTAAATATATGTTTTTTAATTCCAGTCAACTCCAGTGGGATCTATTCAAACTGGTCATCAGGAGATAGTTGTTTCACCAAACAGGGATAGACATCAGCCTTTCCATAAGGTTAGTACTATTGAGGTTTTATAGTAATATTCTTGAATTCTTGTAAATAAAAATACTTTATTAGGTACTTATAATATTGTATACTAGTTTTATCCTAATTGTGTTTCTACAGCCACGGGCAAAAGTATTAGGCACCCTACAGTAAGACAAGTTTTAGGGTGTTTTAGCATAGCGAGTGTAAATAAAACTGCATTTATGATTACAATGGTTTATTTTAAGAAAATAATTAATATTTTGTAGGTCCACCTTTTGACTTAATAACCGCAGCCACTCTTTTTGGCATTGACTCTACCAGCCTGAAACATTCTTCTCTTGATATATTTTTCTATTCCTGCTGTAACACGGCCAATAGAGCTTGTTTATTGCTAATCGAGTGCCTGCGGATATTTTTCTTTAAAATGGACCAAATATGCTCAATCGGGTTGAGGTCTGGTGATTGTGGTGGCCAGTCCAAAAGATCAATATGATATTCAGCAAACCACTTCATGGTATGCGCGGACTTGTGGCAAGTGGCGTTGTCTTGCTGAAATTTCAGGCCATCGGTGTTTGTATCACCGAAAATTTGCGTTATCGACGTTGCTAGTGCTGTTTCCAGAACTTCAGTGTATTTCACACTATTCATTCGTCCCTCACACAACACCATTTCGCCCACTCCGTCGGCAGCCATGCAGCCCCAGATCATTATTGAGCCTCCACCATGCTTAACAGTGGGAACCACACATTCTGGGTTGTATTCTTCGCCAACCCTTCGCCTAACATAGGTCACACCGGGTGTTCCAAACACCTATGCCAATCGAAAAAAAACCATTTATTTTCAAAGTTATTATTTTTCTTGCAGTACGTTATTTTAAAAACATTGACGTGTTTTAATATTGTACATAAAATAAATAACAATACCTCAAAGTTAGATTCGTCTGACCACAGTATGTTGGACCAATCTTCCACTGACCAATCTCTATGTTTGAGTGCCCACTCCAACCGATTTTTCTTATTGTGTTCTGACAGCCACGGCTTCTTCCTTGCTTTACATCCTTTTAATCCAGCTTTAAGAAGTCTTCTTCTCACAGTATAAACACTCACTGAGCTGCCTTTTGCCTCAGATAATGCTGCAGCGAGCTCTAAAGCAGTTTTTTTCCTGTTTTGTAGAGACTGCCTAATCAACAATCGATCTTCCCGTTCAGTAGTAATTTTTCTTCTGCCTGTTCTTGGTCTATTTTCATGGGTGCCAGTCTCTTTGAAGCGATTTATAGCATATTGAACTGCACATCGCAAGCACTTCACTTCTCGGGCTATTTTAACCTGAGACATGCCTTGTTCATGTAAAATCTTAATTCTTAGACGCTGTTCAGCACTAAGTTCAGATTTTTTCAGCATGATTAACACGTTAAATGTTAGTCTTTAGAATTGTGATAGGAATAGTTGCGTAGAAGACGTGTATGTTCACTGCAAGCACTGATAACACACTATGACCCGAAACGCAAAAAAAGCAAATTCGAAGAAACACCGCTTAGGAGCACACCTGGATGTCATAAATATTTTCTTTTATCTTAATTTGGTTAAAAATTGCCGCTAATACAATAGCTAAACCATAAAACACACACTTGACCGCTATCTAATGAGATAGTGACTAACAATAGGGGTGCCTAATACTTTTGCACGCAGCTGTATTTGTACAGAAATATCAAATATAGATATTGCAAATTTCATCACAATCGGTTCAGCAGTTGTTAACAAGCAATCATACTAACTTTCAGTGTTTAGAATATGATAAAAGGAAAAGTAATAATGAAATTGTGTAGTACTAATATTACTCATAACATACTTGAACCAAATAATTTACTCAATTTACTAATTTTAGATACAGCTACAATATTTGAAAATGAAGTTGATATTAAGAAATTCATTTCATTAGATAAATGTGGTATATATAATAAATATCTATTGTATTTTTATTTCACGGTTTGGGTAACAATATTACAATTTTTAAAATTACTTTAAATTTGTATTGGTACCTAATAATAAACAAAATATTACAAGAAATGCGTCTGAAAATATAAAAAAAACCTGTATAAAAATGTTGTATTAAGTTTGTGTACAATATTTACATACATAATACTATAATTATTTATTTAAATCTATTATAAGTATGTTTGTTTATTGACTAATTATATAAGCACGCCTATTTCCAACACCATATCCAAATTTACATATGTATATGGAAATAATTTTTTTGTAATGAATTGTATTTTTTTGTTGCAACAGGATGATTTGTGTGATTATATTATGGGTTTGGTTGTGGACGATGAGGCGGCGCTTATATCTGAGGTTTGATGCATTACCCTTGAGTATATATGAATTACCCTGGTTTATTATAACTTAATATTACCCTTGTTTATTATAATTTACCCTTACCCTTGTTTTGTTTATTTATTGTATTACATGTACATAATATTTGTTATAATTGCTAAGTAAGCTTTGATATAGTTTTGAGTGTTTTTGTTTTGTTGTTTTGCTATTTACTCCATATTCTATAATATTATAATTATATTATTGAGATTATTTAAAAATTCTTAGTATTGCTAGTTATTTGTTTTATTTGTTCCAATATAATTATTAATATATATTTATTATTTTGTGTAAATATTTTATTTAATAATTAATCGAATTAAAACCATTATCTGATGAACCAGCTAATTCAAAGACCACATTCTGTACGATAGGTCTTATAACACTTGACACAGGCCTCTTTAAGACACTGCCATTGTATTGTGTGTACAAATTACGTTCAGTATTGAAGTACACTTATCACTAGTTTTAATCGTCACACCACATATGAATTCACCAGTTTTTCGTATATAAAACTAGATTTATACTGTCATATGTAGATATTCATAAATGATGATGGAAAATGGCACATTTATGTAGTGTGATAATGAAAACTTTTAACAGTACATCATATTTCTTTCTATTTAAATGTAACTGTGTATATGTTAAGATTGTTTTTCTTATGATATTTGTATATAAACTTCAGGTTAAAGATTCCGGTACTGGTGGAACGACTAATACCGGCAACTGGCCACATAGTGGAAAGGCAACACCCATCACAACTGGACACCTCACACCCGCTGATAGGCACGGATCAGTACAGGTTGGTGATGAGTAATGATGAGTGATAATGAGTGATGATGAGTTATGGTGATGATATAGTATCATAGTGTTATTACTAGAATTATAAATGAATGTGAATGTTATATGTTCTATGTTAAATGTTTCATTATATATTAGGTTATTGCGAATTGTTTTGTTTATAATATAAAATTAAATCAGTGAAATAATAAGGGAACGCAAAGACAGGTTAAAATATATTTTTTAAGTGAAATAATCGTTAAGTTTAAATTGGTCTAGATAGACTCTATAGTCTATAAGATATACATAATATATTAAAATTATTTCTCAGTATGGAATTATAATTTGAATTTATTATTATTAAACAATCTAAAAGCATGCAAATATTTTTATGGATACAATGACTGTGCATGTTTATTGTGGATTCTTTTATTTTTATTTATTTATTTTGTTTATACCAAAATTATGTATATCGTTGTATTTATTTTTTAGCTATTGAAGAATAAGCATTTTCGGTATGTGAAATTTCCCGGCTCGGTGTCAACGGTCAGTGAAATCGGCATTTGTGTGTGTTAGAGTGTCGCTTCACTGGAGCACAGCATAGACTTTGACTTAGATATATATTATATACAAAAAAGGCTTAGTTTGAGTCAAAATGAATACGATCACAATAAATGAATATAATCACAAGTGATAACAACACATGATGATCGGTGTGAAGTAGCATTTAATGGCTGCGTTTCGTCCGATGAGTGAGAGAGCCTTGCCTTTTAAACTTTTTCCCATCCCTTCCCTTTTCAACCAACTGTTTACTCCCCTTTTTCCCTAATCAAGGGCAGCGACACATCCACAACATCATTTATCCTAAAAAAACAAGTATATGAAAGAAAAACTGGAAACTGACGGTATTTAGTTTGACCCAAACTGGTATTAAGGATACTGATTAAGATTTTTGTTTAACATCGTCAAAGTCAATGCCGATATCGTTAACGCAAAAATGCTTATATGGCTGTTTAAATTGGTATTATCGAAATTCCTTAGTATGAGCTTATCGATACGATGTATCAAACGTCAGGCTAACGATAATAGGCTTAGTTAACTTACAAAGGCATAGTTTATGTGTGCTATAACTGTTGCTTGTTTAATTTAATTTTGATGATTAGTATAAAAAAAACATTTCGCACACTAAGAATAACTCAAACTTAGAATATAATATATTATTAATAAATAAATTGAAAGTGAATGTCCTAAGTAGATGTTTATATAGCTAAATTAAATAATTCACTAAAATGATGTCTTAAATGTTATTGTATTGTAAGTTGAATTTTATCACATTAAATAAAAATCCTTCAATACTTTGATATATTCATACTCTATAGATTTAACAGAAATATTGACTTGTCATAAATGGAATGGAAAATCTCTTCATTTATGCACTTATGAAAAAACTTAATCGATAAAAATGGAAATTTAGATCTTCAAAGAATTTTCATGCGATTGTATTTTGTGACAGAAATTAATGTTTGCTAATAATCTTGATCTTTAACTTATCTCCCAATTAAATGAATTTTAAGGGAGCTTTAATTACATTTTTACTCTATGGCATTAAAAAAACAATATAAACATAAAATAATCACATAGCATAGATAGATTGTTTAAGCTTAAATTTTGTTGTCTTATTGTCTCAATACGACCATTTTTCATTGAGCTATCGTACTAAATTAAATATATATAAATAAAAAAATATATCTTCTAATATAAAGAGTCTATTACAGGTGAAACAAACATTAGGTTTAAAGAAGTTTATTTCCAAAAAGAACAAAGTTCGCTTACAAAGGAAATTTTAAAAATTATAACTACAATTAAGATTATAAATAATAAACAGTAGTGATATCAAACAAGATCAGTGTAATCATCTAATATATGGGATCTTAATCTTAATATATTTAGAGATTTTGAATTGACAACACTTAGAGGCAAAGAGTTATACAGCTATGACATTAATATACAGATCTGTATGTGTGTTGTGTGTCGCGACCCCCATTTATATGTGTTGAAAATTATCTTCTCGTATATAGAGTCTATTATAGATGACACAAAGTTCAATATACAGATCTGTGTATCTGTATGTGTGTTGTGTGTCGCGACCCCCATATTTATGTGTTTTAACTCCCAGGTGGTGTCGTCTACTAACGGCGAGCTAGGGGCCGACGACCCTACAGCCGGTCACAGCAACACCCCAATAACACACCACGAGGTCGACGTTGTGGACGACACCAAGTCAGTGTTACAACTGTATGATGGACAAGTTTATTTTATTTTATTTTCATATTATTTATTTATTTATATATGAGCAATACTTTATTTGAGTTTTCATTAAACTCATACTATTAAAGTAAACTGTATAAAGTTTGAAGTGATTTGAGTAAATGGATGAATTGGCTTATGACTGAGATTACAAATAATATGTTTCTTAAATTTAGTATTGCTCTCTTTAACATTAATGTTTATTTGATTTTAAAGAAAATATTATTTTTGGATTTGTTTCCGTTTTTATAATGATTTATTTTTGTTTTTTTTTTTTTTTGTATTTTCAATAAGAAGAGGAGGGAAGAGAAGTCTGTCTGTTTGTTTGAAAGCATCAACTATTTACTACTGTTTCGCATTGATTTTTGTTGTGTTTTATATTCCACTTATTGGGAAAGGCTTATTTTATGGTAAGAAATCATCATGATTCGACATTCAGCTAGATGGAAAGTGCGGGCAAAGCTAGTATTGCATTACTTAACAAAGTTGAATAATTACCAAAATTTTATAATTACAAAAATTAATGTCTAATTATTATCAATTAAAATTAAAACTCATTATTATTGTGAATCTCACGGATTTCTATGAATTCAATAATTATAAAAAAATACATTTAATAGAAATGTTATTAAATAAACTATTCAAGTGCCAGTCAAAAGTTTAAAATTATTAAAAATGAAATCAAACTTCAAATATAATGCAGTAATTGATTTAAGTACTTATTCAATAACAGGCATAATTTAAGTTGATACCATTTTTGGTTAGAAAAGTTTTTCTTTAACATTTGTGGCATTTTTGTTAACATTTGTGCTTCCATTATGTAAAACAACTATATCAGATCAAGTTTCACTGATGATTTTGCTCACTTGTTTACTTTTGAGATATCTTCACTGTAAACATGAGCTCCGATTAATTGAGTCAATATTTCCATAATAATCTTCAAGTTTGGAAACGTCATATATAATAGACAAGGGAGCGTTCAAGTATTACGTAACGCAATTTTGGGGGTGGGGGGGGGGGTCTCGTAAAACGTTACGATGCGTTACAGGGGCGGGAGGGGGTGTCTCTTATAAAACGTTACGTAGCATTGTTTCTAAATAAAATATTAATAAAAACCCCCAAATTGGCAACTCTTTTCATATACGTTACATTATGTTGACCAGATTGTATTAGTCTGGTTGATATTTTTATTTGTTATTATAACTTTGCAAACCTCTTATTTGATATTTTACTGGGAATACCTAGATAGCATTGTAAGTCTTTTAATGTTGCTTCCGTGGTCAGTATTCGTTAGTGTTTATCCATGAGTTCAGTGTTTATAGTGTAATTTCTTCAGAAGAGGGAGATTTGTGTCAATGATCTCTTTTCATTTAATAGATTAAAACTATACCAAACTATAACATATTGTTTTACGACTTTGGATTATATTGATCACTTCAGTGTTACGTAACGTTTTGAGAAGGGGGGGAAGCTACAGAAAAACGTTAGTGTGCGTTACGAAGGGGGAAGGGGGGGTCAAAAATCTTCGAAAATTGCGTTACGTAATACTTGAACGCTCCCCAACTTAATTTTTGTTAGTGACAGTTATCTCAAACTTTTTGACAGTATAACCTATTGGCTTTTTTGTAAATCCAAATTAATAAATTGGTCATCGGCAGACTATAAAAAAAAATCGTCATGAAGGCAATCCGTTTATTCCAGGTGCTGTTGTTTCTTCAAACGCAAAAAGAAGAAGTGCGCGACCCGCGCGTACAAGTGACGTCACACCGACGGCTGACATACACTCACAACAACTATTATATAATATATATATATTATATATAATGTATGAAACACGTTGCTTTATGTTAACGGTTTATTGATTTAGGGTTGTCAGCTTTGATGATTATATGATATAGGGTTGTCAATATCGATGATCGACTAGTTTAGGGTTGCCAAATTTGATGATTCTTAAATTTAGGGTTGTCAACTTTGACGATTAACTAATATATGGTTGTCATCGTTGATGATTCCCTGTAGTAGGTTTATCAGTTTTGATGTATCAATAATGTAATTTGTCAAGTTTGATAATTAATTAGCTGTTTATTAAACATCGTTGGATTATTTTAATCGTATTTAATTATTATTTTTTTGCCAATATCACAGTTTACATGTATTACGTGATAGTTATTAACATGTTTGCATTATGATTATAGATTTTATTTTGTCTAATATTATTTTGATTGTACTGAGTTGTTCCCAAACTCTAATGGACTTACTTAATGACTAAATAAGCACATTTAATCCAAAGAGTCTGTCTGTTACAGTTGGTTATTGCTCAATAGAAATCCGGAAAGGCCTATTAGTATTAAGCGGTCTTGTACTTCATATTATGAAGATTTGTTTTTTTTTTTTTGTAAATTTCACTATCATTATATTATTTATGATTTCATGTTTACAAATATTGGCATTCTTCAACATTTCATATAATTTAATATCTCTTAGGTAATTATTTTGATGTAATAATAACGTTTACAAAATTTTTAATTGTATTATTTAACAATGGTGGCAACCCTAACTCAACGAATGAGAGCATTTATTCATGTGCACGGACATTTAGTATCAGATAACTTCATATAGCTGACATCATTACTATCGATAACAAGATAATATGGAATTAATATAATATACATTATGAATTTATGGTGCATATTGGAATATGGAAAATGGAAAATAGTCTGGATTTTTTTTTAAATAATGGAATTTAGTAATGAAGTCAGCGGCATCACGTGTAACGGGCGTTTACGATTCACTGTAACGGCATAGTATTACCAAAATTTGTTTTATATATCCGTCGCTTTACTTGTGGCACGCCGAATTCATTAATTATTATTTTTTCTATAATAATAATCATGTATAACATATATTTTAATAATCAAAACAAGTAAAGTATATAGAAATTATATTTTTTAATAGCAACATTTTTCGTTCAGATTGGCAAGGCAGCTAGTTGTATTTATATTAAGTGTACTTTGAGAGCCTTATTAATAAAAATAAAATGTCCGATATCATTATACTGTAGCGATGTCATGAAGATGTATGGACCAAACGTTTTTATTAGTAAGGGCAAAAAGTGAAATGTAAAATTTTAATGGAAAAATTAAATTTTTGATGACGTCCAACTTATAATGTACAATAAACCTACAGTCAGATATTAAAGTGTTATAGATAATTAAATTATTTTGTTATCTGTGGAGACGAGACATTTATTATCTGTCAGTTCTTATAATGGGTCGCGCTGGGATTTTTTTTAGTTAATTTTTAATGCAATGTTTTTTTTCTAGTGTCCGTCTGTCTGTTTAGTATCAAACCTTCCGAACATAATAGTTATTATGAACCTAGAATTCTTCCAAAATAATCTTTTCATAGTTTCATAGACTTTCATATAATGCTCTTATATATTTTGTTCCCGTCCGTATGTTAATTTAGTATTGAGATTGTTTTGTTTTACCTCACCATCACGATAATTCATTCCAGATCACGCGAACAAATTAACAGTACATTTTTCATATATAGAATAAAAATATATATAGGTTAGTGCAGTTAGCTGCGAGTTCATTAATATAGAACCAGCCTGTAATTATTCTTTTAAGTAACAATTACCATAAAATAAAAATAAAAAAACATGACTATTTTAAGTTGTAACATCTTATTGGATAGTGTTTGATTAACCGAAGGTAGTGACTTCACCGAAATATTTACAATATTTGTAAATAATTAAGAAACTTCTAGAAAAATTCCGTATAGAATTATAAAACGGCTTGAACTGAAAAATGAAACACTATCCAATGAGATCATTATTCATAATATAGATTTTATTTAGTCATTTGTATGAGTAAGTTGATTTCTTGTGCGTACATTATTTAATTGGCTCCGTTCCTATAGTGAGGCCGCGTTATATCCTATGTTTTATTTATGCCTGATATAGAATTAGTGAAGTGATAAGGAAAGAAAATTTAATATCAATCATTAAGATACACGATCATATGTGATGTCGGTCAGTTGGTTACAGTTACAGTGGACTAATGTTATTATATAGCGTGCAATAATTTATGTATTACATTACAATAGTTATATGAGAAAAATATATAAGTTGTTTCAATCGGTGACCCGACACCCGGTCGACATATACTGACTCCCAAGACTGATTGGAACACTAACACATCGCGGACTCTGTCAATTTGTATAATAAATATTAACTTCATAGCAATATAAACTCGATGTGGGCGTGGCTTATGTCGTGACGTCACTCGGAATTACGTAGTATTAATAGACTGAGTAAAGAAATATCACTTGGCCACTCGATTTGATATATTTTATAATGTATATGCTTGCATTGAAATAATGATCCGTGGTTTATATTAACAGCTTGGATGACACGATTGTATTTAGCTTGGATAAAAGATAGTGGATATATTGAGATGGTGATAGATTAAGGGTTTGTATTGTGATTGTGAGTAACACCGCGGTACGTGTCTAGTATACTAAGTGGCCTATACGGTGTCCGTGGTATATATTAAAGGATATATCTGAAATTACCCGGTATTGGCGATTTTTTAAGGTGTATTCGATAAGTCACCCATAATTTAGACATCACAACTTTATCCCCCCTTATAAATAATTTCGGCTAAGTGAAGTTGAGAATGTTATATGAGAATATTTTGTTGTGACGTTGTCGAATGTTATCTAAGACGGATAGAACGTTTATAGGCAAATGAGTTTTTTGATATGGTATTGTGAAAGAAATAAAATATAATTATTATCCTCTCGTTGAATAGAACGTAATTTGTACACATCGCAGTATAACCGAATGTAAGCGTAAGTCTTTAATTAATTAATAGTTGTACCTAATTGTTACTTTCTATTTGCTAGATAGATAATCAAATTAGAAGTGGATATTGAAATTTGAAGTCAAATTGTGTGATCTCTAGACGCGAATGGTTTTTTTCGTCGTTTTTATAATGTGAGGTGTGGTCGCGGGTATGCATCGCCTTGTATGAACCTTCTATTATCACAGTCGCTATATGGCACCGTTTTGTTTAACGACTAACATTCGGTACGTCATTATATGGGTCTCTAAACCCATGTTGAGGTTTCGTGTGCGCCGACAGACGCGTATCGTACTGTGTAGTTAATTTAAATTATAATTTTTAAAGTTTCGCTTACTAAGTAAGTCATGTTCTGTCGGCTTGAGGCGAGTGGGTGTTTTTTTGAGATATAGTTATTAACTTTTATGTATTATAATACATGATGCTTTTGAAACTGAATTGAATTCTTATTGTTAAGTATATAAATATTCATTATCATAGAAAACGGTTCTCAGTGTTTATTTTATTTTTCTCTTCTGTAAAAAAAAATGTTAATTTGCAAACGCAATTTGACTTATATTCAGTTAAGGTCACAACCTGTTTTTAAAAAATACGAAAATATTTGTTAACTCATAATTAAATAAAGCTTATTATAAGACACTTGTTTTATTCATTGTTTCAATTATATTTAGTAAGGTTTTGTTCACAGTAAGTATTCAAGTATTAAGCCATATTAATAAGACTGGAATACTATATTATGTAGATAATTTGCTTTTCATAATTTTTTCTCTGATTATTGCTATATTAACATTTTTAATAAGAATTTATTTATTATAAAATATGTAATTTTCAAAATCACAAATTTAGGTATATAAAGAATAATTCTATTTAGCCACAAAGTTAATATAATTCGCTTATTTCGTCTTTAAAATAATATATTAAAAGATTAACTTCTTGCTATTTCATGCTCTCCTAGTAGTTATGGTCTATCATTATATTAAGTAGTTTTTCAAAATCACAAATTTATATGAAGAATATTCCAACTTAGTCACAAAGTTAATTTAATTCGCTTATTTCGTCTTTAAAAATATTAAAAGATTAACTTCTTGCTATTTCATGCTCTCCTAGTAGTTATGATCTATCATTATATCAAGTAGTTTTTCTTGTCCAACGTTATACTTTCACTTCTTTTGTAAAGCGACCACAGTAAAAGTAAGTTCATAACCGTTAAAAAGGTTAATAAACTCCTTGTACTATTTTTTACATGAGACAATGATAGCAGACTTTGAAGCTTCAAGGACCAGTTATATAAAAAACTATATCTACATTCCAAAAGGCGGATTTATATAGAATTTCCCACCAATTTAAAATCATTGAGATATTTTTATCATTTAATATCGTTTGGAAACTTTTTTTGTAAATATATTATTGTAATGAAGGGTAACGAATGAAACTAAACGGTAAGGTAAGATAACTTTAATTAAACACAGTACAGTGTCATAAAAAGCCCATTATTGACTGTCACATTTATTGTATAACAATTTCATTCCAAATCTAACGATCGCATGATTCGATACAAATATTCTTATTAAAGGATTTAAAACTAATATTACAATAAAATGCTTACATCTAACACTGAAGATCAGTACTTAAGGTAATTGCACCAAGTCATTAACAAAAATGCTTAAAAAATAAATCCCTAAAACTTGCTTCTCATTCCAAACTAATATTTAATTTAATGATGCATTAATATATTAATTTCGTTTTTATAAAATAAATATATAAATCAACGAATTATCATTTTTTATTTTTCATCTTATATTCTTAATAACGAAATAATACTTAGCCTAGTTTAATATTAAATTCACACTATCTTATACAATTATAAACATAATTTCAAGTCCATTCACAACTAAAAACTATACAATGAAAATATAAACGTCTTAAATCCACATCATTAAAATAAAAATGATCGCTATGAAAATAAAAAATAAATCGATTTTGTATATAAAAAAAAATATCTCTTAGATAAAAGTATAAGGAATATCTTAAGACTTACTAGTATTCATTAACGGTCCCATTAACTACGAAATTCTTGACTTCGGTGACATTATGTCTTTCGTCGAAGTCGGTAATTTCTTCAACCAGTATATCTTCGTTCTTGACTGGTATGGGAGGGAATATATCCAAGAGTTCACCTAATTTCCTTCCAGTGGTCAATAAAGTGTTCGTCAGATAGTTATCCATTTTTATATCCTTGTCCATAGAATTACTGGTCTTTTGTATATTCTCATAGTTCTCATCTTTGACTATAGGAATATAATCTTTTCCATCTTCGTAATCAAATTCTATTTTTTTCATTCTTTTCTTCTTGGGCGGCCAATCTTCATCTATGGGTAGGTCTATGTATCCGTTGTTCGTTCGCCTATCATTATTCTTCACAACTTGGTAGTCATGGTCTGAATGAGCCTTGTTGAAGGTAATTAGTTCATCCATATTGAATTCTCCGTCATCTATTACTGTTTCATCGAACACCATTTCTGTAAGAAAAACAATATATTATTAAATAAATATTATAGTATTTTGTAAGTATGAAGCTTTATCAAATATAAGATAATTATTTGTCAGGTAAATATAGCGTAGATATAATTTTACGGTCGACTTGACATTTAAACTTTCATTTCTGTTACAGAAACCCAATATTTCTTATCATCTTACGTAAATACAGAAGCGCTATTGTTTACATTTAAAAAATGTATTGAATAACTTTTTCTTGATAAAGTAACATTTTACGTTAAAGTAAGTGAAGCAACGACGGTATTTTTTTAGCTGTGAACTTTTATTGCGCTTAAACAATACCAATTTACATAACCGATATCGTTTTAAGAGTTTATTTAAGTTACTCAATATGTTTTTTATTTGGCCTGATAACAACACTGATAACACAAAGTCATGTAAAAACCAATTGTATGAATATCTCTCCTAACAACATATTGATATGGATTATGGTTTAAACTATCGCGGAGCGATATAATAATAATAGTATGCTTCAAATGTAATTATAATAATGCATTATTTTATTGTTTTATTATTTCATAAATATAATTATATATTTTTTTCCATTTCGGTACGCATTTCAAAATTGGCACAGACTACAAGTACTCTATGTACCCTACAGTTCATAAAGTTGTACACTAATTATCCATCAGTACTCTATCCCACTATACACAAATATTCCCACAGTACTCTATCCCATAGTACTCTAATATTCCCCCAGTACTCTATGTTTAGTGTTATACTAACTGTGTGTAGCTGACAGCAGTGCCCGTGTGATGGCCGGTGAGGGTGGTGTGGTAGTAGCACTACTGCTGGTGGTCGCTGGTCGTCGGCGGACCTCGTCTCTAACGGACGGTAGAGCTACTAAGGCAACGGATAGCAACAACACTAGCAGACACGTGGCCGGCTGGGCACGACCCGATGAAGACGCACCGGTCAATACGCTCTGGAAATATATATATAATATGTTAGGGAATATAGTAAATTGTTATATTATATGATGTGTGGTAAAAGAATTTTATATGTTATATTTGTGATTTGGTGATCAATTTAGACGCCATTTTGGCGATCGTTTTTTTTTGATGTCGCAGGTAAACTCTTTTTACGAGCCGTCCAACCGGCCTTGGTGGGGCCGGAAGGGATGTGTGAGGCCTTTTGTCTATCCCTTTATTATAATATTTAACCTTTATTTGCAATATTAATCAGTTTTGTTTTTCAATTTACATGTTAAAAATTTAAGATGTTGGATTTACTTTGAAAATGGAAGCCGATATAACGATAAAAACATAGGTAATTTAGTTTCGTGAAAATTAAACTGAAAATAGGTAGGTACCAATGCTTTTATATCTTTTTATAGTGTGACAAATTTAATATGTATTGTTAAAAATTAATATCCGTACAGAAACGTCCTCTTAATACCGGAAGTAGTAAATTTCAGAACTCTTTTTGTTGAAATTTTCGTTGACACAATTCTCTTTCGCAATAAATTTGTCATAGCATACAACACTAAAATCGTTTTCCGTCAATTTTAACCTCTTTCTGGCATTAGTTGTTGCCCATGCTAATATATTCAGTGTTTTTTTTTTATCTTTACTTTATTATTTTTAGTATAGTTTATTTTAAATTACTTAATATTCTCTGACCTTTCATGAGTAACAGATGCGAAAAATAATATTTCATTGAAGGTCATCTAAAATTTAATACATATAACAATAGAAATTTAAATTGAATTAATTAAAAACGAACGACTCCGTAAACAAAGCTTATTATTGAAGTACTATGCGAAAGAAAAATCAGGTAAAATAGGAATAAGAAATTAAATTAATTAAATCTTATTTAGCTATATTTATACATTTGTATATGTAAATTTAAATTATATGACGTAAGACGGCTTGTGTGTGAATCATTCAAATGCCACCAATTTGCCACGTCGCAATAATATAATCACTAATGTTTGTAAAGGAAAAAATATAATGAAATTAAGAAACCCGTTATTCATTCAACGTCTTTAAGTGCTTTGGTTATATTAAAGTATATACTATATTCCTGATAAAGCATTCTTAGTATCAGCACAGTAACGATTTTCGTGAAACTTTGCTATGTATTTGGAAAAACTTACTTAATATTTCATATCAATTAAAAAAAAAAACAGTTTATATCGAAGTAAAAACTCGAACGAAATTCAATATATGTACTACTATAATATATTACCTGTAATCTCTTCAATTGCTGACTGAGTGATTGATTCTGCGACTGCAGCATCTTTATTCTTCTCAGCAACGTCTGATTTTCGGCTGTGCATTGTTTTACCCTGGTCAAAGAATTTCATTGATAAAAAATAATTATTAAAAATATATTCGATATATATAAAAAAAAAAATAAGCTGTCAGGTTCATTTTGACCACATAAACATTTAAAATGTAGAGTGAATGAAGCCGTAGCATACATAAAAATTATCAAGTTCATATATATTTAAATGAAATGGAGACAAACTAGACACTACAATAATTTGGTAAAACTATTTTCTATTAATTCCCCATCAACAATGATATTACGAAGGCCATCGAGACAAAATATTTTTTGTAAACACGATATTTTTATGGTATATCCGTAAACGGTTTCAATTTTAACGTTAAATTAGAATCTTAACTACAATATTTAAACATAAATTAAGTGATGAAAATTTCTATACCATTAATAGAAATTTGTACTTATAAAGAAAAAAAATTTTTACTATTCCTAGATCTATTTAATAAGAACTTGTTTTAATTTTTTATCATCTTTCCTTGGCCCTTGAAGTTTTTGCTTCTCAGTCTTGAATAAGTTTAAGATTCTATATGTCATAAGTATATAATTTTTTAATAATTTACCTCAATGTTCGTTACTCACAAGTTTGTTGTGAAATCTTATAAGGAAAAGATGACTAAGTTCATTCTGATGCAATCTACTTTCTAAGTTATATTTATTATAGTTAATAGTTTTTTTTATAACATTTAATTTAAGCTTCCTATCTCTTCGTGTTTTCTGTTTTGTTCATTTCCGATGTCTCGTTATCTAATCATTATTATTTTTATCTTATCAAACGCTTTGAACACGAGCAACATCAAAAAATGTAATTAATGAAAACCTTGTTTTCTACTTGTCTAACTGTTACTCAAATATTTTGCTATAAAGACTGCGGTATATTTGTATTATTTCACAAGGTAGTATAACTTCTGCCTTTATTTATATATACAGGGTGACTGGTGAATTACTATCAATATTTAAGGAGAGTACTCGGTACATGATTCTCATTCGAATTATGTAAAAAAAATAGGTACTTAATTTTTTACCAAATTTCCGTATAAATAAATAAATTGTGGACACGTTCCAAGTGTTCCAAGTGTGCGGCGTGCTGATACAACACCACGCTCCCGCACGCGTATGTGTGTGTATACCTAATCTGAAGGGTGTTCACACGATGCGTAATTAATTACATAACTTTTGGTTAACTTTACTTAGAAGTTTATTAATATTTATGTTATATTAATTTTTATTTTGTCATATATGATCGTCAAATATCACGTCCTCAAGTATCGATATTCGATAGTAATTCACCAGTCACCCTGTATAGTATTATTATCAAACATGACATTATCAAATATCGAATCCTAATTCTTTTTTTGATAATTATTTTATTGTAATAATTTTGCCATATCATGGAATCCTGCTTTAAAATATATATCTACTTTATAAATGACACTAACATTTTCTGAATACTACGCGATTTTTTTTTTTTTTAACTACATACTCCCGAAGTTTAAGATACTTTGCAGCAACCATGATCACATCACATCGGTGATCAAATGTCTGGAGTATGTAGTTATCTATAACAAAATCTAGTAATCCAAATAATATTAGTTCTATATAGTTCTCATCATATATCTACCTGTCTTCGAGTCCATCAACGTATTCCTTCTTCCTTTTCCTTGAATCCTGTGCCGATATCTTATTTCGTATCTTGCGCCTGATCCTTTTTAGCTCCCGTTCCTCATGTTTCGTTAGCGGGTAACTGTTCGGTAGTTGGATGCCCTCCTTCGCCAGTAGTCGGCGCTCTTCGGCTGTTAGAACGAGACGGGGATATCCGTTCCTACCGTCATTTATTTGCGTCTCTTTCTCATCGTCGTCGTCACTGTGATCGCTGGCCGAGTCGTCTAAAAATGACGGTATTTTGATATTTTGTTTAACTGATATGATGAGTCATGTTATAGGACGCATAAAAGTTTATAAATGGTTAGATTTTTGTTTTGTTCTATATTCAAATCAGTAAAAAATACATTTTTAAATTAAGAATACAAAATATTTTAACGATAAAAATCAATACAGAACTTGTATGATATATAATATCAGAAATTCTGATCTCAACATTACTTGTAAGACTTCAGTTCAATGTAATTAATACTGGTGACAATTTGATATTGGGACGTTGTATTCTCTTGCGACACAATTGCAGACATGCAATGATTGTATGGCATTGTGTAATTGCAGACAATATGTCTATAATAATGAAATCGTACAAAAGGAAATTCCTACACGATATTGGTCTATATGATTATATAAAGGAACTCTGATTAAATGTTAGTAATTTAATACCTTTTATATGAAATGAAAAATATTGATATAACATATTTTAACCTTGGATGGATAAAAATATTTTCTTATCACCAAAGTTATGTATTAATGTATATTTGTGTAGTGAAAGATATTTAGTTCATGCTATAAAGCAGTCAACCTCCATTTTGTTTTATTAACGTTCCACCAAATAGGATCAATTGACAGCAATTAGTTATAGACTTTTAAAATTTTCTATGATATATTAATGCCAAACGAAATGTTTGGTGACCTTAAATATATGTAAGGCAATACATAGCTTAAACTAAAGGAGATGTGTGTTTTTTTTTAAATTAAATTTAAATAAATGATACTGGCATAAAGAATAGCGTTATTAAGAAATTAAAAAAAATCAAACAAAACTGTCAAAGTCAATGTCATTGTAACATTAATGACCTTATTGCGAATAAATTAGACAAAAAAAAGACCCATTAGTTAGATAATAATGAATCTTATTTATATTACAATAAGATATAATATTATTCTCACCGTATTTAGCGTTGTGTTCGTAATCATCATTACGTGTTTCTATCTTGAGATCCTGCAGTTTGCTCTGCGACAGTAGATTGGCAGCAGCTAACTTTATATTCGGCGAGTTCTTCAAATCCGAAGCATTTATTATTTTGATTGATTTCAAATCCTTCATATCTTTGAATGTTACTGGTAGTAATATAGATCTAGGGTTGCCCGCCATAGGAGCTACGCGGATCACTCTGCGTTGTGGCGCGACGCTTTCAACTGGTTTAGAGTAAACCTTAGTTTGAGGGTTTATGACTTGAATGTTGGTTACTTTTAATGGTTTCTGTGGTTGCGCCTTCACAACCAGCTGTGGTTTATTGGTGTTTGTTGGCGCTGGCAGCTTTATCGTCTGTTTCTGAACCTTAGGTTGCACGACTGTTTGGGTTGAGGAGAAACGACGTTTTCTACCGCCTTTACCTACATATATATTTTAATTACTTATATTGTTTTAGTGAAATCAAATATAGACGATAGTGTTTAAAATGAATGACACTACGTTTAATTTTGAATAATAGTATTGTTGTAGTGAAAAATGTAATGTAGGATTTCTTTTGACAAAATTATAAATAAATTTTTCCATTAAAATTTTTCATTGCATCTCTATAGACAATTATATTGCCTGTAGCTATAATTTCCAATTTATTTTTCGACACCTTGTAATATATCTAGTATATTCAGGTGCATAATATTTTAATGAATCATCAGTAACCTCATTACATTGTGTCGTAACATCAATACTATGTTAAAATTTTCTCTATATTAAGTTAATACAACTGTTTAAACTAAATGGAATTGTTTTTCTGTCTATAGAATTATAACGAATGTAGGGCTAAGACCTAAAAAAGAATTACACAATACTTTTCCATTGTTTGTATTAAACGTGAATTTGTCTTTACGTCATACTTCAAGTAACAAGTATAGATCGACCTTGTATAGGTACTAATAGAGGTCATCATATAATGATCGTTAATTATATAAAATTAAAGTACATTATAAAAATATAAGGCCTTACACTGACGTGGTATTAGTAACATTATGGACGATATGATAGTATACTTTAAGGTATTTCCAGTGTGTAAAATCCTTATAGTCCAAACTCACCAGGGCTCTGGAATGTTGTATTAATGAATCCAGGGACGACGTTCTGCTCGAAGTCGAGCATATCCAACGTCTCGTTTTCCTGAATGATGACGTCACTCGTATTACAAGGACTCAGCGGCTCTAGAATAGTTGTTGGTAGATCCTCATAATCGGTATTCTGGATGAGGTTCGGCGACAACTGCTGCTCGAAGTCGCTGTTAGGAATTACAACGCGTTATATAGAAATACAAAAAATATAAATACTAGAGGGGTTCGAACCTGTAACCATTTGAAGTACATAAATTTGTTTTAACATTTAATTTACAGTGACCTAAATAGAACAGACAAATTTATATACAGTATACAGGGTGACTGGTGAATTACTATCAATATTTAAGGAGAATACTCGGTACATGATTCTAATTCCAATTATGTAAAAAAATAGGTACTTAATATTTGACCAAATTTCCGTATAAATAAATAGTGTGGACACGTTCCAAGTGTTCCAAGTGTGGACGCGTGCGGCGGCGTGCTGATACAACACCACGCCGCCGCACGCGTGTGTGTGTGTGTGTGTATACCTAATCTGTAGGGTGTTCACACGATGCGTAATTAATTACATAACTTTTGGTTAACGTTACTTAGAAGTTTATTAATATTTATGTTATATTAATTTTTATTTTGTCATATATGATCGTCAAATATCACGTCAAGTATCGCCAGTCACCCTGTATAGATTTATAGGTATAGATGTAAACAAACATAAAATTCTATATACAACAATATTTAACCATCGTATCCGGACAAAAGTTAATCTATTAAATTAAAAAATCTCATTCAACATTCAGGAATAAACAAATTGGTAAATACTAAAAATATACTATAGTACAGATTATTTGTTACCCATTGACAAAGAACTATATAAAAATATTCATACATTATATAGTTATTTTCGATGAGCTAATTTGAATATATCTATAATATCTTTAACTAAATTCATTATCAGTCATCAGAATACATTTAACCCTTATTATATAATAATGGTCAAGTGACATTAAAGTTAGTTGGTAACGCAACTTAGTTGTTACTTGTTAGTCATTAGTTAATCACAACTGTGTAAGTTGTAATACTGTTAGAACAGACTTGATTATATCAAGGGGAATCTCATTATTAGTCGTGTTATTATGTTTTCAATGATAAAGCATATTAAGATTATATATAATATATGATGAAAATTTCTTAGACAGGAATATTATTTAAGTCTTTAGAATATTACGTCAAGACATGTCAGCTTAGTTTGTAAAGACATGGAAAGTATATTTCGGGTATTGGAAACTCGAATCCTGTTTATGTAAATGAATATTTAATTACATAACTTCTAATTGACAATTTTGGTATCATTATTATAATAACATTTTTATTCTTGTATTGATAAAGACGGTACTTTTTTATTTATGCATATATGTTTTATTAATATCTTAGTCTTATTACATTGGTCTCACTAATTGTGTAGGGGATTGAAATTTGCATAGAAATATTTTTATGTATTAATCGATATTTTAAAAAGATAAACTATAGAAACAGTTGTTTTATGTATTTGATGTTATTTTTATCAATTCGCGTTTAAATGATTCATTTTATTGTATAGTTGGAAGAAACTCGATGCACCCATTAAAATTCCATACTTGGCAACTTTCGCTTAATTCACAGATCAATTCTTTTTATCATACTCATACATATGTTAACAACAAAAACATTCCCAAGGCTGGTTAAAATGGCATCCCGTCGACCTTACGCCATCTATATAAGTAAAAAGAACTACCCTCTTATTTTCATTCGGTTAAAATAATATGGAAAGCTTAATAAACGCCGATACTAAGAATTTCTCATGGTTCTGTATGCTTAGTACGAGTCTTCAACGAAAACTAAATACGCTGCGTTAACAGTTTTTCATTCATAAATGTTCTCATGTTATAATATTAACGTAGGTTATTCAATGAGAAACGCGAAACGTTTCGTATGTAGTATCTATTCAAACTAGTGCTAAGGATAACGAACAGACTATGAAGTTATTAAAAAGTTGTCGTGGCGATAATTTTTTAACATTACATGGAAACGTGTTTTGTGGATCCCATGAGTGTATCGAAGACTATAAGACGTGACTGGAAACTCGTTTTTTTTATAGTAATATTAAATGATAAAAAGACCGTTCACATTGCCTTGAGCGATAGCGATTATCTATACGATGTGATACTGTTGTTTTCTAGGTTATAACTCGAAAACGCTTCCGCTCACATTTTATAGCCTTGCCTCGATTCTATTGTGAACATGCCTTAAATATATATTATATAAGGATTAAGAGCGTTACGATACATAGAATGGAAACCAGTTGGAATCCAGTATCAAATATGTCACTGTGAGAAAGTAGTTTGTAATTACTTTTACTTTTAATTTAGAGCAATTTCTAAGAGAATAGAGATCGTTCTTTAATATTAAAAAAAATAGAATGCCTCTCAATGATTTAGAAATGTCTTAATGTGATAAACAAAAATGTTTAAACTGGCTAGATACAATACATAAGTAAACTTTCCAAATAAAGATATTTGAAAATATATATACATCCAGATCATTAAAAACGGAGAATCATTCGAGGTTTTTTCTAAAAAGAGTATCTAATACGATAAATAAATGTTGGTATGCTGTTTTGATTACCGCTAAAGCCTCGGAAGGGGTCAATGTTCCTAACTAAATTGCCACAAAGACGCGTGGCTATTTAGAGGTTATTGAATACATACTCAAATAGATGTAGTATGTACGCAATAAAGTTGACATTTATTTATTACTTTTAATATATAAATTTTTACTATAACATATTTTCTGTTATCTTAGTATTGATATATATATGAATTAAAAGACGTATAGTTTAATTCAAATTTTAAATCAGTTTTTAAATTAGTGTTGCCACCCGCTAAAAAATAACTCCATTTATTCCCAAAACGTATTTCCCTAACATTTCTCTATAATCGCGCAAATTTCCAACATAGTTTGATTATGAAGTAAAATGTAATCCACATATTACAGTTTCTTCATTCGGTTAGAGATAAAATGGACTAAAATTTAATTAAAAATATTTTGCATTATGTGTTTTATGTACATTCAAAAACTAAATATCGTCTTGTAATATAATTGAAAGTGATTGCCAGTTTTTCAGATTAACATTGGTCGTATATGCTATATTGTGGTTATGTTGGCAACCTTGGTCATTCTGCGGATTTCCTAGTCTCGGACATTGTGAAATGTTACAAAGCATTTCTTTATCCTCGGTCCGAGTATTTTTTGCCGTTTTTGTCGTTTAATGGCCGTGTGATAAATTTTATTTATTATAGGAAGCAACTGTATTAAAATCTTTTACTAGGTATATAATATAAATTATGATTTTTTTTTGCTTCCAATTCTATAAACACTTACAGAATGCGTTCAAAATAAAATAATATTCAGATAAAATTTTTCATTAATATAGAAGGAGGTTTTATTATTATATCACACAGACTAATGCATGACATAGACAAGATTCTTGAACTTTAATTCGAATGTATTTAAAATTCTTATCGCACTTTCCTAGTCTATAAGCATGCATTCTCAATACGAATTGTGACTCACGCTATTAAAGTTACGGTACTATAAGCAACTAGTTTTTTTTGTCCCAGAAACAAAGGCTTATATAACTATTACATTTGGATTTGATAATGAACTTTAACAAAAGTTAATTAAGGACTATTTTTGCGTACAAACTCATTAAAATTGCCAAATATTTAAAAACGCATCTAGCGTTCACTTTGGTCGGGTTAATGAAATTATCAAAACTGTCTATACTTAGATGTTCAAAACATATTTAAGTCTCAAATATATATGTACTTCTATTCAACATATAAATGAATCTATTTCTAGACGAAAGTTTTTAACTTCAAAATTACTAACAAAGCTCATACTATCACTAAAATTACATATTCTCCATTCACCAGTAGGATTCTTGTGATTTTTACCCAAATAATAACATAGACAAGTTAACTGTCTGAATATTATCAATCAACCAACATATAAAACCTATTTACTTAGACAATTCATAAAAATCGGAATTAGTATATACAATTTTTAAATAAATATCCCCACCTCTTAATCCTAAATATCTAATATAATATAGTAATACATAATAATTATGTAACAATTAAAAATAACTCACAGTTCAGCATGGTCGCTAGATAGCCCGCTATCAGAACATGAGCTACTAAGTCCTTCCGGTTGCGCATTGTCTGTTGTTAAATTGAAGTCCGGCAAAGCATTCTCCAAGAAATCCAAAGAGCTCTGATCCAATGAGAAAATATTCTCTAAATCTTCCGTCCCCTGCCAGGGATCGCACTGCAATAAACATTAACATGATAAATATGAATCAACTATTTTATATCGGAAGTAGAAATAAACTATACTTGTAATATAACATATTACTTATTGCAGTACTGTGCCATAATTTTCGCTGTATTGTAAATAATTTTTGTGTTATTTAAATGCTGATGCAATAAATTGCACAAGCATTCCATATTTAAAATGTAATACATTTTTAAAAATTATTAAACGATGCAACACTATAAGTTACAGATTGAGAGAAAATTTATTAAATGTTTTCTAGAAATATTATCATTTCCTTTAAGTGTTAATAAAATATTAATTGTTGTAGAACAAATTTACAATGTAATTTGTAATTACAACAAAATATCTTGACAACAATACTAAGAATGTAATTAAGTAATTAACTCAAAGATTAGATGATTTACATTAATTATGATTACTATAGAAGTTTTTATATTGGCTTTAAATGATATTCAAAATATTTTTAAGTGATAAATATTAAAGTTGAACACAAGAGATTTGCTAATTGAGATCAGTTTCAGTATTACCTTTTACTTTTAACGCATGAAACACAACTTTCATTTTTACTTTTACTTTAATAGGAGAAAGGTGCATTTTATGTGCATTCTTTAATTAATATACTATAAAATTAACATGTTTTTATATGATTTCATATCAAACAGCTTTCTTTTATCTTTTAAAAATTATTGTTATATCTTTTATCAAGATTTTATTGATAACATATTTGGTACAAGGATATGATGACTTTAAATATGGGAATGTTTTTGAATTAATATTTTTATATGGTCAATAAAAAATATAATGTTACCTCAAATAGTGACAATAAATCTAGTTTTTTATCCATTTTAATGGTATATTCTCAAAACATCACAACAATAAATTTTCACTTCAATTTGAAGATTTGTTAAACTCCACAATTAATTTAAAACGTCACTTAAATAGAACTAAACACTCATTACTTAAGTCAACCAAAAACAAAACAAAAGGTTGAGGTTGCAGTCAACTTTTAAGTTATAAAAACACTTTACACATCCAAATATTTATGAGGCATATGGCTAAAACATTGACCGCATGGTGCCTAGGTGGCAGGCTGAGACAAAGTGTTTACGTGATAGACTCGACTGTGAATACCGGACTGGTGCTTACAACGACACCGCACTACAATAACACGCTCGTTAGGGGAAGCCGGCCTACTAATCACTTCTAATTAGATAAAAAAACACGGGAATTTGTAATACAGTGCGCACCAACAAAGATCCGAAAATGAAATGAGCGGATATCGAGATAACGGTAAAAGTGGGAGCGTAACACCACGAAAGCTGAGGAGTACTAGTCACGATTTCATTGCTTCACCGGACGTCTGCTAAAACGTTCGCTTGTACCCTTCACAAATAATTATACATTTCTCCGCTGGCCTTTGAGCTGACTGTAAACATGATACGTTATCACTACGATTGCGAAACAATTGGTAAAAAGTTACGTACCATCATATGCTCGGGAGGAAAACTATCCATTTTTCCGGTTCAGCTCTTGATTCTTCAGATTGTGATCATGTCTTCAAAATTTTTAGCTACCCTAATTAAACTTTCACAAGAGTCACAGTCACTATGAGTAATTCAAGATCATAAGTACAGAAGACATTGTTGTATTAAATTTTTACACCAGCCTCGTTTTTACACTTTGTAAAGGACAAACATAATCTATTATTTCATTTCATAAAACATTGCAGTACAAATATTTTTTTTTACTAAAACATGACACTTCTACAGCTTCCAACGTGGAAATAATGACGTCACGAAAGTGGTCCACTTTTCACATGTTCATTGGTGCATTCAGTTAACTATGATAAAACAGTACCGCTTGTACTGCCATCTATTGAAGTTAGTTGACTTCATGAATTTTATATAAGGCGTTTTGTAATTTTATAGCTGTTAGTAGTTTTTAACTTGAAGAAAATTTTGTCTTTTTATTAAAAAAAGATAATTAAATTAATTTAAAAGTAAATTTATAGCGGATATTACTATGTGCTATGTGTGATGTAACAATACGCAGGTCGCACTTTTATTACGACTTTATTTTATAATAAAATGAAGTTAAAGAATTTTTTGTACTTTCATTGAATTGTTTTCATACACAATTTTAAATAAGAGTAAAAGATTATAACAGTAATCCATTTTCATTTCTGTTCAAAGGAATTAATAAGTATTTCAGTATAACAAGAAATATAAAAAAAAATTACGGAACTTTTCTTATATAACTAGACGTTGTATTTCAAGGATTACCTACTTGGTAAAAAAAATCATCCATTCAGCTTTCTGCCACGACCAAAGACTGCCAATACCAACAAAGTTCTCTCGCTTCTTATTTGACAAAATGTTGAATTATGAAATGTGTATTTTTTTTATTCTTTTCTTTAAATAAAATTGAATAAACAGAGATTATAATAAACGAGACAAATACATGACCAATTGGCAATTCCCAATCTGAGTGTTGCAAAATAGTATAGGTTTTTGACAGAAAATAATTAAAATTTTAATAAATTAGTAGATATATAAATAGGATTAAAGTAATGCAACACGGTTACAATCCTACACATCGATATAATTGGTGATCAACTGATTAAAGACTAATATGTTTGTACATAACTATGTAATACATATATGTAATTGATTTCTTAATAAAAATTTTTTCTTATTAAAATTCTTAACAATGCTTATCATAAATTTTTTGCCGGACATTACTTAAGCTTTAAGAAGTTGCAATAATTTTTTTGTTTATTGAATCGTTTGTAGAATCAAGAATTATATTTTTTTATTTTCTCAGGAAATACTTATATTATAAATTATATACGTTCATATATATTTTACCGTCAAACAAAGCCCTTTTTAGTTCTTTCTTTCTACTAAGACTTAGTCAATTTTTTGTTTAACTTTTTATGAAACATATAGATGTCAGAAGTTCTGTCACCAGCCAGTATTGAAAATAATAAAACAACAAGAATCTTAGTAGTTTATCGTATTGGTAGTGTTTCTTATATATTTTAAGGTTGTGATTAATTTATTATATATTTGATATGTAAAATTAATTCCAGTATATAATATTCTAAAAACAATTATAACTATTACGATTATATTGATATCAAATTGCTATTCTATTATAGTAAATTAAAATCATAATATTTGACATGTTATACTTATTTTTAATTAATACTTTACTTGTAATAATAAGGTGAGACAAATTCGATTTATCACAGAAAAGTAAAGGAGCAAATGTTTGACCGCTAAATATGTATAACATAAAAAATAATATTTTCTATATATTATACATATTATGAACTGAGATAAGTTTTTATTAAATTAACCATTTAATAGGCGATTATGTATTTATAAGAAGATTTTTGTGGGAATTCTTTGAAAAATATTACCAATTTAAAGTTATTGTTATATACATATATATTGCTCGCGGTTCAACATAATGATGCCAGGTCAACGGGAAGTCCCATATAGTCTGTGATTCCCTCGCGAGCGCCAAAATACTCGTACGAAATAAACAGAGCATAAACTGTGTTATCTTTAGTTTGCAAATATGTTTTTCATTGCTCCAAATAGTAAGTACAGTTTGTAGAGTTTACTAATTTCAATTTGATTGTTTGTAAGTAAGGTTTTCATAGAGAGAGAGAGAGAGAGAGAGAGAAAATGAGAGAAAGAAAGAGATAGAGATAGTTAACAAAATGATCCTAGAAAACTCCATCTTAACGATTCAATTACGGAACTCCAAAAATTTATTACTCAATATGTATTTCTGGCATTACTTCAAATCTCTTTGTATCTTTTGTGGTATAAAAGAAATTGTTTGAAAAATTACTAATCAATAAGTAAAGTTTTTCGACAAAAATGAACCTTATTATCAGAATGACGATTGTGGTTTAATGTTAATTTATTTTATTCTCAATAATTTTCTTTAAACTCTAAATGTGAAGGATAGATTTTGTATTTTTTTAACTACATTCTTGCATAATTAATTGTGTCTAGACTTTAATAAATAATCACTTGTAATTTTATATAGTATGTTAATCAATTAATTGAAAATATAAGTAAATATTTAGAGGTTAAATTCTGCAACAATTTGATTGTTTGCCATTCGGTCCCAAACTAATACCCATTTCTGTTATCTGAGGACGGGTTGCTACAGACTTTAGTGCCGACTGAACCTAATCTGTCTTTGTGTATAACAACACTATTGTGAGGTTATCCAATGTTATCAAATATTAATTTTAAGCTCAACATGATAAATACATGTTTAATGCAATCTAGTTTCAATTGTTATATGGAATGTTCAAATATAAAGCATCTATTGTTTTTGAAAAATGACTAAACTATATTGTTATCTCGAAATCCGTGATTCATGAGTTCATAATGTTAACAGATGTTTTAGTTTAAAATATTTTTTTAATGAGCAAATTTTATGTTCTACGTTTTTGCTATATTTTTTTATAAGGCGTGCAGTTGCAGTAAATGGTTTGAAAGTTGCAAGCTGCGAGTTACCAAATCAGTACAAGATGAAATCGACCGTGAAGGATTGGATATTCAAACTGGGTCAATGGACACATACTGAATGCTATCGTATCATTTCAGCCTTACTGACTCAAAAATATAGCTAGGAATACGTGGCCAGCGTTGGTAACGAAAAAATTGTGTGTCTGGACAAAGGGGAAGAATAATTGTTAAATCAAATTTGAATGCAATGAAATAAATGATAATGATAATATCCGGGGAGTTAAATGGTTGTTTCATCGTGATTTTTTGTGAAACTAAAAGATTTTTTGCTTATTTTCTTAACGTTTTCTACTTACTTATTTAAAAGTTTCTTTGAATTTATATAGTAGGTACCTTATAACGCGAAACACTATTACCTCTAATTTTACATATAAATAATACGACTTGGCTTAAAAAAATGTTTTGTTGGATCTTAATTGAAAACATTATTTCAGGAGACACTTTCATACTATCGGTCTGAATTTTTCTTCGAAAAATACATTTAAACATATATAATGGTTGCTATATGCATATTTATAACATCATCATATAAAGCCGTAATGTAAGTACATGGAATAAAACTGAGATAAATAAATTTCTTCATAACAAAACGGAACAAATAAGTACGTCTCGTATATAATTGAGATGCCTCTCAGTACGTGAGGTAGTGATCAACGAAGCGATAAGTTAGTCAAAGTACACAGACGATACTTATAATATAATTACTCATTTATGTTCAGATAAATATTGATTCTGGGAATAGTTGGAACGAATTATGATATTTTATATGATATGAACCACGTCTTAACTTTGTATAGGGTATTACCGTTATAATATTTTTGGTATTAAAACTGTGATTGTTATTTGACATAGGTTTTAAATAATGAGGTAAGCTTAATGTGTTATTGGAAATAAATTTATAATTATATCGTTTACGATCTAAATGTTTATTAAATGATATACAATTATATATTGTTTCCTTTTGCATGAATAAATGAAAGTCAAAATATCATAAAGTAGAAGCAATTTAAAATACTTTTATATTATTTTAGAATTATTTTTTGTTCAAATAAATCGAATTAAATTGTTGCTGATAATACTTAATGTATTATAATTTAATTGATTATAGCTTGGCTAATGCGCTAAAAGCATATATTAAAAATGCATCATTAGTGACCTAAAAGCTTAACGTATGCTAACCAAATTAGGCTAATTATATAATTTAATATAAATAATTTAATGAAGTTTTTAGCAGTTAATCGATAACATTTTTTTAGTCATAAATGATGTCTATAGTCGCTTACAGCTGTTCATAGAAAGCCACATAGATTTTCATGGATATATTTTATCTTCTAACAGAAGATAGATAAGGAGTGGAATGAAAATGAATGACAAACTTCATCTCTTTCATCTCTTTTCGGACATTCACAAAAAGAATTTAAATGAAACTAATATTTTTCGGATATACACCACTTGCTTTATTTTTGAAAAAAGACTTTACAATTAGTGTTACTTAAAAGACAAAAAGATATTGGAAGTTATAGCGAATTCTCCTAACAATTTTAATATGACCTTCTACAATGGAATTGGCATACGTTCAAATTGAAATGCTATTCAACACCTTGGGATGGTCCAGTCGGGCTTATTTTTATGGCGGGCAAATCCTCACAACTTATAATTATTAAATTACACCGGGTACAGGTTTTAATACAGTTTTTGTCTTGAGGAGTGACAAAAAACTATACTAAAACCTATGTATGTTTGTCTATTTGGTAGGATATTTCCTGGTAATGTTTAGAAACTTCAGAATTAAGACATTTATTTAGTTCTCTACTCCCGCCAAAATTTTAGTGTTCATAAATGAAATTACTACACAAACGTTCATATACATAGTGTTGCTTTAGCATTGATGTCGAATGTCTCTTAAATTAAATCCAAAAAGCTTAAGAGATAAGAATTCTTCTTGAAAAACATTTCAG